TATATATATATATATATATATATATATATATATATATATATATATACATATAAATATAAATATATATATAAATTGATAATGATGGATGTAATTAATAATATACTACACTAAAGGAGGACGATTCCTTTAAACTACATAAAAATATGTCTAATTCATACATAGCGTGACTTTTATTAATTAAATTATCTAAAGTGACAAGGTTTTAAAATTGTCAGCAATACAGTTTTCATTTTCAATATAATGCTGTTAGTTATTTGAATACAACCATAGTTGAAAGTTTGGTCTAATATGAAAGTTAAATCAGAATTTGTAGTAAGAATCCTGAAGATATTTGGTGAATTATTATCAATATGGCCATATTTTGGATCAAAGTTGGTTGTGAAGATTATTCAAGAAGTTAGGTGGCTTTTTTCAACACTTAATTTGATTTTAATAGTCACACCGATCGCGTTTGGAGTATATCAAGATGTTTACAAAAATAAACCCTTGAATGTACTTCAACGTTCAATGTCAATGGTAATGCACTTGGAATCTTTGATGAATTGTTTTTTGTGGAAGTGGAAAGACCGTAAACTAAAGGTAAACTAAAAAAAATTCATGATAGTTTTCAAGAAAAAATATTATTTCTATTGAATCATAAAATGTTTTTTGATAGAAATTGTTACTGGAGATGTGTGATTACGTTAAATCTACTAAAGGCAGAGATAAAAATATATTTGACAGATTGACACATCAATGTTCACTATTGTATACTCTTATAGCGGTGGTCTGTACTATGACAAGTATATCTTTTATATGCAGCCCAATTTTTATGTCTCAAAAACTATTGCCATCTTCTGCTCACTATCCGTTTAAAATTGAACCGCATACAGTTAGACACTATTTTTTGTATACCCAACAAGCTATAGCTATTTTGCAAACTGGGCTACATCATACTATCCCTCCAATAACTATTGCAGTGTTGTTAACTTATGTAATAGCCAAATTAAAAGTACTAGCCCTTAAATTGAAAACTATCAAAACGATTGACGAACTCGGTGATTGGATTCAACGTCATCAAGAATGTATCAAGTAATTTTATTGTAACTTATAATTTATAATCAATAAAAATTACAACTTATGATTATTTTTCACTGTGTTTTTTTATAACTATAGATATTTCACGCTGCTTGAAAAAACAATTCGATTTGTTATTTTGAAAAGTTTTATTTTTATAACAACAACAGTAATTTTTGCAGGAGTTTTAGCGATACATGTAAGTTTTGGCAGTTGCAAACTTTAGAAACTATTTGTTTTTTTTTTTTTCAAGTCATTAAATATATATTATTACTGCTTTTCGTAGAGTTCAGGAATTAATGAAATAATTAGACTTGTATTTTCTGTCGCTACTGGTTTCATCGCACTCTATGTTTACGTTTCAGCAGCAGATGATTTACATGAATTGGTAAGTTGTATAAAACGTCTTATAATATTATGTTAGTAATTTTAACGATGAATCTAAAGGTGGTTTAATGTATTTCAGAGTACAAAAATATCATGGTCTGTATACGAATCATCGTGGATCGGAAAACCAATAGCAATGCGTAAATCAATAATTATATTAATTCGTCGAACACAAAAGCCTCTTGCTATTTCTGTGAAAGGGATTATTCCTGCTCTTACAAGAATTTTCTACGCTTCGGTAAGATCAAGATCGACAGATTTTAATTAATTGTTTTTTAATTTCAACCACTTTGTATTTTACTTATAAATTTTAACATTTTTTCAGTATTTATCGTTTGCTCTATCTTATTACATGACTTTGCGCGCTTTATTTAAATCAACAGATTGAGAGACTGAATATTATAATAAATGTTATTTTTAAGTAATTGACAAGCAACTGAAGAATTAAAAAGTTTGGAAAATCCAAAAGTGCACGCCTCATAATCTCATTTTTCCACAATAAAATTGATTAAAATAAAATATAAAAAGCAAAATAATAAAAAACAGAAAACTCTGCTATGGTTTAGTGGCGCCATAACTCTAAGGTGAGGAAAAAAAATACTATAATAAAATGTATAGATAGATATACAAAAAAATCCACAGTCATATATTAGTTTTTTATAAATAATAATTTAACGCCAGTGAATTTAACGCTCATATTAATTAGGAAAATCCTTCGTGTGTTACGTTAGATAATAAAAAAAAAATTGTTCCGGTACGATCATTTTTTCGACCAATTTCCCTGCCACATACACTCATCCATACACGGACGTCCAGAAAAAATTATGTTAAATGTTATTATTTACTATGTTAAACAAAAAAATTGTTATTGAAATATATTTTATGTGCTTGACAAATTATTCGACTTGTTATAAGTGTACTCATATTAACCTGTAAGTGCGATATAAATAACAAAAAATCAATTTCAGTTTCGAGAAAACTGCTTTTTTTGAAATGTTGAGAGTAGAGCACAACCTCAACGCTTCGCTTATGAGGCGTGCAATAGTATTCATAATAAAGCACACTTTTTAATTGAAGTGATATCGATATTATTTTTTAGTTGATCTATCGTAACACTACTTTCTTGTTTATTATTTGGGATGACAACAACACGTTCAATTGATTTTATTTTAGGTTTTACTGTAGGTCTTTTCATGATATCACTATAGTTATTGTTATTTTTAATTTGAGATTGATGTTCTGTGTTAATGGTAGTTTCAGAGCTGTATTGAATCCGTAGTTTTTGTATTTCATTTTTGAGATTTTTGAGTTCTTCGATGGTGTTTGTCATTTCGTCTTTTACTACCTTCTGAAAATTGTCTTTTATCACTAAATTTATTTCTTCGGAAATACACTGTTTCATAAATAATTTCAGATCATTCATATTACTAGAACAAGAACACCTGTTTTCTAGTTTCTTAGATATAGTACTCAACATGGCATTAATATTCAAATTAGTTTCTAAGTTGTGGTTTTGTTCATTAGAAGAATCATTGTCAATATGTGTTGCAAAAGTTTCCGCGTCAACTAGTTCTTCTTCTTGATATTCCGCAATCAACGTCCAATCAATAATAATAATAATAATAATAATAATAATAATAATAATAATAATAATAATAATAATAATAATAATTATCGTTTATAGTTATTATTAATTTATTTATTCGTAATTAATATTAATTATTAATTTATCAATAATAATAATAATTTGATATAATTTGACATAAATATTTTTAAAACATTAATATTAAAAATTAATTTTTAATTTTCAAATATTATTTACAGTTTTTGCAAATTTAATTTAAGTAATTTGTTTAAATATTAACGAACAATGAGTTATAGAACAATATTTGAACTATTAGATCTGACGTCACGCGAGACGAGAGATATATATAGGGTTCGGCTCTGAGCTGCGAGATGGCACTAACATCATTGCCTCTCGCAAGCGCTCGTCCTCACGCCTGTTTCAATATATAACAATTTCCATCTCCTACTCCACAGACGACCTGGACTGAGGCAGTGACACTAGAGGCCTAGCTGATGAGTGTGTGTCACTGTCTACACGAAACGCCTTACCCACACATATACCTTTTCTACCTTTCTCCTTCTTCCAACTCTCTGACTACACAGTCAAAACACAAACGCACATAATATTCGTAGATTGCCCTACACAGAGCCGCTACATATATGTGTCACAAGCCAACGCTTAGGCCTCTCTATCGTTTGTTTTATCGTGCCTCTCTAGTGTTTGTTGCGCGCTCTCGCTTGCACGCACAGGCTCAGGTGGAACGTTACTATTTTTCATGAGTGTTGCTGGTATTCATCAATTTATAAGACGTTATCACGTCAAAAAATTTCTTTACATAACTTGGAAATTTCTTGTCAGATCATTTTTAGTAGATTTCATAGAAATCTAACTATTGCAATGGTCCTCATGACGAAACTTTTGAAAAATTTTGCTATATTCCGACTTAACTCGACGAGTTGAGTCAGAAAATACATATGGTTCAAAAGTTTATATATGTATGTATATATCGTATATATATATATATATATATACGATATAACGCGGCTTGTCACCACGATAGCGTCGCCAATTTACTATGGATCTTTATCAAACTCAACATACTTATTCCACAGATAGATACCGAGGTCAAGTTCGAAGATGAGCTTAATCGGTCAAGTAATTTAGAAATGCCATGATTTCAAAATTTTCAAAATCATGAAAAATCATAAAAATTTCCATTTCTTCATTTTTGAACTTAAATAACTTTTGAATGGGATAATTTATCGAATTTCTGTAAATTGCATATGAAAGCTCTTTAAATAAGCTTCAATTTGAGTACCATATCATATGTGTAGTCCCAAAATTATGTCCTATTCCGCTATGCCAATTATGAAATTTGCTATTGCAGTCGTTTTTTTTGTTTTTTTTTTTCTTTACTGTACACCAGCAGTAAGTAAACAAATAACGGAGTTAGGGTGAAATAAGCTTTTAATCGCCGGTGTACTAAAAATCCATTATTTTTTTCTATTTATGATGAAATCTACTTCCATTTCGACTGCCGAATGGTCTTTTTTAAATAATTCTTTATTCGTTTGTGCTAAAAAAAATTACGTTAAATTCTGTAAGCCGCATTAAAATCGGTTGATTAGTTCGAAGAGCCCGAAAATGTACGAAAATTGTACTTTTGAGTTAAAGCGGTTTTTATTTGATTTTTCGAAATTTTTGTTAACATTTAAAGAAATTTGATCATTTACATTCATATAAGTGATGTATAGTGTTGTAAATAAAAATGTGCGTGTTTAGTGCCAGAAAAATAAATTTCTAATGAATAACCTAATAAACCACAAATTTAAAATAATCGAAATATAATGCATAATTATTGTATATTGAATTGAATTTTGTGATTGAGCTGGGCACTCAGCTTTTTGCCATTGCACCCGGGCCCTTCCAAGGGCACTTCGTACTTAGGTAATTTGGTTGAGAAGTCCTGCTGATTTGCAAAGCGTAGCAGTCCTCTGACTCTAACTTCTCTTATAATGTAGTTGATCTCTGTATCTTCGCCAAAATTTCGTTTCAGGTCTCCTTAAGAGGAGTGCAGTTGGTCAACAAGTGTAAAGGTGTTTCGTCCTCCAATTTACAACTAGGGCCCGTATAAAGATCTGAGGGCTGCTCGGCTATCGCCACAGATCTATATGTTTTCGTTCCTGCGTTTGGATTTGATTATGTGTTCCACGTAAGTCTGGATCGCATGTACCTCTGCTTGAAAAATTGTGATGTGTCCTCGACGGAAAGTTTCTTCTGTCCTAGGTCCATCGCACCAGAAGCCTGCTCCTGCTCCTGCTCCTGCTCCTATTTTGTTCTTCGACCCGTCTATGTACCAAACGGGTCCTTTGGGGGTCAAGAATTTCAGTTCATTCTCTAACCAGTCCTGTCTATCTAGAAAGTGCTTGGAAAAAGAATTGTTATATAATATAATATAATTATAAATTATATCATTTATAATTCATAATTACAAATTATTCGAAAAGCAACGAACTTATCATATACTCCTATTAACTTTTCCAATTTTCAAAAATTAATTTCCTTGGTGAGAAATAAACAAACACATGATTTTTTTGTGTATTATTTATTTAACGTAAATTTAGACATTACAACTTTGGTATAAAAACATAAAATAGTGGCACTGGATATATAGTAAACATGAATAATAAATATTCGCAGTCACAATAAACAAAACAATGAGAACTGACAATTAGATTATAATCAATGTATGAATGATTTATCGATAATATGTGTGTACAAATATATAAGACATATTCCAAATGAGACTGCGAACAATAACAATAAAATTTATCATACGCATCAAACGTACTCGTTTATAAAAAGATGACTGACTAATTTAATTTAATTAATAGAAAGCAAGCAATGTTATATTTAAATAACACAATATAAAAAAATCAGTCGGAAATACATTGTTTCGAATATTATATCTAGCTATTTTAATTCATGAAAGATATTTTATTTTATTTTTAAATTATTTTTGCATTGAATGGACCTTGAATCAACTATATAGCCGTGCATTAAGATATTATTACGTGTATTATATAATTGTTTAACCATAAAACTTGCGACTGATGATTATTTATATGGAACGAACGAGAAAATAAGAACATAATAATAACAACAAGTGAAAAGCTTTCCAAGCATCGCACGTGATTAGTTATGTTGTAATACCTATTACATATTTATTATTATCATATAATATAATATTTCAATATTTTAGTATTATTAATTAATATTATTACAATAGTTTTATAATGGTGTCATAAAGGTATTATTGTTATCAATTATCGTCATTAATATTATTATCATATTTATAATATAAAGACATAGCTAATATCTGAAATACACGATCGTAACACATACACGAGGACACAAAATTTGCATAGCGTTAAAATCACATTGATGAGTAGAGTACGACAAGACCGAATTGAGAAGTGAGGAATTGTACTTATTATTTTCACACATTATCATTATTGTTAATATTATTACATGTTATGTTATTACTTCATTGATATTTTGTAACGATAGAAAATAATTTGAAACAAAAAATCTACGTCATTCCTCATTTCTCTGTATTCGTCTAACGGCACCATCCGCGGAAGCGAATTCGCCGGTCAACTCACTTTCGGCTTCAAAAAAAAAATGCATTCTACTCTACTGTACGTCTTAGTTATTATTTTCTAAAAAAAATTATCTTGTTTAAAATTTATTATGAGAGAAGAACTATTATACACCATCCTTACACGGCTTTTGAATAACAATTATTTTTTTTCTGATTTCTTCTTTGCACTTTTAATTGTATTATCCACATAAGTCATATGATACAATTAATAATTATAATTTTGAGCCGTACTGTTTTAAAAGTAAAATAGTTTTTGCTCTCGCGACTATCTGTCCTTAGGATTGGATTCTATAACTGTCTATCAACATACATTGAATTATTTTAGATTAATATCAGTATCAGTGTATATGTTTCAACCGCTTGCGCCCTTAATTCTAATACATCGTCGTCACATTGCATATTAATACTTTATAATCGAATAGTACGTATATATCATAATTCATATTTTGTAATATATGTAGTTATTAAATATTAAATATGTATAATGTATATTATATATTCATATGTATATAATGTTTATTACACCAGATCCATTCGATGAAAATTAAATAATTCTCCTGACCTCAAATTTATAATCCTCATTTTTTTTTTGTTTTTTTTTGTTTTTTTTTTTTTTTTTAATTTCTGCACAATAATTAATGCAACGGAAGAACGGCGACAAGACGACGATAAGCAAGTTTAAATAATTCATTCATAAATTTGTTTTGAATAATAATCATCATAATCGTAATTATTATCTTCATATGGGGCGCCCGCGTTGATTATCGTTAGATTATTGCTGACGCAACTCTATGAATATCTACGTCAATCCATGGGGGACACAACCTTCGTTACAGAAATAATAATAACGATATTAAAAAAGGAAGAGTAAATAATAAAAATTAAAATAAAACATTATACATATTTTTGATGTTGCCAAAGAGCGGCAGTGTGGCACAACCATGACTTAATGAACGAGCAAACTAATCATCGCTGTATCAATTTTATAAAAAAAAAAACTTAAAATAACTTTACAGTTTTTAGAATATCAGTCGTTCAATTTCGGGTGTTGTTATTTTATTAGTGGATATTTTTTTTATTGGTCAATGTTTTTAAAAAATAAAAAAACGATATATTCTTCTTCAACAAAAAGCTCGATCATTAGTTTTCAACATGATCACGAGTCTACTGTAGATTATTTTATGTTTAGTTAAATTCTTTCTCGATTATCTTCTTCAATTCCTCCCGTTTGTTTGATAGCTTGTTAGTTATGTTTCAATGAAGATGATATTTATTATCATAAACTTTTTGGCATTTTTCGACCAATGAAGACTCATAATCACGTTTACTAGGTTGATGCCAAACAATTATACAGCTTGTTTGTCGTACATAAATTTTTACATCGTAAATCGTAAATGGTAATGAAACCTATCTATTATGATTAAGAATATTAAAGTATAATTTAAATAGTAAATCGTTGCAAATGGGCCAAAGCTATAATGAGCAGTGGATTAATTATTGAATTACGCATTTTTGTTGACTTAAAATGATTTTCGACATAAGATTTGTCATTTTGATGACGGGAGGGAATTGTTGACTGATTTAATTTATTGAAGATAATGAAAGATTAATGGCATGTTGATCGCTGGTGTTAATTTACAGATTACACTGCCACAGTATCGTAGGGTGTGAGGAGTCCCCCGTGACTCCCGTTTGTGGTGGTTGCTTGCCGGCTGGGGACTTCGTTTCTACAACAAATATTAAACAGCATATTAACAGTATTCACTTTCAAAATACTTATCCTAATTATTTATTAATTTGAAATTTGAACCAATTATAGTGGAACTGCTTTTTACAGCCTTGTGCTTTTTTAGTGGATCAAGTAAATTAGCGAAGGGAAATGATGAATAGCAGCAGAAACAGCACCAGCACCATGATTGATAATTAATTAGCATTAATTCGCATTTAGGGTTTACTGAGCTAAAATTCTACGATGAAAATGTTAATGATTATTAATTTTTAATTATCACACTCCATGTATACGGTATGGAAGATTATTAATGCATGCAATGAATCATTCGCTCCTTAGTAGGGGTTATCCACAATCCATAACCTATATGATGATGAAGAAAAAAGCTTAGTTTATCTATTTCAAAAGATATACTTCGATTTTTAGGCTACTTTTTGGTAGGTTATATCTTTTAAAATAATAAAATTTTAGCGGTGGAAGCATTTGCTATTTTGATTCTTAGTTTTTGTTCAGCTAATTATAATCAAATTATATCTTTTAAATGGTATAGTCAGTTAGCAGACTTACGACTTCCTGAGATAAGAGTCATGAAACAATAGAAATGTTTTATTATTGATAAAACGTATTAATAGACCCGTAAATTTTTGTATACAGTAAAAAATTTTTTTTAATCGATGCAATTAATTTTTGTCTTCATCAATTAACATTCTTTTCTTCTATTTCAAAGTTTTAATTTATTGAGATTTTAAACTAAAAAAATCTTACTTGTTAAGAAAAAAAAAAAAAAAAAAAAGCTGAAATTAGAATATTTTAATAAAATTTAATTTTTTTTTAACTCAAGATGGAAGAAAAATTTTGTATACAGAATAATTGAATGTAAGAAGCTGATAATTAACCATCGAAGAATTAACTGTTGTTTAATTAAAAACAATTTTTTACTGTATACATAAAGTAAATATTGACAATGGCATGAAAGCTAATTATAAGGTTTATCAGAAACAAAATAGTTGCGTCAATGCTGTACTACTTTGTCTAAAACTTGACACCAGATCTTTTGTTATCATGGGATAGAAAAATTTTGAAAAATATTGGAAAAAGAGCGATTTATGATGGACTTTTCTTGAGGTTAATTTGTCCAGGCGAGCGCTACTGACCTCTCGATAAGTTTGCGCATCTCTTCAGTGGACATACCATCCTTGCCACGAGCATTAACTGTAAAATAAAAAAGCACACCAACCGATTGACACATTAAATCGATTAATGATTTTTCACAATGACATATAAAACATGCAAAATGATAATGATAAGCTATGAAACATTTAATGATGATTCGTTGAGTTTCATTTTACTCTTCCTGTAAAAATTGGATTAAAACGAAAAAAACTATTTTTCTTTTTGCTCTAACTTAAAAAGTTTTTTTTTTTTTGAAAAACCCAATCATTGACTAATTTTAAATTATACATTTCACACGGATATTTCATGCATTTTTTTAATAAACATTAAAAACATATAATTGTTAGTCACTTTTGTTAGTTATGTCCTCCGTAAACTGTATGCCTGAAAATTTATTCATTTGGCAATTGAAAACAATAATCTGGTTAATAAAAATGTGCGCTTATGATAATAACATACGCTGAAAAAAACTATTTGATTCAAGAAAAATATTTTTTTCATTATTTTACTGTTGTTTCATTTTGAGATATTCAGTTCCTAATTCAAGATGTTTAAATCAAAAAATTAAAACTCGAGGTTGAAAAAAAAGTTTTCTATTAAATAATTTTATTTCTTATTAATGGTACACTTTATTATTTTCCATATACTTTGTCTAGAAATTTTTCTTTTCCTCGATTTCCTGGTTCACGATATTACTAACTTGTTTTAAAAATATTATTAAAATTAAAAACTATCGAATTTTATGACAAAAAACAATCTAAAATAATTTTTTTAGAATATGTACGTTGAAGTAACGAATTTGTTTTTTTAAAGATTTTTTATTAATTAAAGAAAAAAAAATCTGCTTTGAGTGAAGAATATAAAAATTCTTAGAAAAAAATAAATTTATTCTTATTTTTCGGAAATTATTCTCGAAAGAAAAATTTCATTGTATTTATCAAAGATGATATAGTTTCAATTGAAAATGCATATCTTTTATCTAAGATGACAAAAAATTCTTGAATTAGAAAAATATTTCTCTCGAATCAAGACAATTTCTCCACTGGCGTAAAAGTAAATCCTTAAAACTATAACTAAAACTAATAAATTAGTTACGTGAATCAATCAAGTAACTTAATTTGAACAAATTTAGTTTCAAATTAATTAAAACTTGATAGTAAATATAGTTCATTAACTCTGCATGATGTAATTATAAGGTTTAATATCCCGAATCTATAATAAACGGTAGAAAAATATTAAACAACAGTTTTGACATTGAATTTAAAAATGAAATAACTCACCACCGTAGTTACGATTCATTTGGAGTTGATCACGATCGCATTCCGCTTCACTAATTTCATTACTCTCTTTGCTGTCATTGAAACTGGAGTTATTTGGGTCGTGGTTTCGTGGTGGTGGTGGTGGAGGTTCGGGAGAGTTAGACATAGGGAGATTGCGAGCTGAACCAACACTACGACGTCCAACGGAACCACGAGACCCATAATGATCGTATGGAGCTCCGTATTGTCCGTATTGTGACCCATATTGATCTTCTTCGGGCGCGCAGTTGGCTGGATCATCATATTCCGGTGAAAATACAGTCTGTCCTCCCTGAGAAGGTACTCGAGAGTAACGTCCGTTTTGTCGTGGCTAAAAATGAATATTTGTTGGTTGTTATCCTTATTTTTAACTTAAAGCAATAAATAATTTCCGTACCATTGATTGTGACCCAGATCGGCTGTGTGCAGAAGCATTGGTAGGATGTCCAGCTGGTGGTCCCATAGTGCCAGAATGTCCATTGGCAGGGTGTGGGAATGTTTGGAATTGCATTGCTTTAGAGGGATCCATTTCCTCACGGAATCCGAGCAAATGGAATGTTGCGTACGGACAAATTTCATCTTCCATACCTAAAGTCATATCAGTAAATCGGGTAGATACTGTGGTTATATCAACACTAATTCTACTATTTAGTATATTTCATGTGATTGTCAAATTAAAAAGTTATATTATAAATTAATATGTTTATAAAGTAAAGCAAAAAAATAGTTCTCTTCAAAAATTGTTTGGAAATAAGAACCACTTAATTTTTCGAGTTTTATAGTAAAAAATATTTTAACAAATCTTATTAGTTTTATTTCCGAATACTTTTTCTCATCAAATTATTCAATGTGCCTATTTGAGTTAGGATAATAATTAAAAATAAAATCTAAACCAGTTAAGTAATTTATAGTATATTTTAATTATGCTAAAATTATCAAATTTTTTTATGATTTTTTTATGATTTTAGAAAAAAAAATGATAATGTTTGTATTCTACTTATAAAAACAATTACAAAAATTTTTAATGTAAACTTTTCAAATTTTCATTTTTACAAAATTTTTTTTCTAATTGTTGTATTTGTAATAAATAAAAAAAAAACCTAATCATATTTTTACAGCAAAAAATAGGGCAGTTCCAACTTCCAAAAAATTATTTTCGTTTTTACATTGATGTAAAACGATGTACCATTTTAATTTCAATAATGAAATATACAAATAAATAATTATTAAAAACATAAGATATAATTATTTACAATTTTATAATACAATGGAATAAAAAATACAGAAATAACTAATGTGATAACTATCTATTTACACTGAAAAAATTAGTAAATTGTTTGTGTTCGGTATAATCACCTACCTCGGATACAAGAAAATGTTCAATAAGTATAGTAATCAAATTACATTATAAAAAAAAACTAGAAAGGTTTGACGATATTCAACTATAGAGTGGAAGTGTGATGGATGAAAATGATTGTGTTAGAGAACTAATAAATTACAAGTAGCCCATGCGGACGTGCAATAAGAAACTTTTATGACCACCGGATAACGTAGAGGACTTACAGAACTTATGTTGTATCTGCTCCGATTTGCGATAAACACCAGTCAGCAAGTAGATGAATTAGTTGAAAAATGACTCGAATTTTATCACAATCAATATTTTAAACCGAATTTTTTTTTAAATGTTATATTTAATAATTTTAATTAATTAATTAATTTAAATTAAATACCTTCAAAATATTTGATTATACATTTATACAATTTCATTAAATCATATAAGAAATATATTCTAATAGGGGTTAATTCTATAGATAAATTCCATTATATATGCGCAAGCATGTTAGTATACATATTATTATCTATCAGATTAGTATTCGATGCGCTAGTTAGACTGGACTTTAAAGATGATGCGACGATTTGGATACGCGATTACGAATTACCTACCTCTGTGGGATAGAGCGTCAGTACTGCCTATACGAGGTGGTGGCGGTGGACACCTTCGGTTAGGTGCACAGTGTGATAATTCTTCGTACATGTGTCTTCGTGGGTCCCACGTCGAGTGACTTCTAAATGAACCTGTTGGACCTGTACCAACATATGCTACACAACGACTATCACAACCCAATTGCGTTTACCAAGATCCTTTAATCTCACAATCGAGACAGTCAAATGTAATTTGCTTAATATGTAAGAAGTTATTAAGCGTTAATTTAAATTTAATTAATCTTGGTTTACGCAAAGGATACAGCAAGCTTAAAAAATAAATAAAAGTAGCCAATGCATAGTCGGGGTCAACGCAGTGATAATTTTAATTCAGCAAACAAAATAAATTAAATAAGGTGGCGAAGCACCTAATTTCTAGCGCGTCAACAAAATTATGTATAATATTTGATTGTGATTTTTATAGCAATAATTTTTTATGATATGAATGTTTTACAGAAGAAAAAGGACAGTTTTAGTTTTATTGCCCGTCACCTATGCCCGTATGGTCATAATTATTCATAGATTTATAATTATATGTTTTTATTTGCATTATATACAATTAAACTTTTAAGGCATGACTCTAATTAATAGAAAGGTAATTGTTTGAAAGTGGGGACCACTTCATTTTTAGCTATAAAAAATTGAAAAATCTATATTTTATTTTTTTTACTATGAATTTCAGATAAAAATTATAAAAACAGTTCAAAATAAATTTTTCAAGCTCTTTTGAAGCTTTTTATGCTAAAAAAAAAAAATAAATGTTTACCACAAATAATTTTTTTTTATGAAGATAATTTGAAAAAAAAATATTCAATGTTAACTTTTCGAATTTTTAAGATTGTTGCAAAAATGTTTATAAACTTTTGAAAATTTGTTCTTTAAATAAATATATTTTTAATTAAATTTAAGAAAAAAAATTAGTAAATGTTAAAAAAAAAATTTAATCAACTTTTTATAACCACAAATAGGCTCCTACTTCCAAATAATTTTGAAAATAAAAGTTTCCTTAAACTGTCATTTCAACTTAATGGTGGTATTCGATGAAAAAATTAAAATTTAATTTAAAGAAAAAAACGATCGTGCGATCGATACAACATCTAAATAATTGGAAAATGATGATCTAGGAATGTGAGGAATGATGGCTTACTTATCACTGTACCTCGCTTGATACGATCACAGGTGTTGTAGTTAGAACCAGGTACCGGTGGTAGTTTACGGTTTGGAGGAGCGATATATCCTAGCTCATCACGGAGATCTGGTCGACGTTTGTCTAACGTTGCACCTACTACACCAGTCTGTTGATAAACGACGTCATCTAAAATTAAAATTATTGTTACACATCAGTTACTTTCCTTTGGGTGCTGATTTCATTAATTATTAAATTAAATAATAAATTATAAACAATATAATTAATCGTAAAAAACACTAATTTTTATACATTGGCCTTCATAGTATTTTTCATCGGCGGAAGGAATTCCTCGAAGCCGAGTTTGTTCGGGACCTCGAGTTCTTCTTGATACGGCCACACAAATAACGATAATACCAACGATGACAACAACTACGGTAGCAATAGCCGGTACTACAACATTGATATTCATCCAAGACGGTATCCACGGGAAGAGTTGTCTTACGTCGGTAGTTTCAGGGGCTACATTGTTCCTGACAGGCGGTGCAATAGTACCTATTGAAAAAAACAAAACCATATTGGTAGTAAATTTCTACACACCTTTGTCACTGGAACCATGGCCTTTGCCTTTGAGCACACAAATTACGATGACGGCAACGATTATCACAAGAAGGGCAGCGACCACTGGGACAACCAAATTTAAATTGGTCATAAATGATTTCATTGGATCCTCGTCGTTGCTGCCACCGTTAACATCTGGAAGCTCGCGAGCGGGTGCAATGGTGCCTGGAACAAAAAAACTCTATACTATTAGTACTTCCAGTCACCATTAGCACCAGGCAATGATTCCGTTTCACATTTAAACGTTACAGAATATCTGAATCACACGCCAGAAAGAAGAAAGACATTCCAATACAAGTGTCTAAGGGTATTATGCATCTAGAAAAGTAGAACATTCCAAATTGCGCATTGTAAATGCGTTGTTGACTTGATTGAATTAAATTTGATAAATAAAATTCAGGAGCTGAGAGCGAAAATTGAATTTATATTCAGCCAAGAAGAAACATAGTGATTGGTGATTGTTATTTGAAGTTCGGAGAGAAAAATAGAGATGAAAGTTGAAATTTTGTTGGTAAAAAAATGCATTATTAATGATCAGTTATGCATGTATGAATTGGAGAATTGTATTAATTAATCCGTTTGAGGTTTTGAAGAATAAAAAGAAATCTCAGCAGGAGAAATTTTTCCATCAAAAAAGAGACGATTACTCCGATGAGTGTAGAAAAATAGTGAAAAGAGTGTCCAGACTTGAGAGCTAGTAGAGTGGTGTATGCGATTACAATAGATATCTGATTGCAACCAGAATCTTTGTAACCAGAAGCCACCATTACTTACCCCCTGTTACTGTCAATGTTGCAAATTCATACTCAGCTACTGCGAATCCAGCATTGTTGTGAGCTGTCACACGCAGGTGATACCAGTTTGCTGGGTCGAGATCAAGAACAACGAAATTGCTGCCAGGTTTCACATTATTTGATACTTGATTCCATTCTTGCTGTTGCCTAATGAGTAATAATTTGATATATTTTGATAGTTTGTACAATGAGTATATTTCATCAATAAAATTTTTATTCTTACTTCTTCTTGTGTTCGACTACGAAATAAAGCATGGGACATCCGCCATCAGACCAAGCGTTCAAGTGAAGAGTTATGCTGTTGGTTGATACTTCGATGAATCGTGATGCTTCAGGAATTATTGGTTTGGATCCTTTGGTGCGAGTGTTGAGAATATCTGATGGGTTACCGGTTCCAATACTACAAAAAGATATTTTTATTAATTTGAAAACACAAGTATGATTATTTATTGACTAAAAAAATTGTGAGTTATTGATGAATAACGAACGTACCCATTGTAAGCAGTTACATAAATTTGGTAGCGTGATCCGCACCATAAATTCTCGAGTGTGTATTTTTGGGCAGTTGAGCTTATTTGCACTGTTTCCCAATCTCCAAATTCGGGTTTGTAGTGAATAGTGTATCCGTGAATTGGTGCATTGTCCGTTGAATGTGGCCGGAGTTTCATTGTCAGTGAGTTTGTAGTTGTAGCAGTGAGAGTAACTTGCGGCGAATGCGGTGGTGCTGCGTAAATTTAAACAGAACGAAATTAGTAATTTGCTGTTTCTCTGTTGTTTTTTATCAACAATCTTTTAAAACTTTTTTTTAATATTTCAAGAGGTTAATTGTACGACTATAGTCATCATTCATAAAAATATAACAATAATAGAAAGATTTTTTTGTAAAACATTGTAGTTCTATTTTAATTAGAAGAAAAGTCTGAATTTTTTTACCGCATTGAAGTTATTTTTTATAATACTATGAATTTAGCAGACATCTAACCATTTTTTCTCGAATTAAAGAAATAAATTGAGTACCATGAAAAAATTTTTTAAAATTCCATTCATAGATTTTTTTTTTATTTTTACAAGTGGAATTTAGTGTAGTGGAATAGTGTAGTAATTTTTCTAAGTTATAATTAAATTTTTTTACCGTGAACGATCAATTGATGAGTGACAGTATCATGACCAAATGAATTTTCAACATAACAAGAATACTCTCCGGCATCAGCACGATCAACTTCCTTAATAAATAGAGATCCTTCCGGCAATTGTCGAAGTCTATCGCTCGTCTGAAGTTTTGCATCGCGAACTTTCCAAACAACTTCTGGAGCCGGAACACCAACAGCGAGACACGGTAATTTAACATCCTCTTTGTAAGTCGCGGTAAATTTATCGTCGAACGATGCAATCTTTGCCGGAACTGGAATTAAAAACGATTTAATGCAAAAAACAACTTTAACAATAATGACTTCTTTTAAAAAATACACTATAATTATTTTTACAATTACCTCTATCATTTGGTGTCAGCGAAACAATTTTCGACGCCTCTCCTTCACCGATATTGGTACTAGCAGTTACCCAGAAGTCATACCGATGCTGTGTATCCAATCCTTTAGCTTCATAAGTCAGTTGACTTGGAAGTACCTTGTGACTAACAGGTTCTTCAACATTATCGGCTTTAGTGTAAACCGTGTACTGAGAAATAACTCCGTTGGGCTGAATCGGTGGGCGCCATGATACAAGAATAGATTCGCCGGACATAACTAGCGCTTTGATAGCAATTGGCGCTTCAGGTGCGTCTTGTTCCGTTTGACAGTGAATTGGTGCCGACTTAACTCCATCACCTCCAGAAGTAAATGCAAGGACTTGCATGCTGTAGTTGGTGTATTTTTTAAGTCCGTGTAAAATTGTTTCGCTTGATGATGTAATTTTTGTGTCCTTTGTGTTCTCATCGTACCATGTTTCAGATGGGCCATATATTACCTAAAAAAGAACCAAGACATTAAATAGTTGTTTTTAAAATTCAAGTATTTATATGCAATTATCTCAATAAATTTAATCACCGTAATTATTATCTTTTATCGTGTATTAGTCAATAGGTTGACGTTATGCTATTTGTAAATCATTGAAACTCGTAAATACTAAATCACTCAAGCGCGATTGTGATTACTATTATCGCTAAATAAATTATGTAAACCCAAGGTATTAAAATGATTCACAAGATTTATTTTCTAAGATTATTATTTACGAGTCTATTGATTTCACAGTTTAGGAAAATTATATTCACAATTTTCTTCGATTTCAATCATTTTTCAAAATTTAAATGTAAAGGCCAATTGAAATTTTTTCAATATTCTTCCCTAATATACAATAAAAACTTATTTTTTCTACTTATACATTGAGAAAAAAAAATCTGTTTTGAAAAAAATGAACAATGTTGTTGTAATAAGAAATAAAATTGTTGAAAATTTTTAACAGATCCATTTCTTGTCACAGCAATACCCTTCTTTTTAAAAAAATTTTTTTACCAATAGTATGCTGTTTTTTTTTTTTTTTTTTTTTTTTCATTACTAAGGTATCAAAGAATTAAAAAAATTGGGCCGTTCAATTCATTACGGTATAGTTCAGATATTTATATCAGCGCTCAATCGTTATCCTTCTTTACGTCGTACATTAGGTAAATGTGAGTTTTTTCTTACGACAAAAATAAAAAAGATAATTTTAATCACCTGGTTACTAAAAAGTTAAGCTACTTACTTTGTAACCAGTGATAACACCATTTGCAGCAGTAAGAGGTGGCGATACCCAAGAAACTCGGATAGTTTGAGAGGTTAGCGTGGTGCAAGTAGTGTCATGGGGTGGTTGTTCGGGTACTCCTTCAGCGGTATGTTGTCGACGTTCTTCACTCATCGGTCCGGAACCAACTTTGTTAAATGCCTGAACAACAACACTGTACTGAGTGTAAGTTTTGAGGTTCACTATCTGCAAATGATGTTCTTTGTTGTCTTCCTTTGAGAACTCGACTGTTTCGAACATGTAAGGCTTCTCAGAAGAAGATAGGCGGTAACCGACGTAGTAACCAAGGATTTCACCGTTCCAATCCTCTCGGGGTGGTGGTTTCCATGTAACCTAAAATGTTTTTAATCATATTAATGACAATTTATGATATCAAGGAAGAAAAAGAATAAAATGTATCATCTTCCATACCTTAAGTGTGTGTTGGTCAAGAGCATCAACTCGTACAGAACTTGGTGGACCAGATGGAGCTTCTTCAGCAGTGATAATCGTGACTGTATCAGACGGATCAGAATTGCCGATTTCATTTTCAGCGACAATGCGAAGATGATAAGTAGTTGCAGGTCTGAGATTGAAAACACCGGCTACATTTTGCTGAGTCGCTGGTACGATAACCCGGTCAATGTCGGTTTCCCAAGATCCTTTGCTCATTTTGTATTCAATAAGGTATCGCTTGATGGGACTGTTTCCGTCGTAGGGAGCTGCCCAAGAAAGTTGTACTGACCGTCCAGATTTATCAAGAACCTTGAGTCCGTATGGAACTTCAGGAACCTCTGAAGATAAAAATAAAAAATAAATAAACAAATATTCCTCTAATCTCTTCTTAAATACAAGTTAAATTTTGAATTAGTGACGAACCTTGAACAATCATATTAATGCTGGTATCATCACTTCCAAAAGCATTTGTAGCAACACAAGTAAACAATGCAGAATCAGATCTTTCAGTTCTCTTGATACTCAAGTCCGCCAAAACACCATTAGCCAGAATCTCTTCACGAATTGTGTAACGAGAGTCACTCTTCGGATCCAATCGCTTGTTGTTCATGTTCCACAAAATTCCGATTGGTTTCTCGCCCTGTGCTTCACATTGCAATACTGCTGGTTCACCACGACGAGCAGTCTGGTTACGAAGTTTGATTTCAAAGTGCGGTGGTGCTAAATTAATCAATTTTTCCATTAGTATTTTTGAAAATACTGAACGATCTATTCAATAAGTAAATATTGAAAAATTCTGAAATACCTTGGACAGAAATAAGAATAACTGCAGACAATCCTGAACCAATTCCATTGACAGCCTCGCAAAGATAGTAACCTTCATTGGTTTTCTGAATGTTATTGATAGACAAAGTACCATCTTCTACGCTAATGTCAGGGTTGTTAAGCTTCAAGTCAGTGTAATCACCAGGTGTGTCACCTGAAAAGTTTAAAAATTTATTGTCAGATTAAAAAAATTATAATTTATTCGTTCTTTCAAAACTTCATTACTTTGAACGAAGAAAATTTCTTGTGATCAAAAGTACTTACCAGCAGCCCTTTTCCATGTAACCTGAGGCTTAGGGAACCCGTCAGCTTTACATTCAACTCTAGCATCGGAGCCTTGGGCAAATGCCTTGTCAGTCGGTTCAAGAATCCAACGTGGTGGTACTGTTACAGAAGATTATTCTTGAGTTTGAATTACTTTTTAGTTATTTTATTATCTAACAAAACGAGAGTAGTCCACAAGTTTTTGATATCAAGAAATAAACATTTTTTTTGTTCCAATAAATTTTAAATAATGAAATTAGTAATTGTATAAACGAATAAAAATTTTAAATATTTTAATCGTAATTTCATTGTGTGTTAAAAAAATTAAACTTGTCGGCTGCTCTTATCGTTTTAATGGCATGCACATACAAAGCATTTTGCTCTCATTTAAAAAATTTTACTGACATGCAAGAACTCTACTGAGGAGACCCATCGAGTACCAATTAAATGTTAATAAATAAAAGTATTATTTTTCTACAGTACTGCAAATACTGAAATTGAATAGCTTTAATTGAGCTATCAATGCATGCATTTTATATTAATTTCAAAGCTATGTACAATTGGTACACGTGGTATTATCAATGCACCATTGTAGGAATTTATGATAATTGTTAAGTTAATTTGTTAGTAAAAAAAAAAAAAAAATTATAATTAGATATAAAAGCATGCACTTAACGACAGGTATCTACGAAACGAAAGATGAGACGTGTGGGAGGTGAGGTAAAGGTTAATCAAGGAAATGCAACGTGTATTGTTAGGATGTGAGATCAATGATGATGGTTTAAGGACTGGGGGATGAATCGACTCCGCGTAGATGAAGACGAGAAGCGCAAAACCGGGCTCAAGCCTGATCAACAACGAGCGTCATCTGACTTTGTTTTTATATAATTGATTAATAAATGTATATTCTTGAATTGAATTGAAATGCAGTAAAGCAGTGGCAACGCTAGTAACAAACAGTTCGAATTCTAGCATGAAAATGTGGACCTAGCTAGTTTTTTTTTTGTTTCTTTTCGTGTCAAAAACAATGAACCTGTAACGATGGTATAAATGTAATAATAATGATAATGTTTAATAATGATCTGATAAATCACAATAATCTATAATAGTAACTCTACGATTCTTTTAACAGCCAAAATTTTCAAGATGTAAAAGATGAAGAAGCCGAATATTCGTCATTCCTTGAGCACAAAATACCTTACACACAGGATACGTTCAATGAACTTGGCGCGAAAAGCCATAGGTATCGCAGCTTGTGCCAGGTGATCATCCTCTGGTAAAATACGTTGAGAAAGAGCGTAAAATTATAGACACAAAAGGTATTGTAAGAATCAATCAAAGAAAATCAGAAATAAAGAATAGAATATTTAAATTGTTTCAAGTAGACGAGCGGTAAACAAAATATACTGGGATTTAATCAAAATATATATCATAAATTGGCTGTGGCATGGCAAGAATTCATTAGCAGGTATCTTGCCAACGGTTTTTTTTTTTTTTTTTTTTTATAAAATAACGATTTGCAGCGTTTGCACTCAGGCAGGAAGGTAAAAAAAAAATTATGCTTCGATTCACTGATAAAAAAGTTGACTCCGCATAGAGACATATCTTACGATGGTTCAATTAATTTAACAGTCAAGGGATTAATAAATATTTAAATTCAAAGCGAAACGTATCATTTTATAGCTTCAATCATGAGTCAATTCCATAAAGCCCCGCTGCTTGATGATGCAGTCGTATCATACAAAAAGAAGCTTTTTTTCATAATTATTATTATTAGGTATGTTTAATTCGAGTTTAATACTTTTCTGTTGGCTACGCCCTAACCGTAAACACGTAATGTTGATTCATAAGTTACTTTTCCAGAGGGATTTGATGCGACACAAGCATAAGTGCCGGCGTGTCGCGATGTCACTGGTTCGATCTGCATAATACTAGTTCGTGGGCCAAGCTTGCCGATGTTGTGAGGTAGTGATGGAGGCAAAGGCTTTCCATCAAGGGTCCAGTTTATCTGAATCGGTGTATCGCCAACCGGGACCATACATGCCAGCTGTGCTGCTTGCCCCTCATAGATCGGCTGCTCTCCAAAGTCAAAATGACTGATCCGAGGTAATACTGCAATTCAACATAATGCAGAAACGTCTTGGATAATATGTCACCGTTATAGCAATACTTTTTCACTTTTGTGTCCATATATGGAAGATATACTTTTAAATACTTTTAATTTGTAGGATCTACGACGGAGTTGGGAGCTAGGACGCATGGTTTCTCACTCACGGCTGTTTTCATTAAACTTTTTTTATCAGGATATTGAGATAAATGTCAGAAACTTTGAAGTCTCTAATCGTATTATTGGTTTTCTAAATTTCCTATGTATAGTGTTTTGTCGTGTAAAGATATAAGCACAAAAACCTACCAACCACGCTTAAATAGAATTATACATTTATGCTGGGGTAATACAAAAAATCAACTAATTTCATAGTTGAATCTTCTATGAAAATATGTTATTTAACGATTTTTCAAAACTTTCTCCAAAAATTAGCTTGATAAATAATTTTTAAGGGTCACTTAAAACCTTTAAAAATTTTCAGATTCGTCCAAAATTAAATTTTTTGCTTTCAATCTTTTCTCTCGTTATTCTATCATTTTTGATGTGATAAGATATAATCTGAAATTTTTGACAAGTTTGAAAGCTTTCAAAAATCTTGAGTGACCCTTAAAAATTTTTGAATCGAGCTGATTTTTGAAAAGGGCTTTCAAAACATGCGAAACTAAACTATTTTCGTAGGAGACTTGAAGCCAAAAGTAGTCAGTTTTTGCACTACCCCAATTTATACATAGTATGACAGTAGAACAAAAAATACGGGATTCCAATAAGATGCATTTACTCCGACTTTTTTCAAAATTTACCATTAAAAAATGAAATGCAAAATCACAATCGCGACTGTGTTATAAAATTTTAAATACCGTTGACTTTAAGGTGTGCACTGTGTCTAGCACGACCTGCGGGATTGTCCGCAACGCAAGCATATTCTCCGGCATGTTCTCCTTTCACAGCCGGAATTGTCAAAGCAGAGACTCGGTCTCCTAATGCAGTGATCTTGATACTTTCGTCAACTTCTAAATGACGTCCTTCAAATAACCACTTAAGGGTTATTGGCGTGTCACCTTTTACCACCGCGCACTGAACGATTATCAGGTCACCGGAATTGGTTTCGTCGAAGGAAAAAGGTTGGAGATGTGGAGCAACTGTGGACATCGATTACAATCTATTTGAATTATCTAATCGCGTGATAAATATATTTTCTAATAGAAACACTGCTTTTGTCGTAATATTATCAATTTCGTTTTTGGTCCATTCGCTTCGATGAATTTTTAAAGTATCGGAAGATAGGATAAATAATAGGTATAAATTATTCATATAAAAAGAATGGAGTAATTAAATAAATAAATAAATATAAGAAGCATATGGTATATGAAATATAATAAAAACTGAGATGCTGTGTGATATATTCGAGATAAACTTAAGAAATCGGGAGAAGCGTGAATAAAGCACACCATTGACTATGAGATCGGCGGAAAGTTCATGCCTTCCAGCAGAATTTTCCGCAATACAAGTATAAGTTCCCGCATGGGTTGCTTGTACAGATCCTATGCTCAGTATGGCGCCTCGTCCGCCAAGATCCAACACAGATATTCCTGAGTGAGGTGATATTGTATGACCGTTTAATATCCAACGGAGCTTCAAAGGCGGATCACCTTCGGTCACTGCACACGGCACTGTTACTACTTGACCCGAGTTAAGAGGCTCCTCGCCAAATGAGAATGGTAATAATTTTGGAATAACTGTAATTAAAAAAAAATAGCAAAAAATCCGCGTAAAAATGAACCGTCTATCATCCCTTGAGTTTTTACACTCTGAATTTTCTGATTTAGTCTTTTACTGTTAATGCCACGTGAAAGTCGTCGTCAAGATCTCTAGGTAATGGTTTTAAAAGGAAGAGGATAGATATGTTAACGATGACTAATCATAGACATTATGACATGACTTAAATACCATTGACATCGAGTACCGCCGAATGAGAACTGGACCCAGCAGCATTGGATGCAATACATGTATACTCTCCTGCGTGTCTTGCTGCTACAGCATCAATTGTCAACTGTTTAACTCGTTTACCGGAGTCTGATATTATAATATCTGAACGATCAGGTCCAATGGGATAACCCTTGAAAATCCAGGTGATCTCCAAAGGGAAATCTCCTTTGCTTACTGCACATTGGATTGACGCTAAATCTCCAGCATTCACGGGTTCGTCGCCAAAACTCAAGGGCAAGATCTGTGGAGCGACTACGAAAGAGTTTTTATGAATATAACGTGAGGAATTGAAGGTAAGTAGGTTCGACAGTGCTATTTAATTGGTAGGGAACATCTCATCGTTTACGTCCATAATGTTTAACATTGACAGATTATATGTCTAGTCAACTATACCATTAACTGAAAGAACTGCGGAGCGACTGGTGGAACCAGCTTGATTACTCGCTTCGCAACTATATTCCCCAGCGTGTTGTGCGGTTACAGCGTCAATGCTTAAAAGGGAAATCTTCTTTCCAGTTTTGCTTATCATAATATCTGGATGATTTTGACGGGTTATCGGTTGACCGTTAAGACTCCATCTAATTTCTACTGGTTGATCGCCTTTCAAGACACTACACATCGCGGAAACCTGTTCTCCCCAATTCGCTGGTTCGTCGCCAATAGAAAACGGCGCAATTTGAGGACTTACTGAAAAATCAATATAATCCGCGGAAGTATTTAATAATAATAGTTACGACAAATTGATTTTATTTCACTGAATCTTTGTGCAAAAATATGTAAGGGATTGAAGGTAAGTAGGTTCGTCGGTGCTATTTGATTTGTAGGGAACATCTCATCCTTTACAACCATATTATTCAACATTGACCGATAATATATCTAGTCAACTAGTCAACTATACCATTAACCGAAAGGACTGCGGAGCGACTGGTGGAACCAGCTTGATTACTCGCTTCACAATTATACTCCCCAGCGTGTTGGGCAGTTACAGCATCAATGCTAAGAAGGGAAATCTTCTTCCCAGTTTTAGTTATCATTATATCTGGATGACTTTGACGGTTTATGGGTTGACCATTAAGACTCCAACGAATTTCTATCGGTTGATCTCCTTTCATGACACTACATGTTGCGGATATCTGCTCTCCCCAATTCGCTGGTTCGTCACCAATAGCAAAAGGCGCAATTTGAGGACTTACTGAAAAATTAATATTCCCGGAAGTATTTAATAATTTTTTCTAGAAATCGATTCATTTCCATCGGTACTTTTCGCGAAATTTCGGAAATAGTCATCAAGTATAGGAGAATAAGTGGACAGGATAGTTCATAAAGGATATAGCATGAATATTGAAATGTACTGTAAATCACTTTAACAGCTATATACCGTTAACAGCCAACACAGCAGAGTGGCTTGAAGCTCCTGCCTTGTTCGATGCGGTACAAGTATATTCGCCCGAGTGTCTTGCGGCAACAGAGTCAATCGCCAGCATACTATGACGCTTGCCATTAGTTATCGTGATGTCAGTACGATGTTGAGTCAACGGTTCACTGTTGAATGCCCAAGCGATATCCAAAGGCAGATCACCCTTAGAAATAGAACAGGTTACCGATACCGCATCTCCCGAATTCGAAGGCTCGTCACCGAATGTAAATAGGAGGATCTGTGGGACAACTAAGGGCTTTGCTTAACGCACGTTGCTAAATTAGGACTATTACTTAAGTATCTATGATTTAAATTATTGCTGCGTCCATAGCTGCACCTAAAAACGTAAGTACTAAAAAATAAATATGTAAATAAAAGGATTGGATATACAAATCATAAATGGAAACATAAGTTAGCGGTTAAACAAAAAAAGTGCATTTGTGAATAATGATGCGTGCATCGTTTTGTTTTGATTTTACACAAAGTTGTTATTGACAAACGAAAAAAATTCTAAAAAATAAAGCTTGTACTAATACCGTTCACCGCCAAAATTGTCGAGTGACTGACGTTGCCCGCTCGATTGGTAGCGACACAACTATATTCGCCCGCATGCCTTGCCGCGACAGATTCTATGCTGATAGCGCTCATATGTCTATTGATTCTTGTTACAACGGTTTCTGGATTATTAGAATCGATATCTTTGCCATTATGACGCCATTTAATTTCCACGGGAAAATCTCCTTTCACAATAGAGCATGTGGCTGATACCATATCACCCCAGTTTGCTGGACCATCACTCATTGAAAATGGGCCTATCTGTGGTGCGACTGGAAGATTACATCACAGGTTTTCAAAAAACAACATGGATATGATTCTGTTCAGGATTCTGTTCAGGATAGATGAGGATAATATGAAATGACACGTCTCTTAAGGTCTCTAAACGTGAAATGCTCTAAATGATCAATTAGATGTACCATTAACCGCTAAAGGTACAGAGTAACTGGTTCCACCAGCAACGTTACTGGCGCTGCATGTGTATTCTCCTGCATGTCGTGCAGAAACAGCCTCTATTGTCAACAAACTCACTCGTTTGCTCGTATTGACAATGGTTATATCGGTATGATCGCGGTTTATTAGCTCGCCATTGAGCGACCATTCTATGTCAATTGGGTAATCGCCTTTAAGTACTGTGCAAGTTGCCGTGATCGTATCCCCCCAATTTGCAGGCTCCTCGCTGATTATAAACGGTGCGATCTGAGGAGAAACTATCAATTCCAACAGACATAAGTAACATATCACATAACATCATTCGATAATAGAACTTAGCTGATAGTCACGAATAGAAATTTTTTAGTACCATATGATGGGGAAAGTAGGGTTGAAGCGGTCGTGCTTTCGCTTGATTACTGATATCATTACATTTATGAAAAAAAAAAAAAAACATTTCAATAAAGCATTTTTTGTATGTTGATAAGCGATTTTGGCACAAGACTTGAGAAACAATTCCCGAAAACCTACCATTGACTATCAAAGTCGCCGATTGGCGCGCAGTACCAGCCTCATTTGTTGCTATGCAAGTGTATTCCCCTGTATGTCTTGCTACTGCTGATTCTATGCTGATGACACTCATATGCCTACTTATTGCATTTACTACTATATCTGACTGATCGTTATCGATCGGTTGACCATTGTGTTGCCACAATATTTTCATTGGAAAATCACCTTTTAATACCGCACAAGTTGCAGACACGGGTTCGCCTGAGTTTGCTGGGCTATCGGTAAACGCTATCGTACCTATTTGTGGCGAAACTAAAAAGAAAAGGTGCTGTGCATACCCTGATAGCCAAACCGGTCGCAACTTTCCATTGATTTGCTGCAGCAACTTGTCACCAAGTTGGCGGCAAGTCTTGGAAATGAACTCGGTTGTTCACCAAGTTGTCGCCAAGTTGTCGGCAGAAATTGCTTTCGAAACTCTTTCGCACCAAGTTGACGACAAGTTTCTCCAGAAATTTGGCGACATATTGCGGCAGTAGATTGGTCTTGTTTTTCTCAGAAACTTGTAGCCAACTTGACGCCAACAGTTTCAAATTCGGAAGTTGACCGCAAGTTGTCGGTAAGTTGGTGGCAACTATCTGACACCAACTTGGTTGGTCTGAAACTGTAGCTATCAGGGTAAACTAAAACTCTATGGTATATTGATAACATTCTCCGTCCTGTCAATTTTAGTATCGTATTTACCGATGATTTTAAACTACTTTGTTCTTTTAATCCTGTTAATAAATTTTTAAACTTTAGTCCTTTTAAAGAAGAGAAAAGGATCGTTAGGAAAAGTGGAGTCGATAATTAAAATTACGGTGGAAAGTGAAGGAGACGTCTCGTGCTAACGAAAATGACCATACAAGTATTCAACAATCGCACAATTTTTTTTTTAAAACTGTGTACCATTTACTGCTAATGACGATGAGTAACTTGTTCCTCCTGCCACATTGCTTGCAGTACAGGTGTATTCTCCTGCATGTCTTGCTGACAGGCCATCTATTGTTAATAAACTAACCCGCTTACTCGTATTAACTATTGTAATGTCTGAATGATCTTTCCCGATTGGCTCGCCGTTCAGTGCCCATTGAATGTCTATCGGAAAGTCACCTTTCAATACCGTACAGGGTGCGGTTACTGTATCACCAGCGTTCGAAGGATTGTCACCAAAATCAAACGGAGCGATCTCTGGAGCAACTACGGATAGGATTCAAGTGGATGTTATATTTAAGGAATCAAGGAAGCGTTAAACAAAAGCGTTTTGTTAATATAAAACCGCTACACAATTGTGCGAAATGAATTTCGAGTAGTTTTCATCTATAAAATATACCATTAACAACTAACGATGCTGAATAACTCGTTCCACCAGCTTGATTGCTGGCTGAACAAGTGTATTCTCCAGCGTGATGTGCTGATACTGTATCAATTGTCAAGACACTCACGCGTTTACTTGTACTCCCTATCGTAATATCTGGATTATCAGAAAAAATAGGCTGCCCGTTCAACGACCATTCGATATAGATGGGATAATCTCCTTTTATGACAGTACAAGTTGCTGTAACGGTTTCTCCCGAATTCGCGGGTTCATCTCCGAAAGTGAAAGCTGCAATGCCGGGCTGAACTGTAGAAGAAGAAATTAACTCAAAATTATTCCCTAGAATCTGAATTTTAGTGAGGGAAAAGGAAATTTCGTAGATACCATCGTAAAAATACTTCTTTGGAACAAACTTGGTTCCATGCTAAAATGACATAAGTACCATTAACTATCAGTGATGCAGAATAACTTGTTCCTCCAGCTGCATTGCTTGCAGAACAAGTGTACTCTCCAACATGTCTTGCTGTCACTCCGTCAATAGTTAAAAAACTGACACTTTTGCTAGTTACTATTGATATATCCGGAAAATTATTATGAGAAATCGGATTTCCATTGAGTGCCCATTCGATTTCAATAGGCCGATCACCTTTTATTACAGTACAAGTTGCTGCAACAGTTTCTCCCGAATTTGCAGGTTCATCACCAAAAGTGAAAGCCGCGATGCCTGGTTGAACTAAGAAAGAAAAAATTAACTAAGAAAAAAAATAAAATTGATAATTTCCGAATGTATGAAGCTTCCATGTAGACTTATATGAAAAGGAAAGGAAATTTCGTAGATTTTGTCGTTAACATACAGTAAAACAAAGACAGTTCTACATTGAAATTTACTACTCTTTGATATGAGTACCATTAACAATTAATGACGCAGAATAGCTTGTCCCTCCTGCGGCATTACTTGCAGAACAAGTATACTCTCCAGCATGTCTTGCTGTCACTCCATCAATAGTCAAGAGGCTGACACTTTTCCCAGTTCCGATTGATATGTCCGGAAAATTTTGATGAGAAATTGGATCACCATTTAGTGCCCATTCGATTTCAATAGGTCGATCGCCTTTTATAACCGTACACGTCGCTGTCACCGTATCTTCCCAGTTTGCGGGCTCGTCTCCCATCACAAAAGGAGCAATTAATGGAGCAACTAAGGATAAATAAACCGAACAGAACAATGCATGAGGTAATTAAAAACATGGATAGGTTGAGGATTATTATGTTTCGTAGACAACCTGACGCGCTAAATATAATATACTGTGAATATAATATAATGGCCCTGTACCATTGACTGTTAGAGCTGCGGAATAACTAGTTCCACCAGCAGTGTTACTGGCGCTGCATGTATATTCCCCTGCATGACTCGCTGAGACGGCGTCGATAGTTAACAAACTAACACGTTTAGTAGTACTTATTGTTACACCCGGATGATCGTGAGTTATTTTTTTATCATTGAGGAACCATTCAATGTCTATTGGAAAATCTCCCTTGAAAACTGTACAGGTCGCGGTGACTGCATCGCCCCAATTAGCAGGTTCATCACCCATAACGAAGGGCACTATCTGAGGTGCAACTGGGAATAGGCATTATTACGAATTTAATGATTATGTAAGTGTGGAATTGGAAGGACATGGAAAATCTCATTATTTCGTAGATAACCTGACTATCTTTGTTAGTAATTACGGAAGACATTTCCACGGATTGTATTTTATACCATTAACTGCCAGAGACGCTGAATAACTTGTTCCACCTGCGACATTACTAGCACTGCAAGTATATTCTCCGGCATGATTTGCCGACACTGCGTCAATTGTTAGCACACTGACACGTTTACTGCTACTACTTATCGTTATATCAGGATAATTTTGAGCGATTGGCTCGCTATTTAAAGACCACTCAATAGTAATTGGAAAATCGCCCTTGAAGACTGTACATGTTGCTGTGACTGCGTCACCCCAATTTGCAGGCTCATCACCCATGACAAAGGGCACTATTTGAGGAGCAACTAGTAAAAAAGATTAAAGTAAATGTTATAAAGAGTTCCAAAACAGTGAAAAACTTATTTGCGAGTCAATTTCCCCAAGGCTGCTTGAAAGGAAAGGAAATTATTTAGGAAGTTGTGCGACATACGACTTTTAAAGACATACCATTAACTGTTAATGTTGCAGATTGGCTAGTTCCACCCGCAATATTTGATGCGGAACAAGTATACTCTCCCGCATGACCTGCCGCGACTGAATCGATACTCAAAATTCGATTTTTTCTGGTTGTCGCGACAATATTTATGTCAGAACGGTCACGACGGATTGGTTCACCGTTATGTGCCCACGTAATTTCAATTGGCAAATCACCTTTCAGTACGGAGCATGGGACACTTATCGACTCACCCCAGTTAACAGGGCCATCAGCCATTGTAAACGGTGCAATTTGAGGAGCGACTGAAAAACTTCTACATCATTAATCTCAGTAAGTAATTAAACAAAAAATAATTGCAGCGATGACTTAAATGGCGCAGGATAGGATTGGACAGGACAAGACGTACTGAAGAAACAATAATCTAGTAGTACACTATTTGTATTTAAATAAGGAACAAAATATTGTCTACCGTTGACCGTCAGCTCTGCTGAATAACTTGTGCTACCAGCTGCATTGGACGCAACACACGTATATTCTCCTGCATGACTAGGGCTTGCGGAATCAATCGATATAAGACTGTTTCGCTTAGTAGTTGTGACAGAAATGTGAGGATTATCATCGGTGATAGTCACACCGTTGAGAGCCCATGACAATTCCAATGGGGCATCACCACTTACAATCGTACACACAGCTGAGACAGATTCTCCCCAATTTACTGCCTTATCTGACATCTCGAAGGGAGCAATTCGCGGGGAAACTGTTTAATGTTTAAAAATAATAATTAATAATTAAATCAAACCAGAAAAGATAAATACTACTTCCATTTATTGGCAGAAACAGAAGTGAAATATCGTTACGACACTTGAATATACCAGTAATAAGATTCAGTGCCACCTACTCGATACCGATGGCAATGGAATGACAATTACGCTTAACCACCTGTCGACAATGGAGTAGGAAGGGAAAGTAAGTGCCTACGCACTCGCATATACAATCAATACATGCATCACCCACGGAAATCCGTCTAGCTAGCTTGTTTGTATTTGTACAAGTATGAAAATACTTCGCCTACGCATACCATTAACGGATAAATCGGCGGAATGAGAAGTAGATCCAGCTCTGTTACTCGCACTACAAGAATATATTCCTGCATGACGCGCTGCCACTGATTCAATTGTCAAGGTACTGGCTCTATTGCCACTCTTTCTCACCGCAATATCTCGATGCTGATGATTATTATCGGGAGTTGTTGCATCACTTTCAATTGGTATGCCATTCAATGACCAAATGATGTCCATCGGTAGGTCACCTTTTATTACAGCACACTGTACAGTTGCCATATCTCCAGCATTTGCTGCCTCCCCACCGAATGAAAAGGGAGCTATCTGTGGAGCCACTGTAATTTCCGTGCAGTTATGGGTATTTTATATGGATTCTAATCAGGAGGTAATTCTTATACCAATAAGTATAGGATATAAAAGGTTTGAGTGTTGTAATAATCATGTCGAATAGAAGAAGCGATGTGTATTAGGAGTTATAAACCACAGAGATCGTTATCGTTAAATCAAAACGACTCGTTTATATGTGTGTGGACGGCGGAGACGTTTACATACGGCAAGTAGCGATTCAATGAGCTCGAGATTTTATTACAGGAAGCAATTAGCTAAAAAGTCCCCGCGCGACCAGTGTAAGATTTGTTTTTGCAGAGAGATAAATTAATATCATCGTTGTCATGCTTAAGTAATACAAAAAATTAAGAAAACAACAAAATTTATCATTACCGCTGACGAAACAGCTCAAAATTAAAACTCAAAGGGAAATAAAAGTACAAATTTATATAGACAACGATGACAATATAAAAAAATAATAAAGCCCAACATAAAATTTTAAACTCTACAAAACATTTATTTCAAGCTACCATTGACCGCGAGAACAGCTATATGACTGTGAGATCCGGCCGCGTTCGATGCGACGCATTTATATTTTCCAGCATGTCTTGCCGATACACTATCGATGCTCAAAAAGCTGACCCTTTTATTATCAACGATTGTTATGTCACTACTATCGAAGTCAATAATCGGTTGATCGTTGATCATCCACATGAATTTTACTGGCAAGTCACCTTTGATGATCGTGCATGAAATTGAAAGCATTTCCCCAGAGTTGAGAGGCTCCTCACCAAATGAAAACTGTAGGACTTGAGGCGCGACTGCGAATATAACCGTTTATCTATTATACAATTATTCAAAATTTTCAATTTAATCATTCAGCTCATGGAAGTCATTATCAGTTCGACAAGCGATTGTGTTGAAACAAGTAAATAAACATCGAAAACAGAGGTGAGGAAGAAAGAAAGGAGAAGCTGTTTCGAAAAGGAGGCATAATAACTGACGTGTTCATCAATTGTTTCGAATTACTATATCATGATGAACTGGAGAACATATGCGTGCAAAATAATGCAAACAAGCAAATGATGAATAAAAAATAGTCAACTAATATAATGAGTAGATGAAAAATGATAAATATTATTTGGATAAACTAAATGAACAAAAAAAATATAACAAGCTTTATGTATATCACAGCTTATAACTTCGATCAGATGAATCCGCGAACCGTTTACTGTGAGAGGTGTCGAGTAGAAAGATGTCCCAGCCGGATTCTCAGCTGTGCAAACGTAATCCCCCGCATGTTTAGCAGTCAAAGAAGATATCATTAACATGCTAACACGATCCGCGACCTTCTTCGCGATCACGCCGGATGAACCGCCCATTTCTTCACCGGGATAGCTCCAGCGTATTGTTAAAGGCAAATCCCCGGTAGGCACAATGCATTGCAGATTCGCGAACTCTCCGGCATTCATTGGTAACTTGGTGAACGCAAATGATTGTACCGTGGGTGGCACTGAAGGGATCATATGGTACGTGTACGATCATTTATGTTTTATTACTCCCATCGATTATGCTATTGATTAATAATAATAACTAAGACTATAACATACAACCAAATCGAGAAATGCTTGACACTTATTGAATCAGTGCTGTTTCGAAAAATTAATTAGACACAGTGGAATTATTTCAATTTTTTTTCGAAAACATTTTTTGTTTGTGAATCGAAGCTTGTGGCACTCATAAATTGTTTTCTTTTTAGCCGGTAGAATCTGTATAGTACAGCTGTTCGCAGGTATATGGACGGAATTCGAAGAAAGGGAAGCAGCTTCTCAAATCACGGCAGGTGTTACCAAGGATACGTACCCACCTGCCGCTTACTCGATGTACCATTCAACCGATCCACATTTTAAATTAAACCCATCTACATATATGTTCGCTTCGAAAATAAGCGATTTTTAAATAATTTTATTCCGCCGCTGTAAAAATATATTATTATACATTTGAAAATAAATAAATAAATAAATTTACAGTTTATCTATAAAAATTTGGATCAAGAGCTGAAAAGTAAATAATTTAATAAACAAAATAAATTTAAATAGATGACAAGAAAAATAACATTTGCAAAAAACTGCATAAACAATTGTATCGTTTTGCTTAGAATTATAATATTTTACAAAAATAAAGAATACAAAAAAACGGAGGCTTAGATTGTTTGCATGAATTCTAGGGGATTCCGCAGAGATTTTATTATTCAGCCGCCTGCCATATGGCCTGAAGCCACGAGTGGTACACTCGAGAACCGACGTCAAACTCTTGTATTTTAATGTCATTACCCGGTCTTTCTTGTCATCTATTTGTCTGGTGATTAATGAATAGCTTGCATAAATAATCGAATTAATTATTTACGTATCGCAGTTCATTAAAAAATGATTCAATTATTGCCGTTGTAATTTGCAACAATAGTTGACAAAACATTAAATTTACATTATTATTATTATTATTATTATTATTATTCTTCAATAATGAAATTGACCTATGAGATAATAAGTAATTTACTTTGACCATTTTTATAAAATCTGAATTATTTTTATCTAAATTTTTTAATTGAATCATAATTTTTGATAATCATTAATAAAATTTAAAATTGAAAATTGCACCTACCCATAACTTGAACTTCAAGAGTTCCTCTTGCGCTGTATCCTTGAGCATTGCGTGCCACACATGTGTAAGTTGCCTGATCACTGTGTCTCTCTACATTTTCGATGATGAGCGTTCCATTTGGAAAAACTTTCTGTTTCCTGTTGATCGGCAAAACACGAGTGTCTCGTTCCCATACGATGCTCTCAATTGGGTAACCGGCAACTGGACAAGTTACTCGAAGAGTTTCTCCAGCAACGATGGCTTTTTTGTCCATGTGTCGGATGAAAGGCAAACCGTAAACATTGAGACGTGCTGAATGCTCCGCTGATCCGACCTTAAGTAATTACCGATACATTAAATATTTTATTGATTATATAACGACAAAATATGATCATGATCAATGAGAGATTGAAAATGAAGTAATCAACGATAAAGATATAAGAAATATCACCTTTGAAGCTGCAATACACTTGTAGAGTCCACCATCATTCGTGTGAATGCTTGAGATATTCAAATGCGATACGACATCACCGTTGACCTTAACGTACTGTCCAACCTGGAGTCTTTCTGTGTTTGATAAACGCTTGCCGTCAAGTTCCCAAGTTATTTCAGGAGTTGGATTCCCGCTGGCTACACACTTGAGGAACATGCTTGGTCCTGGTTGGAGAGTTTCTTCTTGAAATGCCTGCTTTATTTGGGGTGGTTCAACTGTCAACAGATATATTCAATTGTGTGAATTTATTGATAAACTTCTTGTTCTCTTGAAGATATCATAAATCAAAAAAATTTTTCGATATCAAGAAAATAGTTTCTTTGAAATTTCACTTTTGTTTCAGAATATTTAATTCTTAAATCAAGGTTTTAACTTTTTAATCAATTTATTATAACTCTTGGAATATTTAATAAAACTTGCGAAAAAGTCAATTAATTTTATAGTTTGTTCGATAAATTTTATGATCACTACACAGTAAGATTTTATATTAGATTACGGTAACATTCGAAGAAAGAACTTTCAAATCTATTTCAGTTATCAACAAATGCGGTAATTTTTTTAATGAATATAGCAGTGAATTTAAAAAAAATTATCTCCCTAAGTGAAATAAAAAAATTGACTAATTTCTTCTACTTTATCTACTATCCAAAAAAAAAAAGTACTTTTCGCAATTCATCGAAGTAGAGGTTTCGTTTTCTTGAGAGATTTAATTTTTTTTTTTAATTTAGGATGATAATATTTCGAACGAAGAAACTTTTACTTAAAACAAAAATACAAACTTTTAATTAAAAAAAAATTATTATAAGTTATAGAGAATTATTCTTTGATGAAGATTTAATTTCATCGATCAAACATAATGTATTTTTAAATAAAGTGACAATTTTTACTGACCGGACATACAAAGATCTTAATCCAAGAATTTAAAAAACAAGAGAAAATTCTTGAAGTAGTACAAATAATTTTGAAGGCTTCTATTTAATTACTTACATCGTCCTCCAAGCTTCAACTCAGCCGTCGCTTGAGCACTTTCTTGATCATTCCGCACAAAACATTGATACATCCCCTTATCTTCTTTCTTGACGCTTTCAATTCTGAGAATGGCATCTTCATGCCCAAGAGCCTTGCCATCCTTCATCCATGAAATAGTCTTAATAGGATTTCCTCGGACGTTGCAAGTAAAAGTAGCTGGTCTTCCAAAATCGACAGTCTGAACTCTAGGTTCAATTTCAGCTGCCAATGGTGCAGTGACGGTAAGAACAGTCTCAACGCTTTCGCCTCCAACTGAATTGTTCACAATACAAAGGTACTTTCCAGAGTCCTCAACACGTGCTTCTCGGATAATCAAAGTTCCGCTGACCTGACGAACTCTTTCATTCAGCTGAACTGGCTGTCTGCGTGTCGTACCTTCGATGAACTTGTACCATCTGCAACAAAAAAAATTTCAAGCCATAAAATTAAAATGTAAAACGCATCTTCGCGATAAATAGTTCCCTTGAGCAATTCGATCATTTATTTAAATCATTTCTACACACGATATCAACCATTTAATGACATTAGTTTAAACTACGGCTAAAGACTCTCGAACTGTGTATTATAGATGAAGATGAGTTAAGCAAATGCGGCAAGTAAATGTAAGAGTGTGTTGTTAAAAAAAGAATATCAGAAAATCCGTGACACGCGATAACATGCGCGTGTACCTAGAAATCGGTGCAGGGAATCCTTGAGCCGCGCACGCAAGCGCCAATGGCTCTCCTTTAACACCGTCATACTTATTCAAACCATCCCCGGTACTCTTTGGTGCAGTTTGACCCGATGGTTCTGAAAGTAAAAGGGTCAAAACTCGTTTACCGATTACTTTACGAGAACACCTACTTCTGGCCTTTTTTTTATCTTCAAACTCTTTAATCCTTCATTATCATTCACTCGTTCAATTTTCGAGCCCTGACCTTATAATTAATTTTAAATCTATCGTATTATTTAACGTTGACTACTTACACATCCTGCTTTTTAGCTCTCCATTGATGAACTTATGATTATATTGAATAAAAAAGTTTAAAAAATACTACCATACCTTACCAGACGACATCGTTGAGTCCCTAAGTTGTCCTGAACCGTCAAAATAGTAGGTAATAAGCATGCAAAACAACATATAATCATGCAAATTGAAAAAAAAAAGCGTGCAATTTTAAGGAAAATTAATTTGAAAAGGATCTATAGCATCAGAATGTGAAAGAGAGAAACATTTCAGAACATTAGACTACCTCGTAATTGGAGGGGGATGTGACTGAAGCGAATGACCAAGAGCTACATTCTGTCCCTCAAACGTCTGAATAATTTCCCCTCCCTCAAACTTTTTCCCTGTAGTACGAGGTGCAATATCGACATTTCCCTCTGTAAGAAGGGGAGCTAATGGGAATTCTGCTGCGTAATTCGATGAAATAGTCTAATAAATATACCTTATGACTGGAACAGGAGACCCCTGAACTGCACAATCTAACGCCACAATACCAGATCTGGGAACGTCGACGAGTTTACCACCCTCATATCGCTCCCCTGCTATTCTGGGGGCTACATTACTGCTTGGCTCTGTAAGTTTTCGAGCAAGGGATAATATGACATATGTTTGAGAATGCAACCATCAATAATATTTCATGTTCATTAAATATCACACGAAGCTGTGTTTAATCATAAGATACTTTGAGAGTTAAATCAATAAAAACCTGAATGATAGCACAAGGGAAAACTCAACAAAACATGTCAGTTGGAATATTTGTGATACTCGAAACTTGAACCATCCTCATTATCCTATTTATCAGGAATCTTTAAGAAAATTCTATCGACGAACTAATTAAGGTCATTGATAAACCGGTTTTGGGAATATTTGAAGAATCCATGGGGTGGAGATTTCAATTGTCCTTGAAAAAAATGACAGAATACAAATTTAGAACGTGCAAATGATGTAAAGGTCAAAAACATGTAAGTATACTGTGAAGATATTATGTACGAGACCCATACAGAAGCTGAGGTTTTAATAATCGGTCATTGCACCCGAAAAAAAGTAAACTTTGCGTAGGCGACAATATTCATCAACGGATTGGAATCTATAGAACTACATTATGAAGGCTCACCTATAAAAAGGTGTTGGACTTCCTTGAGCCTCACAAAGTAATGTAAGAGTCGTTCCCTGATGCTTTAGCAGTTCGTCAAACTTTGATCTCGGTGGCAGACGGGGAGGACCACTGCCGACTGGTTCTAGAATAATACTTCTATCAATAAACAGCTTTTGCACAATTTTCACATCAAAGCGCTCTTAATACCGGGAAAGGGTACGCCAGAATTCGTCAAAGACAACTATACCGAACTATACATCTCGAATTATGCCATTGCAGACATACCTGAATATCGGAAGAGGATTCGCTTGGGCTTGACAAAGCATAGTAATCGAGGAATTTGCGGATGACGTCAGAACTGTTATCTTAGCTGTAGCAGCTACTCGAGGAGCCGCGCCATTGACCGGTTCTAAGGAGTAGTTTGTATTGATGATTAAAATTCGTTTAAACTTCCTACATTGATACAATTAGTATACAAAAAGTTATGGTATAACTAATGCGATATAAATCAGTAATAAAAGCTATACCTAAAGTTTGGTAAAGGGTGCCCCTGCGCCTGACACAACATCGTCACCGTCGCCCCGAGGGACTTTCCAAGGACATCGTATTTGGCGGTTGATGCAACTCGTGGCTTTGCGCCGTTAACCGGTTCTGTATAACATGCACATGAACAAAAATATTAAGAAGATATAGGTATAATATCCTCGTAGAAAGTTATAATTAACAAACCTAAATATAGGAGCAGGGAACGCTTGAGCATCACACAGAAGACTAATTTCAGTGTTGGTTAAAACTTCGAATGAATTTATCTTCGCTGATTTAGGAAACTTTGGTGCGACTCTTCCAGCAGGATCTAATCATGGGAATTTTGTATTAAGCTCACCAGAAATAATTAAAATCTACCACTTCGAACGTAATTACATTGAATGAATTTCAGAATTACATAGTAAAAGAGAAAATTTTGGGAAATCTAAAAGTACATGACTCATAATGCTCATTAAATTTTTAATAAAGAATATGTTATATTACTGATTTATAAAGCAAAGTGGAAAAGTAGAAAATTCACTGTCGATTATTTACACAATTTTTATTTCGAATATTTCTCGGTATTTCTTTCACTTAATAAACTGAACATCAGCTAGAATTATAATGTATGTGTATAGATAAGAAATTCACCGACATATGTAGATGTATAAAAGACTAATAACATTTATTTTCTCATAGCTATGTAAAATATCAAATCCTTTATAGACAAAACGAATCTATACACATTCTTTTTTATTACTTTTCAAGAAAAATTTGTTGCTTTATTTTGATGTTTTTTTTATTCTTATTACACTAAATCAATTTTTAAAAATAACAAAATTAATTTAGATTGAATTATCTGTTCGATAGTATAGAAATTATATCAGTTCCGTTAACTACCTAGACTATAGCGATAAAAATAGCCAACGAGTAGAGCAGAAAAAATTTTTCGACTGCTTCACATTATGAGTCGTGCTACATCTTTCGACATAGAACAATATTAAGAATTTAATTTCTTGAAATCTGTTTTACCTGAATGTTGGAACAGGGTAAGCTTGTGCCTGACACAATATGACTATGTTGCTATCGACTTTCCTTTCCATCAAACTGCCTTTTTCTCCAAGAATGGAGGGTGCTTTAGTTCCTACAGGTTCTGTTAAGAAACTTCAACGTTACTACCCATCAATATTGTAGAATAACTAACTAACCTGAACGCTGGTTTGGGAAATGCTTGGGCATCACATAGAAGACTCGTTTCAATGCCACCCAATACCTCGAACGAATCTGTTTTAGCCGACTTGGGGAATTTCGGCGAAACGCGACCGGCCGGATCTAATGAATTTATAAGGCGAGTTAGTAACGTGATTTACCTGAAAGCAGGGACAGGGTAACCTTGACCATGACATGGTATCACGATGTTGGTGCCACCACGTCGCTTCATATAGCTCCGTTCTTCGCCTTGGATTGAAGGAGCTTTGCTTCCAACAGGCTCTAACAATCGCGAACAATGAAATCAGTGTAAGCATACGCAATTTAATAAAATACGTATATGTACCGGAAATTTGGGACTGGGTAGCCTTGTCCATAGCATGGGATCACGATATCAGTACCACCACGTCGCTTCATCGAGCTTCCCTCTTCACCTTGAATCGAAGGAGCTTTGCTTCCAACAGGATCTAATTTCCGCGGACAATCACAAAATTAATGTAGATAAGAGAAAATATATGTACCGAAAACTTGGGACTGGGTAACCCTGAGCTGGACACGACATCACGACACTTGTATTTGCGCTTTTAGCTTTCCACCCTCCTCTCAACTCTCCAATAAAAGCTGGCGCTTTGCTACCAACGGGCTCTAATGCAAAAATCAGAAAAGATTTTTGAGAATAGAAAGGATTAATTACCTGAATGCGGGAACCGGATAACCTTGCGCTGGACATGGCATCGCTAATGTAGAATTCAAGCGCTTATTTACCAACCACCCTGAAGCTTTTATGTCTCCCGTAAATGCTGGAGCTTTGCTACCAACAGGCTCTATCAAAAGTAATAACTTAGCAGCATAAAATTCGAGCGGACCCTTAGCGTTAGTCATGAATAAAAATTACATTTACCGGAATGCCGGTACAGGGTACGCTTGAGCAGGACAACTCATGACAATTGTTGAATCTTTGAGTTTTTCAACCATCCATCCCTTCATTTCACCGGTAAATGTTGGTGCTTTAGTTCCTACTGGCTCTATCCACGGATAGATCAAGCATCAAAATAATGAAGATAAATAAAAATAATTACTTAAAGCTGGGAAGAGGATAACCCTGTGCTGGACATGTCATCACGATGCTCGATTTTTCTCTTTCTTGTATCCACCAGCCCTTAACGATTCCCGTAAACGCTGGTGCTTTAGTTCCAACAGGTTCTAAAAAATCGGGCCATACGTCGATTTACAGTCGCGGTTAAATATTTAAGCAGCAATGAAGAAATGCACGTGCAGCATAAAGTTTGCTATAAAAATGATTCGTACCGGAAAGCTGGAACGGGATATCCCTGCGCCGGACACGTCATTACTATACTAGATCTTGAATTTTGATTCATCCATCCACCTTTCAACGTTCCGGTTATCGTTGGAGCTTTACTACCCACAGGCTCTACAGTATTGAAGTGAATTGATATTGTATTCTTTAATTACTAAAAACAAAGTTATTTTCTACCTGATCTTTGGAATCGGATGCCCCTGCGGATTACACAAGATACCAATACTAAAACCTTGGTGCCGTAAGAAGAAAAATGACTTGACGTCTCCGAGAAATGTGGGGGCTTTGCTGCCCACAGGCTCTAGATTAAATATAGAATAGAAAAGGCATTTGAGAATCGTCACTTCCCTCTCGACGTCGAACAAGGTCACATGCGGCCCCCTACACTCTAATGATTTATTAACCGTTTGATCTATCTTCACCCCTCTTTGTAACTCAATCTTATTAATAATGAGCGTACCTAGTTATCGGAGCTGGATGTCCCTGAGCATTGCAGGAAATGCTAAGAACTTCGTTCTTCTCACGATTCAACAGATTAATCTTTAAATCGCCGGAGAAGGTAGGAGATTTACTTCCAACGGGCTCTGAACGTTAAATTAAGTGACGATATGTATTAAGTGTGTAATTAGTGTCCTATTTACCTAGTAACGGGTACAGGGCTCCCCTGGGCAGCACAAACCAACGCAGTGTCTTGGCCTTTAAATCTCCCTATAGTGCGACTTAGATCTTCAGACGATAAGGCTGGTGACTTTGCACCCACCGGCTCTGGAAAGTTTTTTCATTCATTTTGACACTCAAAGGTCCAATGATACTTAAGGGAATTAATATTATTGATGCTCATTGAAGTGTATTAAAAATTCGACAAATTTTCTTTTTAAATGATTTTTAATTTTTGTTAGAAAATGTTAAAATAAAGATACTGTTGAAATTTGAACCCTGAATAATGATATTTTGAGATTACGAATCGAAATTTTCATTTCCAACTCAATTCTTAGTTATAATCAAGTTAAAATAATTTTTTTTTCGAAAAATGATGAATCTTATTTAAATAATAATAATAATTTCGCCGTAATTGAAAAAAAATTTGAAAATTTCAAATGCGTCCAATTTTAACCTTGAAGAACTTTCGAAAAAGTGAATTTATTGAAAAATCATAGACTTTTTTTTAAAGCGTTCAGTTTCTTACGAGAATATATGTAATAACGAGATATAAAATTACAAAATTATAAAAAGTTTCTTCCTATGCTATTCAAGGCAAAATGAAAAATTTCGCGACCTAGAAATATCAATAATACGGGCTTCAATAACAGGATCATTGATTTAGTTTTTTTCGTTAAAACTTCACGATCATTAAAAAAAAATTTTTTTGACTTTTGTTTATACACCTTAATGGTATAATTAAATACACTTAAGGGAGGAGTGATCAAACGGAAAATCTCTACTGAATACACGGACAATTATAGTTTGTCACGTCTGATATTCCATGCGGAATCAATAATTACTCTGACTAATAAAGGGTACCGTCAATGAGTTACCTTGAAACCGGAGAAGGACTGCCTTGAGCATTGCATTGAAGAGCAATTATAGTACCCTGACGTCTTGCATAACCACTGAATGAGCTATCACTCGAAAATTTAGGAGCTTTGAGTCCAACCGGTTCTGTACAAACAATAAAAACTCTAAAACTCGTTCAAAAAAAAAAACACTACCAGGACAGGGTATCCATTCTAACCGTAATATTTACATTCACATGATCAAAACTCAATTTTTGAACTTATTTACCTCGATATTGGAGCCGGACTCCCTTGAGCATTGCATTGAAGGTCAATATCGACCCCCTTGCGTCTTGCGTAACCACTGAATGATAGATCACTCGAAAATTTGGGAGCTTTCAGTCCGACAGGCTCTAAATAGACATTGAAAACTCAAGAAGTTGATTCAAAAAAACGTTACCAGGACAGGGTATTTGTTTTAACAACAGTGCTTCTATTTCTACAATTCAAAAGTAACTTTCGAATATTTTATTTACCTTGAGATGGGAGCCGGGCTACCTTGAGAGTTACACTGAAGAGCAATGTCAATGTTCTGACGTTTTGTATAAGTACTTGATGAACTATCACTCGAGAATTTCGGAGCTTTCAAGCCAACAGGTTCTATTTCGACGACAAAAAAAAAGGGGAATAATCGATAAAACAGTGGAATATTCATTAACCTCAAGAGACAGGGCTTCCCGCAACATTGCCGGACATGAACTTTCACACCTATTTCTATTCGTCGAACATTATGTTTTTGCATTATTTATTTTATAAACATTATTAGTTAATAGCGAACGTGTTACCTCGCTGTCGGCACGGGACTTCCTTGAGCGTAACATTCTAATGCTATCTGTGATTTGGCACGTTTTGTCCAAGCACTAAGAGAATTTTCGCTTACGAATTTTGGTGCCTTTAGCCCAACTGGTTCTATATTGAAAATCAAAAAATATCGATGATATTTAATAGATGAGATATACAGTGAAAAATTTTTTCAAGCGCGTGAAAATTACATCAAGTATTATGTTAAATTTGAATAGTATCAATTCAATAATTTACATCATCAAATGAGACTATCAGTTTACGTCGGAATGTTAATTTGCATCGAAATGAAGAATGATGTGTGCAATAACATCAATTTAAAAAGTTTTTTAGTTTTTTTCTGGCGTATTAAACTTTCATGCGGCTATAACCGGCTATTTTAAAATAATTTCTTAATCTTTTCGATTTTCTAGAACTATATCTTCCGGTATTGATTAATAGAAAGAATATTTATTTCCGTCAGAATATTAGTTCACATCGAATCGAATGAACACTATCCAAATTAAACGCTATACTTGATGAAATTTTCCCACTATTTTAATGAATCTCACACCAAACCAAGTCCAAAATATTTTCAATTGTGTATACACAATATTTCCGGGACAGGATAACCCACAAAAATATCTATTCAACCAAAATAATTCAACTACAATACCTTGTTAATGGAGCTGGGCTACCCTGAGCATTACACATAAGAGCTAAATGTGCACCTTTTCGTCTAGAAAAAGTACGTGATTCATCATCACTGGAGAAGGATGGTGGTTTAAGACCCACAGGCTCTAAATGAATGTAACAAAGAAAGCGATACTACTCATGAACATTGATATTGATATTGAAATTGATACGAAGTGGTTATTTTAACAATAACTTCCTACCTATAAATGGGCACAGGGAAACCCTGCAAAGGACAGGTTAAACTTGCAGTGTCACTTGAGCGAACATCCCACCATTCAAGTTTACGATTAGCTGGAAGCTTAGGCTTTGTGCTGGTACTTGGCTCTAAATAAATAATCGATCAGACGATGATTATATATGCATAGAAAAAAGGTTCGTAGACACGAATAAAGAATGGGGACAGGGATACTTGAGCGGTTAAAGCCTTCCACACGATTGTTAGCCTACATCTTGAAAACCTCACAAGTAACTTGTTTCAAACAAGTAGATGACCGACGTATGAATAGGAGTATTCAAGTTACATTATCTCTTTTCTTTTGTCTAGAAGCATTTCGCTCAGTCTATGTTATTGCTATCCGTCTCGGATACTTTGGCAGAGTGCCCAGAATCCGTATAATCGCTTTTATTAAAGTTATACTGAGAGATCATAAGGCGATAAATCTGAAAAGCCTCACCTCGATAGTGCTACTGGATATGCCTGCACTGGGCACATAAGCGTAGCTGATCCATTTAAACGAACCTCCACTAATTCAATTTTTCGATTCGCTGTTAGCTTCGGTTTAGTGCTGGCACTTGGCTCTGAATTTATTATTTCCAAATATTAGTTTTAATTATGTTTTTTTTTTTTTCTTAATTACCAACCGTGTAATCGGAACAGGGAATCCTTGACCCGGGCAAGTCAACGCCACCGCGGAAGATCTTGTAGTCGGTTTCACAACCTTGATGTCGTCATTTGTAAACTTTGGTTTCGTGCTAGATACTGGTTCTATAACCACGAAGATGAAACAAATTTAAACACTAACCATGACTACTTTTCGTGGGACAGGGAATCCCTAATGATAGGATATATTGAAATAGTCACGAACCGTGAAATCGGCACCGGAAATCCTTGAGCTGGACAAGTCAAAGATACCGAAGTAGACATCGACGTCGGCATTAATACCTTAATATCAGCGTTGAGAAACTTTGGCTTTGCGCTGGTCACAGGCTCTAGATTAGGAAAGTTAAAGAGTTTAACGATGATACAAAAGTTTAATGACTAGCCAACCAATGCATACCTAAATGAGGGCACGGGATATCCCTGTGCAGGGCAACTAAGCGTAGCAATTTCCTCGTTCGAACGAACAGTCACTTCGAGTGTTCTCACGGAAACCCCTGAGAATTTTGGTTTCGTACTTGCCATAGGTTCTACCCGATAATCAAGAATAAAATAGCATGATTTATTCATTCATTGAAGTAAAAACTAAATAAATTAATGACCAAGTTACCTGAAAGCTGGCACGGGAAACCCTTGAACTGGACATAAAAGAGTTGTCGAAGCATATATGTAGATGCTAGGGTTAGTTGACTTAACATCCAACGAAGTTAGTTTCGGTTTTGTACTCGATACGGGTTCTGCATCGGATTTATATACAATAAATAGCAAAGTGCTCGCAAACCATAGAAATATTAGAAGTTAATGTGACGATATTTAAGGATTTACTTCAACTTACTTGAAGAAAGGGACAGGATACGCCTGAGCAGGACATTGCAGAGTCACACCACGGCCCTCGTATGTATCGAAAGTCTGACTTTTGAGTATTGATGAAAATTTTGGTCTTGCTAAGCCAACGGGTTCTACATCAAATTGATGTACCATAAAATAGCAAAGTGTTTGCAAAGAATCAAAACATCAGCAACTGATGTTACGATGTTTAACTTCAACTTACTTGAAGAAAGGGACAGGATACGCCTGGGCAGGGCACTGTAGAGTCACACCACGGCCCTCATATGTATCGAAAGTCAGGCTTTTGTGTATTGAAGAAAATTTTGGTCTCGCTAAGCCGACGGGTTCTACATCAAATCGACATACCATAAAATAGCAAAGTGTTTGCAAAAAATCAAAACATCAGCAACTGATGTTACGATGTTTAACTTCAACTTACTTGAAGAAAGGGACAGGATACGCCTGGGCAGGGCACTGTAGAGTCACACCACGGCCCTCATATGTATCGAAAGTCAGGCTTTTGTGTATTGAAGAAAATTTTGGTCTCGCTAAGCCGACGGGTTCTACATCAAATCGACATACCATAAAATAGCAAAGTGTTTGCAAAAAATCAAAACATCAGCAACTGATGTTACGATGTTTAACTTCAACTTACTTGAAGAAAGGGACAGGATACGCCTGGGCAGGGCACTGTAGAGTCACACCACGGCCCTCGTATGTATCGAAAGTCCGACTCTTGTCTATTGTCGAAAATTTTGGTCTGGCTAAACCGACTGGCTCTGCGAGAATCAACCGAGGAATTTAAAGTAATAAAAAATAAAGTGATTGAAGAATATCATTAATTCCATGCCAGGACAGGGCTTCATTATCTTGTTCAAAACAATAACCTACCTAAACGTAGCGACAGGATACGCTTGAGCAGGACAAAGCATAGTAAAACTTGAGTCCTTGTACACCCGGACACCAATATCATTTACTGAAGGAAACTTGGGTTTCGAGCTTGAAGCGGGTTCTAAAGAGAAATTTAAGTAGAAAATTACAAAGAATGATAAAGAGTTCGATGCTGGAAAAGGGTACCTCAAAGCGTTCTGCACTTCAATCAAAAATTGTAATTGTAACCTACCGATATAGGGGTACTGGAAAGCCTTGAGCAGGGCAAAGAAGAGTAATGCTTTTTCCTACCGAGCCTGAGAATCTCAGAAGATCACTTGGACCAGATAGCTGTGGCCTGGTACTTGATGCCGGCTCTACGTTTCATTAACAAACAAACGTAATTAACGCAAAGTAATAAGAGTCTATTTACCTGTATGAGGGGACGGGAAATCCTTGAGCTGGACAGAGAAGGGTCATCGCGCCACCGAGCGTCACTCGAAATGCTTGTAAATCAGCCATCGTTTGAAATTTCGGGCGGGCGCTTGCGACCGGCTCTACAACGACGGATACACATGTGGTTGTGAAAGGAATAGAAGGTCGAAGAACAAAAACACGCAACGTATTATTAGGATCGGGCTCCATGCAATAGCATCAATGTGATTGTTATTTATTTTTATTCTCCTCTTCTTTCTTATTATAATTAAAGAAAGAATGAATGGAAGAGAAAACATGTGAATATCGATTGGATACTTCTACCTAAATGCTGGAACAGGAAACGCCTGGGCGGGACAGAAGAGAGTCTGTGTGTGACCTTGACGAATACCAAATGCACGCATTGTGTCAGTCATTGGGAATTTCGGTCGAGCACTTCCTACGGGTTCTGCAATGATGCAAAGTGCAAAGAAGAAAGAGACATACAAGTTATCTTACTGGGAAGTCTTTAGATTTTAGTCTTTAATCTTTACCTGATAGCTGGAACAGGAAAAGCTTGAGCTGGACAAAATAGTGTAAGAGGTTCGTAGAAGTTTACGGTGTAAGCTCTCAGCTTTTCTGTCATTGTGAATTTTGGCTTAGTACTCGCGACTGGTTCTGCATAGAATGATAGGAATATGATAGAATCATTGAATGATCAACGGATTCAGGAAAAAGTGATATTGATATGATAAATATGATCCTACCTGAAAGCTGGAACGGGAAAGGCTTGAGCCGGACAAAAAAGTGTCTGCGTTTTGCCAAGATAAACTGTATATGTGCGCGATGTGTCCGTCATCGGAAATTTTGGTCTCGCACTGGTGACAGGTTCTACACGGAATAATGAATTAAAAAAATCAAGCAGAGGAATACGATGCGATAAAGAAAAAAAACGAAATAAATTCAACGAAGATAGCTCTAACTATAAGAGGATAAAATATATTTATATATATATATATATATGTGTGTTTTAATAAAAAGAAGCAAGAGTAGGCAAGAAGCAACGATAAGACATTCATACGAAGTATACTAATACGTGACCTGAATTTATGATGATTTTTATTTTATTTTTTTTTTCTTACACGCAAATAAGAAATAAAATATCTATTTATATACCTGAACGCTGGAACGGGAAATGCCTGCGCTGGACAAAAGAGTGTTAAGGGTTCATTCGAGCGAACCGTGTAGGTACGCGAATTCTCCGTCATCGGGAATTTCGGCTTTGTACTGGTGACGGGTTCTATTTTAAAAGAAAACAAAGAAAAAATATTTGTGATTGTTTCCAAGACTCGTCGCCTCATCTACACAATCTACTTCATTTTTTATAGTACCCACTCCACTCATTCTAGGTTGTCTCGTCATGTAAAGTATAAAGCAACAACCAAATAAAAAAAAATTTTAACAACTCGCTTGCATAAAATTTTGTTACATCAAAGATTGATCGTTCTATAAATATCCATCAATACAACGGATTTGTCAATACTTTTTCTTAAAACTGTGCATCAATTATGCATAACATTGTTCGATATGAGCAAGATGTCAACTTTCGTCTTACTTACTATAGTACAGAATAACTATAGTTTGGCTCGGGGATTAAAATTTGAAAAGCAATTCACAAGGGAAGGAAAAAAAGAAAGAAAGTCATATTATAGACTTACTTGTGTATGGGAACGGGGAATCCCTGCGCAGGGCATAACAACGTTACAGAACCGTCCATGGTAGTTCGAAAACTTCTTGAGTCATCAATCGTCGGGAACTTTGGCCTAGCGCTCCCAATTGGCTCTAAATTGTACGCACCATCGAGGAATTTCATTCCTCTCTAACGTCCTTTACTTATTTTTTACAGAGAATATTTAAAGTAGTTGCTTTATAGCGGAATGGGGAACCCCTGTATCGAGCACCAAACGATATCATAATAATAATAACGTTGCATTAATTTTTTTGCTTTAATTTTTAGTTCTTCAACTTTTAAACCCTAAATATATCATGTGAAATTTTGTCGCGTGACTACAGATTTGTGCTAAAATATCCTCACACAAAATAGTTCAACCTAATTTATATACAATGTAAAAAAGTTAGCGGTCCCATAACTCAGTAGACCCACTCTTCTCCTCATCTATCGCAAAACTATTAATGCACTAGATTAGTATTTAGTACACCTTAAGTACACCTGCAAAGTGCTTCTTCTAATGTAAAATTTCTATTACCAATAATAAAAAATTCATGGGTTCGCTGCGATGGGATCGCCAACAAAACAGATGTATGCTTTCGACTTATTTTTATCAGAATATTTGTACACAGTATCTTTAGTTTTGACACCATGACATTCAGCACTATCTAAACTCCCCTAATCAATCGTCCAAATGATCGCATAAAAGTTAATGTCTTTCAGTCATTAAGTGCATGAAAATTGATTTTGTTTGAACTACTTATCTACTTCTAAGCTTCCCAATAAAATATATCTAGCGCAACTTATGTTGCAAAGATTCTCAGCACAACTTACCTTACTATTACACAAATAATGAATTAATAAGCGGAAAACGTTTGATCTTATTAAAGAAGATAAGAATGCAAGAACAAGTTTCGAGTTTTTGTAAATTTATCAGGAGATCGCGAGAGAGCCGCAGTGACACGTTCGCGTTTTAAATAATTTATTTTTATAGAAGCAGGCGCGGTGGCGCGTGCCCGCAGGGGTACCCTGTCCCAGCATTCAGGTGATTGTCAACGAGCTTAGTCCATAAATCAAATCAAATGCTATTGAGTATACAAAATACTTTATTTTACGAACATGAGTATTTAATTTATATTCTGACTTGACATTTGACATCTCTTTTTAAAACCTAAACTTAACTGTCTAGACTACTAGATTAATAGTACAGACTCTATTGATGCGTGTGGTAAGAACTTTCAGTTCATTCTCCATTGAGCTATCACAATGTAAAAATCTTTTTTACTCGATTTTAAATCGATTATTGATAAAGTAATTTTATCGTTTGTATCTTTTTTATAAATTTGTTAAGAATTATCTAATTGATAATTTGAAAATTTGAAGAATTCTAAAACGGATCCAAGCTCGTTGACTATTTTATTCTTATAATTTACTGATTTTTTTATTTTTTACGACAAAGCGACGTCAATTTATGTATGTATTTTGCATTTATTCTACATTGACATTGACGTTAAGAGAATTCAATTTTCTCTGTCTACTGATCTTTTCTTCTTTTGGTTTATTGATTGAAGAGAGAAAGAATAGATGAAATTGCATTAAAGTGTGACCAGTGTAGCGTTTGTTTGTTTTACAAGTTCGTTGCATTCATGCGTAACAAGTCGCTTCATAAAGACACATAAAATCGATGTCGCTTTGTCGACACGTGCCAATTGTCGGCATTGATCGTATAAACACTGAATATTTATATTTTAGTTATTTTATAAAACTTATTACTCAAACGAAATTGAGTTTTTACTTTAGAAAAAATAAATTAACGTAAAAATTAAATACTTATAGAAAAATTTTAGCTTTACTTTTTCTTTTACAAAATTTATTATTTTTGGCAAAAGTATTTAAAATTCCAGTGTTTGTACGAAAATTTACATCAAAGACTCTGATATAATAACAATTTGTACTTTGGTATACTTAAAAAATAATTTAACTGTAAATTGATTTTGAAATGTTCAAAAACAAATATAATGAATTTGAGGAATTTACATAGTTCTATTTGTCAAAGTCGTTGTTGCATTATAAAAAATTATATAAATAAACCAGAGTGAGAACTCTGACTTACCGGTGATGACAAGGCGTCCTTTGGTGGCAGACAGTCTGGTTTCTCCAGTAAGTCGGTGTTTGGTTCGGCATTGGTAAGTCTTGTAACCATCTTCAGGTCCTACATCCCGGATGTGCAATTCACCAGAAGGCAGTACCAAGTATTTGCCATCTGTTATAACCCAGAAAATTATATTAGTCGAAAATTTACAGACTTAAATATTATGTTTGTAAAATGATACCAACAATAAAAACATGCAACAAGCAGCGTGCAGAAATATGTCGGTCTTGGATATTAATAAATCCGACATTTATATAGAGCAGACCATCATGGAACTTCATTTAAACAAATTATGTTATCCAGGTGGCAGCTTCAGATTTTTTTGCTATCAATTTATAACATCAATTCACAATTCTTTTTTTTTTTTTATCAATTTTAGTTTTCCGTCTATCACATTAATTATTAATTTCCACAACATTTTATAAAATTCTAAAGCTGAATTTTGATTTAAATTAGTTTATTTCTTTAATATAATTTGAACTAGGAATATGACTCAATTCACGGAAAAAATTACAGTTTATGGTACAAATTATAGCAGTTAGATGTCTTGAACAAAAAACTGGCAAAATTACAGATTCAATTAAAAATTTTCACAAACTTAATGAGAAAATTTTAAAACCATGAAATTACATTCGAAATCATAAAAATTAATGCTTAGTATAAAATTTTATAAAAATATTATTTGGAATTTTTATTTTTCCAGATTTTTATTCGGAGCTTTTCTTATGACTACAGAAAAATTTTTAACTACGTTATTTTGCGTATATCCAATCGAAAAAATGAAATTTCAACAAGTTGACGTTAATTTCAGGAAAAAATAAAATTTCAATATTGTAAAATCTTTCAAAACTATTTAATCTTGACACCAAAAACTTGAACTTAACGTTGATTCAATATTAATAGAAGTTCATAAAAGTTTATCTTATTATTTTTAAGTTTATTATTTCTGACAAAGTTTGCGGATAACTTTACACTCTACAAGATTGCATAGAAACTTAGCAATGTACATTAGTTTCAGAATTAAAAATCAATGAACCAAATATTTAAATTTGATTACATCAAGCAAAGTGTCACTTAATTAAATGCAGCACAAGTAATTTGACTTGTAAACATTAATTCATCGGAATAGTAACGATAACAAAACAAGAATTGTGGATTGATTTCATTGATATAAAAGTAGCTGTTGATTGTTATTTCTTGCATGCATAAGTCAGTTGACAGCGGCACTCAATGTTTATGAGAAATAAAATAAACTTACAACTGAGATAAAGTAAAATGTTTTTTTTATTAGAAGACAATCTTTTTATTTTTATTTTATCAATAAGTGCCACTCACAACCGATACTACTCAACTCAACAATAAGTGTTAAAAATAAATGATGATTGATAAGAGAAGTTTTATTTTTTAATTTATGCAGGAGCGAAAGCAATAAAAGGGAAAAAGGTGGAAATGGTTTTGGAACAGCGCGAGCAGCGGCAGTCAACGTCTTACGAAAATATGCGATTAATTTAATTGTTAATTAATTAACTAAAAGTTCATCATCAATTTATGTGCGCAAAGTTCATCACGTGACGGACGGCCGAATCGAATTTATTATCTCAGTTTTTCATAGAGTTTTTATGATAATAATAATTATTATTTTTGTTTACTAATTGAATAAACTCATGTAATTAAAATTACAAATTTTTCAGTTTTTTATGTTATAGATTAAAAAATCAATAATCAATTCCATCTTACAATATCACAGGGTAAAAAAAAAAAAATCTAAAAGTTCCATTTGAAAAGCTTCTGATATCGATCGGAACGCGAGTAGAGTCTCTGGCTCTGACAAGTCATCTTACCAAGTATTCATTTTACTCGTGTTTTTTCTTTCTCTCTTAAGCTCATCCCGTTTCATTTCGGTCTGCTCGATCGGCTTAGTAACACCCACACGAAAGTAAAACCTTAAAGACCGGACGCTTTTCAAAATAAAAAAAAAAATAAAGTCTCTCACAAAAGAAAACTCGATAGAAATAAAAGTAACAGCTCTTATCTAGTCTCGATTGTAATGAATTATAAATAATAAATAAAAATAAAGAGACAAGTGTGTAATACAATAACTCTTCTAATGCGTAAATAAATATAATAATATCTATCATTATCACAACAGTCACGAACGGAAATTGAGACAATACGCGATGCATAATGATAATGACAATAACAATAATACATAATAATAATAATATATAAATAAATAATAAAAATGTCTTGTATTGAATATATTTTGATACCGTAATTAGACTTCGGATATATTTCCGTGGTCTCGTCCTCGACCCAAGAATCGACCTCTACAAATTCAGCAACAAAGCTTGGAATGTGACACTTGATTATAGCAGCATTGCCCCGTAAAACGTGCTCATCCATCACATTCACTGCGTACCGCTGCCCGACCACTGTAACCAGACACCATTTTCCCTTTTTTTACAACATTCGATCAGGGTATGATGTTATGGTCTGTGAAATCACGGTCAGGCATAGCCATCGCGTACTCTGTACTAGTGATACCATTTTCAAAGTAAAAGCTGTTTCAACATGATACTCATTATCATCATCATCATCATCATCATCATAAAAAAAATACCCTCATATTCAGTCAGAACACTGGTAGGAAAACCATCTTGATCCAGAAAATTATTTTGAAGAAAACCAGTTGTCTTGCTTCAAGAATTTTTGTTTTGAATCTCATCATCTTGGCATGAGAGACCACAATCTTTGATCGATAAAATCAAATTCTTCATTCAAGAATAATTCTCAAAAACAAAAAATAATTTCGATTTATCTTAAGGACTCTATAGTTTTGATTCAAGAACAAGTTTCTTCATTCAAAATGGCAAAAAAAAAAAACAAAATTTTAACTGTAATACACGGAAAAAAGTAAACTGTAATAAATAACAGTCGATTTATAATAAGTAATGATCAACTGCTAAAAATTACCATTTCAAACAGTAAAATCGTGATTTTACTATTCACATTGTAATATTTACAATTTAAACGTTACAATTTACTCTTTACATGGAAGAAAATACTATTTCAAACAGTAATATTCGCTATGTAAATGTCTAAAATTTTAAAGTATAATAATTAAGTATTCAGACTTTAATATTTATCATTTCGTACCTAAAAAATGATGTTATGATATGTAAAAAGTATAAAATAAAGTTAGTAAATTTCTAATACAAGCAACGTCAATATTTACAAAGTAAAATGGTAAATTTTAAACGCAACGCTAAAAATCAAACTTTAATTATTGACTTGCTTAGACTGGTAAAATGTATATTTTAAAAGTATAATTTTTACTGTTTGAAATGTTAAATTCTCCCAGAGTGAGACCCCCTTCTCTTTCATCTGAGTTCCCCTTCTCTTCATAATATGGACTATATATTGAAATGGCAATTTTTACTGTTTGAAACTGTAATTTTTAAAGATGAAAGAGTCGTTATTTACTACAGTGACAGCTACTAATCACTTATTTTAGATATTAAATTATAAATTGTGGCTTTTATACTTTCTACATTAAGTTCTGTAATATTTACATTTTTGCCACCCCGATGTCCGCTTTACTGTTTGAAACTAGAAAAAAACTAACCGGAATCCGAGTGAATATTACAGTTTACTTTTTTCCGTGTACATTCTAAAACGTATTCGGGACTTTTTTTTATAGAAAGCACAAATCCGAGAGTTTTTACTTATGACAGTATTATAGCAAGATAGAACTGTTTAAATTTTAATTAACGCATATCAAGTAAGATCTAACCAATTTATACAAAAAATTACAATCTGAGGTAGTGATTTTATCCATTTAGCTTTTCGCCTTGAAATTTTACTATTTACTGTAGCACGCGCGGTAGGGACGTATAATAGGAATATAAGAATTTCCAAAAATTCGATATGAATACATTTTTAAACTACATCAATGTCAATGTCCATGAAGTGGGGTTAAAATCAGTTAAAAAATACTCACAGTAACGATATTAGTTCTCGAATTTTACTCACACAAGCTCGCGATGCGCTGTGATTCGCGCTCTCCCCACTAATCACACACGGAGACGTCTTAAGACTCCCAGACGCTAAAGGATTAATATATAGTGAAATTACATTGTCTATTCAAAAACTAAAACTTACTGCACTGTGCCAAACTGTAATTTTAACAGTTTTGTTTACGAACTGCCAAGCTACTAATTAAAAACGTAGTAAATGTTCAATGAACTGTCAATTATTCCCGTTTTCTGTTTTCCGTGTAAGTAGGTAGTATTTTGAACCAACGTAACCGCATGTTTTAATTTTCGAGGAAGAAATTCTTGAACAAAGAATATTTATATTTTGTTTAAAAATAATCAAATGCTTCGTAAGAGTAAACTGTTCTTCCAGAATTTTGATTTTTTGATTCAAGAATTTATTTTTGAATATCTTGAAACAAAACTAAAATTTTGTCAAAAATAATTTTCTTGAGTCAAGTAATTCTTTTTCTTTTCAGTGTATAACTCCTACCGTACGACATTTGCTCATCATCTGCCCGATAATTTCCCCCGGCGGAATCTATCCAACCATCTACATCAACATGATCAGCGACGAATGACGGTACCTGACACTTGAATATCGCAGCGTTACCACGAATCGCAAAGACATCGTACACTTGTACTTCAAAGTATTGAGAGACAACTGAAAGTTGAGTAATTAAATTTTACATAATTAAGGTACGTAATTAGTACATTTTTCATCACACTAATGATAAAAGTTGTGTATAATTGCCCTAAAATCTTTTATAGGTATCGAAGACGCATACTGGAATAATTTAACGACCAATTAATAGTAGTAATAATAAAACTCGTTGACTACCGCTGATTACGCTTTACACTCTCACGCTGTGAAAATAATTATTCATTCGACTGCAAAACTTTTATTATTATATTTTTCTCTAATTTTTCTATCGTACCCTCCTCTTCCCGAGAGTCAGCCGAATAAGAAGTGCCATCATCAGCAATCCACTCAATAACGTCTACGAAATCTCCAACGAAACTTGGCACGAGACACTTTAATGTTGCTGTGTTACCACGCAAAACAAACTCGTCAATCACTCGAGACTCGTAAAACTGCTGAACGACTGAAAAAATTTTAAATAAAAAGAGTCGTAATAATGAATCATAAATCATCAATAATAAATAATAAATGCTTTTACGTAAGACGTTGATGTCGATACCCGGCTAATTATTATGTCATTGCCGATCAGTTATTGCGATACAAACAAAAAAAAAGTATTCCAATCAAATATAGTTTAACAATAAAGTAACAGCAGTTGAGATAAGAGGTTAATTGCTACTTGTTACAATGTTTGATCAAGAATTCATGACACGATAGCTTCGATTTACCATAATCTTGATCCTCATGTCGATAAATAGTGCCGTCGTCAGCTATCCACTGATCCACATAGACAAATTCAGATACGAAACTTGGGATTTTACATTTCATTATTGCACTATTTGCCCGGATAACATACTCGTTCTCGGCCTCCGTCACGAAGAACTGCGAAACGACTGCTCATGTGAGCACAATACTAATTAATTTATGAATTATGTACATAGTTAACTGCTGCTTGGTCATTTTAAATTCGATTAGCTTTTCATCAGCTACTCGGAGGGGTATTATTTTTTGCCTATTTATGACTAGGAAATTAAAAAGTAAGCAGTTAGACTGTTTTTCTTTTCTAAATATATCAAAAATAATTTTGGAAATAACGGGAAAAATAGCAAATTTCAATTTTCCATTTGATCAACATGAGAAAATTTTTTTTCTTCACTTTGGAATTTTTTAACTCGTGAACGCCCGCATGGAAAAATATATATGCGGAAAATATGTGCGCAAATATATATTTTCATATATATTTTTTTTGCGTTAACTGTATGTCGGCATATATGCGTGGATATATGTTTACATATATGCGCGCATATAAATGCAATATATATATATATATATATATATATATATATATATATATATATATATATAATATGTGCGCATATAAATGTCCTAGAGATGCACAGAAAAAATTTAACTTGAATCAAGTAAATAGTTTTGAAAAATTTAATTTTCTTAATTTGAGTAAAAAAATTCTCAAACTGAGAAATTTTTTTTCAGTGTATGCTTACATATATGTCTACATATATTTTGGCATATATCTCTGCATATATATCAGCATCTATGTGAAAAATATATGTTGACATATTTTTGTTTTGCGTAAATATATGCGGCATATATATTATATATGCGACATATATATTTCTCCATGCGGGCGAAAAGTAATATACTGGTAATACCAAGACGTATTCTTAGTATTCTTATGAAAAATTGAAGACTACAAAAAAGGTCTGCAGTATTTTTTTCATAAATCTACTCTCTTAAAAGTTATCTGAAGTCAAAGTCGAATGTATAAGAAGTTTTTTCACTTTTTTGGCGATTTTATGAGATTGACTGGGAAATTTCGCTCAAAATTGTCTTTTTTGAAATTCTGAGAGTATATTAAATAAATTAATCAAGATGCAAACATAGTTCTGTTTAAAAAACTTGTTTTAGACTTACGCAGTATTTTTCTCGTTATTTTCAACACAGCAAAATTTTTTTCTTAACTTCGTCAAAAAAGTTTGTGCAAAAAATTTTTATACCAAATATTTAACACTAAATTTGATATCATTATGTTAAATCTTCACATGAATTTGTTAAATATTGAACATAATGTTTTACATAAACTTTTTTGACGCAATGACGGACATTTTTTTGCTATAAATATTTTCAACACGTTAAAAAAAAGAAAAAACAGTCGACTTTTTTAGATATTATAGTAAACATTAAACTAGAGAATTTATGAATTCATGTCTGTGACAAATCGTAATACCCTGGGGAATTTTATCAGTTTGTTGATACTCAGGAACATAAACTTCTCCGTCTTCGCGAATCCAGGCTTCAATGCTTACAAATTCCGCAATGTAACTCGGTATGCTACATTTTAAGATTGCGCTGTTTCCTCTAATGACGTACTCAGTCATTATTTCAGGTTGATAGGTTTGTGCGACAACTGAACAGAACCCATTTGTGAACTTTCCATAAATACATGAGTAATATAAAGAATATTCGAAAAATTTATTTGTTTTTTTATTTAAAAACGTTTTAGAGAAATTCGTCGTGGCTGCCACCGCTTTTACGTTCCCTAGATAATTATATTAACAAAGCAATAACGGTATTGTCATTTACAATTTAAATAAAAGCATGGAGAACTAAAGAAAATAATAAAAAATGAACACGTAAGTATGCGGAAGAGATACCATAGTCAGTAGAAGGTTTGTATCTCGAGCCATCGCTTCCCTCCCAAGATTCTACGCTCACGAACTCTGCTACGAAACTGGGTATGGTGCACTTTAATATTGCCGCATTTCCACGTATTACATATTCAGAAACTACCTCTGCTTCGTAGTACTGGACCACAACTGTATACATTTTGTAATTTTAAACTTTACTATTTTACTCATTACTCATTACTGTTAAAAATTCAAACAATAATTTAAAGTTAACTAGAATAAATATTGTTTTATTTATATGGTAAAAAATTCGTTGACGTTGATGCTGCTGCCCTCAATATTCCTCCACGTTCATTTGCGATTTCATATTTTATGTTTTATGACATAAAACACATACTATACTATACTACAAAGTATATACCGTTTTCTTCATTAGGATTAAACGAATTGCCCTGATCATCTTGCCAGCCGACTACTTGAACGAATTCAGAGACAAAGCTCGGTATACTGCACTTGAGGATTGCTGAATTGCCACGAATTACGTATTCATTGTTCACTTCAGATTGATAGTACTGGTGAACCACTGCAACCCGTTTAAGTAATGTCTGTATGTTAATGCTTACTATTATGTGATTATGAATTAAGTAAACTGATATTATGACTGTAATTAGAATACAGTCCAAACCATTTTGCATTAATTGCAACGGCGAGTATTGTGAGTTCAAAGGAGAAGAATATAATTTAATTAGAACTGTTTTTAAATTCTTACCGCAGTCATTAAATACCTTGTATGACAATATTTTCGATATTTTTTCTATTTTTTTCCACTAATCTTTCTATCTAGAATTTAAATCATATTTTCAATAAATTTTTCTATTGGATTCTTGTGTAAATAAACCATTATTTAAATAGATCTTAATTGCGGATTTTTTTTTCATACAAATACATAAAATTCTTTGCATGTTGTTCTGATTTTAACTTTATTCATATGAATGAAACTTTTTTAAAACGTTTCTTATGATTTCAGAAATACTTTCAGATATTATATTCAACTTTTCAAATAAATTTTTTTAATCGGTTAATCAAATTTTTCTACATTCTTTGTTTATTAATTTAAGTTAGTTCTATTGGCTATATTTCAAGAATACCTTTCAAGCTAAAAAAAAAAAAACAGCTAAAAGCTTTTATACAAAGCAGAAAAATTTTGAGCCATTACGTCAAAAAATTTTTTGTTGAATAACACTTTTCTGTGTAAATTCAACATTTTTTCGTGTTAATTCTCTTAAATAAATACAAACAATTGTTAAATATTTAACACAATTTTTTTTTAACGCAAAACTTTTTACTGCATACATTTTGTAGTTTGCTGGTTAATAGTTTGTAACTAAGGGTAAATCCCGCCAACTGACTAATCAAGTTAAATTTTTCTTAGAACACTATTTAATACTATTAAAAGTACATCTATCATGGTTTTATTCGTTTAGTTTTCAAGTATAAGTACTTGAGTTCTAGTTGAAACCATTGCTTCACTACTTGGTCATTTTACGATCTTCCGTAGGGGGGTCAAAGTTGTAAGTAAAAAAAGGCATCATAGTAAGTGGAAGTAGCGGAGCTACATCTGTAATATTGTCAGTTAAGATTGAATAGTTTGATATTGCCAAAACAGAAAATATTGAGTATAAAAATCTAATCATTCAATAATGAATTACTGGAATTTGTTGAACATTGCGATATTAACTATTATTTTTAAAATTTTTTCATTTTAATCATGGATGATTTGAGTAAATATTAACTAATCGGAAAAGCTCATGCAACGATAATTTAGTTTTTATCAATTATTTAAGTAATAATATAGAGAGAATATAGTAATTATTAAGTATGTCTGAAACCACAAGGAACTTTTTGTTTTAATTAAAAAAAAAATTCGTTCGATTCCTTATTATTTATTAAGAATTATTTTTAATCAAAAAATGAATCCAACTAGAACAGCTAGCCATGAATAATTTGTTTTAGTATCATAAGTGATGTTTTTATGACCCTATAATCATTATTCGGGATCATTAACTTTCTAATACTTTTTAAAAATTCACAAACTTTATTTTAAATTCAATAATCAAAGGCCTTCCGCTCGAAAAGATAGATCTATTAGGCAGCTAATTTTAAGTAAATTGCTTTGAGACTCTAAGCACCGGGCAACTTCAGTAACAAATAATTAAATTGCCCTAGACCTGAGAAATGGGTTAACTCGGTGAATGTTATCAATTACAAGAGCTACGGACCCGTCGTCTTTCACACTTGCAGTTTTTATTGAATAGGAAATAAGATTACCGAGTCCGTCACGGCAGTAGTAAAAAGTTAAAAATAAAATTATGAACATATACATCAATAATAAAACCAAATAAACCAATTTAAATGAGACGTTGACGACAGCTTCTCGCTTGATAATTGAACAAGATAAATCGTGCCTTTAATCTGAACAAGGATCGTGGGCAGATTGAATGACATACGTTATTATATTATATATGTTGAACTTATTCTCATATCGTCCTTTTATTCATTCCTTTTCTACCAATTCACATTTCATCTCATTCATTTCTTAATATCTTAGATCTTATACCATATAATGATACCATCAATGACGATAATGATAAAGTTTATAAAATTGGCACGATACCACTTAGTCAATGTACACATATACAAAGATAATAATACACGCCAATTATTTCAACCGGTATACCACGGGCGTAGAAATAACGAGCTGGGAACGACACTAATGTTAACCTTAACGAGACGCTTAACACGAGACACACATACTGTTGCAGAGGATTAAATTTTATAAGAGCTTGGATAAACGAATAAGTAAATAAAGCAAGAATAAAACTCATGTCCTTTGTTAGTTGTATCTTTGTCTCGCAGTTTTTTTTACTAACAATTTGAACAAGTTTTTTTAACGAAGTTTTCAAAGTTCAGTGACATGTTGAATTAGTTTCAAAACCTAGCTCGTTAAATAATGAAAAAAACTATTGAAACTTTTTAAATAATGGTTTTAATAACGTTTAACTAAATTTTGGAAAAAAAATTTTTAAACTACTATCTACCCTCATAAAACCATATTAACTTTACTTTTATCATAAAGGAGGTAAAAGCACCAATTATTGACACCCAACAACAATCGTTTATTTTTTATTTAATCACTATAATTTAAGATTGAAAGAAAAATTAATAGTTAAGAAAAATATATAATATTCAATCATTATTAAAATAATAAAGTTTACTCTACTCTAATATTCTGAAACAATTCGTCAGCGTGAAATACGTTAACTACTTCGGTTAAGTAAGCTGATTTTTAATTATTTTATAAACTAGTTGTATTAAAATTTTGTTTTAATAAATAAATTAAGTATTAAAAATTAACAATATCAGATATTTACAATCAATTGAACGGATATTAATTATAAAATGATGGATGTCAATCATTGGTACATTAAATTTGGGCTGAATCTCTTCTTGACAGGTGAGTTTAAACGGCGCTATTATTTTATACTTAAATTTTATTATGAAATATAAAACAAAAATTAGATCATTCGAACCCATATCCTTTGCTTACATGTTAAGGGCTCTATTTTGTCAAACTATCAATTCAAAATGAATTTCCATTAATTTTTAACTATGGTCTATTTTAATTCATAAAAGCTGTATTTTTTTAAAATAACTAAAAAAAAAATATTACCGATGGGAAGCTGACAATGTAATTTATTCGAAACCATTTCCTAAACACGCTAAATTCTGTGATGTAGTTTTTGTCAGTCCGCCTTGTATTAATACAACAGATAACACTTATGATTCATACAAATTAAATATAACGTATGCAAACAATCTGCCCAAGATATTAAATTTATGGTCATTAATTTAACACAGTTTCGTTCTAATCCGGCAACTAAGTATACCGTAATCATCTCCAGGAACAAATTCCTCGCCCTGATCCGTGTGCCAGGATAGAATTTTCACAAAATCAGCAACAAATGATGGAACCACACACTTGAGAATTGCACTATTTCCACGAATTGCGTACTCCTTGTTTACGTCAGTATCGTAGTATTGCGCCACCACTGTTTTATTGATAATCAAAATGAATACGCATAACAAATAATATTTAATTCATAACAAATAGGCACGATAACAAAATACAAGCATAAATTTTTATGTTTTAAAATTTTGATTACTATATTATTTATTTATTTAATTACAACTAAAGGACTGTCGGATGTCAACTATTTATCGATAAGCTTGGAACTATTCAACTACAAATAATATTTCATGACTCATGATTCATGATTACTGATAAGCTAACTCTTTTTTAAATAAATCGATAAATTGTATGTCAATTGTTTTCAATTTCAAGATAACGAGGAATTCGATTTATTAATTCAGTACATCAGCGACAATCGACAAGTTAAATTTCCCCGATATTCATTAACGTAATTAAAAACTTTAGTAAATTTGTTCTAAAACTCATTACAACGGAAGTATAAAATGAAAATGAAACTTTTAATAATATAATTACAAATAACTACTGGAACTAATACAATAAGAGAACGACGATAGCGGTGGCGGCGCAATGATGACCTTTTTATTAATTGAGTTATTAAATTATTGAGATAGTAATAATAAAAAGATAAAAAATTTTTAATTTATAGTGACCATAAAATATTTGAGGAATTTAATTTCCTTTAAAATCTACAAGTATTATTACTATGTAATATGTAATCTGTATACTTTTTTAATATCAATGGTTAATTAATAACGACACCGTTGTTTGTATTTTATTCAAAAATTTAAAATTATTATTTCTCGAGTTTGAACGAAATAATTTAAATGACGCTTTTCTCAATAGAAAGTGAAGTACAGCTTGCATACTTGACAAGTCTTTGCTGCAATATCGGGACTTCCGGCGTGTACGCACACACGAATTATGTGTCTGAGCACGACGGAAGTATCCCGATTACAATGAAGAAACGCTTAACATCCTGTAAAAATGGAATTATTTATATCTGACGTATTCTCTTATGAACAATCTATTTCTTCTGGGAATCAATATTACGTGAAAGTATGTACTGATAAATTCATCTTCCGCGAGAAAATTTATATTTAATAGTAGTAGACTTACTGAAATGGCTTACAAACCTATTTTTAACTAAGATAATTATTTTTACATCGAAAACTCTTTTTTAAAATAAATATAAATAGATCAGTAACTCTACTCTCGAAGCTGAAATATCTTCTTTAGAACTAATATAATTTAATTTTTCATGAACGAAGAATATTGGTAAAAGCAAAATAACTTTGTTAAAAACTTAATGGAGAATAGAGTACATTTTTAATTAAAAATAATTTTTTTTCATTTTATTCAAAAATCAAAAAAATTTCAGCAGACTTTAAAAATAACAATTCAACTTAATAAAATTTTGTACAGTATAAATTAGCTATAATTTATAATTAATTTGTAGTGAGTTAAGATATTGAATCTAACAATTTTTCTTCAATTTCATTAAATTTTATAAAATGCAAATAGCTGTAATTAAGTCTTTATAATTGTGCCTACGAAAAAATATTTCTGAACATTTATGAATCCTTTTTTTACTTTAATGAAATTATATATAGTCGTATTTTCCATAATCATAAATTTAGTGAAATAAATCCTCGAATTTAAATATAATATACGGTAGTTAGGACGCCTAATTAATGTCTTGTAATTTTCGAATTTTATGTAAACCTATTTTGAGTAAGTAAACACTGATCTTTCATCTAACATAAGTCTTAATAAACCTCTAAGCTAAAGTTTGAGACCAAGAGACACCAGTAATTTTTTTGCAAAATAAAAAATCTTTTTCATTTAAATATATAATTTTAAAAATTTTTCAAAAGATCTTAGCTCAAATAATTTAAAAAGTTGTAAGCCTTTAGGAATTTTCTTAATTCTCAAGTAAATCTTTCTTATTTTTATCTCCATTATGAAAGCTAAAACCCCAACATGTTGAACAAATTTACAACCGATTTAAGAGAATACGTCTGTATTATAACTTATAATAATCCTAAACATAATAATAATGATAATAATTCTCTACTGAATCAAAATAAAAAATAGTATCTTGAGAAGAAAAAATAGTATCTTACCGGCGCGAACATTAACGTCTCGGCTATGAACCGATCCAGCAGGTGAAGTAGCAAGACAACTATAAACTTGAGCATGAACCTCTTGGCGATAATCTTCAGCTCGGAATGGTGGAAATACCAAGTTTCCATTAGGCAACACCTGCAAGCAATAAAGTATATAAGTACATTGTCGTATGTATCTCATCAGCTCAACCAAATGTTAATAAATAGCGGCTTAAGCCTGAGGCTGTATATCAACAACCGACCACCAAGAGATGCTAAGTGTCGACAGCCACTTGAACTACAACACCGCATTTTCTTTCCGGGTTGACGACCCGGCCGAGATTCTCACCACTGATTTATAAGCCGACCCATTAAAATTCATGTTATTAAAATCAACCACTTTATACCCTTCCTACTTTATTTGCGGTGTATAATATAATTAAAAAAAAAAAAAAAACAAAAATTAACCCAGCAATTTTACACCTTTATTCAATCAACCAATTAATAAATCTAGTTAGTTTAAATTGATAAAATCACCTGTCGCAATCCGGGAACATCTCCTACAGCAGTACCGTCAGCACGAACCCAGATAATATCTGGCTGTGGATTTCCTCTCGCTTGACATTCAACCTCTGCTCCAGTTCCATTAGAAAAGTCCACACGGTTTGGAGGCTCCTTCACAAACACAGGTCCCATTAGTTCGTCCTCCGCCAGTACCACTGCAAATAATGAAAAAACTATTATCAATTTATAGAGATAAAAGTAACGGATCATCCATGTTTAATATCTGACCTAATCAATCCACTTTTAGGTCATATTTGATCGATAGTATTGTATGTATATGTATATACAGTTATATGAACTATTATTATTATTTTTATATATTATACGATTTATTGTATTGCATCCGATGTTATTTATTCAATTCAGAAGTACAGAACTGAAATAATAAGACCTGCTACATCCATAACATTAGGAAAAAAATGAAATTTTTATTAACTATGTTTTACTAAGTATCCAATTAACAAGTCTTTTGTCTCAAGTTTCACATTTATAATTTATAGTACTTTTAAATTATTCAGTAGTAAATCTAAATATTTTATTGCAATGTAATAAGTCTGTTTGCTACATTAATTTTTATGAGCTCTACCAAGCGATATTAATCAAGAGCTAACTTTAGCAGCATATTCTATATTTGGTCTTCATAATCAATAACCTTTGCTAATCTTTGCGTTATACTATAGTAAGAATCTTCACCAGTAATCTTTAAAATTGGCTGTAAATACTTGCTGTGATCTATCGTAGGGCGGAAAATTTTAGATTTTTTAATAACCATGGGAACAGATTTGAACATAAGAATTTGATTGAGGGGTATAATTGTTAGGCTTTTCAGTCAAATGATTTTTCAGAAATAAAAATGATAAAATTTTTTATCAATTTGCTCGGTTTTCATACTCTTTAAAAAGAAAAATATGATACTTTAAAATTTCAAATTCTTTATAAAAAATGATACTTTAAAAATTCAAATGAGAAACTTGCCAAGATAAAGAATAATAAAAAAATGGTTAATAACTCAATTTCTCGATTTTTTATATGACCGAGAAACCAGATGACGAAAATTAAACGATTCAATGATTGAAAATAGTAATAATTTATGATTTTAGTAACAATGATTTTACTGTTTTTGATGAACTACAGAAAACCAGCAAAAAAAAAATTGAACTTTACAAATTTTTTGCATTTAAAATTGAGCTTCATGGAAAAATAAAATTTTCATTTTATTTTACAAAAAGTACTACAAAAAAAATTAACAAAATAAAAAAAAATAACTAGAAACATTTTTAATAATTAAAAGTACAGACTTAGAGTATCAATTGTACTAATGTGATAAAATTATATTATTTTTAATATTTGTAGTTTTCAACTCATTTTAATTATAAATTGTAATTATATAATTTTAATTCACTTCTAATAATTATAAAAAATTTTTATGGCATTAAATCGATATGCTACTGTCAGCAGTTGCAATAAATCATATTTCATCATTCACTACCCTTCAATATTCAACAGATCTATCATTATATTACGGATATTGTAAGTCATAAAAGTACCAACGATGCTATTAGTTTTGTGTCTGAATATATATACGAAAAATTAGATAAAAACTATCCAACAATAGTTGCTTTCCTTGATTTAGCAAAAGCTTTCGATACTGTTAACCATAATATATTATTAAATAAACTAGAAGCGTATGGAATTAGAGGGGTAGTCTTAAAACTAATGAAAAATTACTTAAGTAACAGAGATCAATGTGTAAAAATAAACAATTGTATAAGCAAAAATATGACAATAACTGTTGGTGTACCTCAGGGCACAATATTAGGACCTTTGCTATTTATACTTTACATAAATGACATATTTAATCTCCTTTCTGACAACGCTATTGTCTCATATGCTGACGACACAGCAATTCTATGCTCAGGGAATTGCTGGTCACAAGTAAAATCAAAGATTTCTCAATGGCTTGAACTAGTGAATATATGGCTATGTGTAAATCAACTATCTCTGAATATTGATAAATCCACTTTTATTACTTTTGGATGCTATTCAAATAGTGTCCCGGATGAACTAGAGCTTTCCATTAACAACAAAAAATTAAAAAGAGTCCAATACTGTAAATATTTAGGAATAATACTAGATGGATGCATGAGGTGGGAGTATCATATCAGAGAGTTGATAAACAAAATAAAATATTTTATTTTTATTTTTTATAAACTTAGTTTAGTAATGAATGAAAAAAATCTGAGAATAATATATCATGCTTTAATTGAAAGTAATATTAACTATGCTATAACTTCATGGGGCGGAGCATACAGTAATACTTTAAATGCCGTAGCTTCAATACAGAATAAAATACTTAAAAAAATTAATAATGAGAATGTATTAGATATCAAAAAAAGTTTCATAGTTAACTCTATTCTGCTTCATTATAATGATTGTAAGACTAGTTTTGAGAAAACTGAGGTAAATACTAGAAATAGACTGATCCCTCTGCCTAAACGAAGCAAAACTATATCAAGTAAAAGCTCAAATTATATTGCTATCAAGTATTACAACAAACTGCCACATGAACTTAAAAAACTAGATTGCAGCAAAAAATCAATTAAAAGTAAATTAACAAAATGGATAATACAAATTAATATATAATATATAAAACAGTTTATGATAGTCAAATAAGTATTACTATGTTATTTAACTATACGTTCTTCTTGGATTTATGTATACTGTTCCAGTCCTATGTACAGATGTAAAACATCTCTATAGGACAGATATTAATGCATACTCACTTTATTGTAATATGTATTTTATGTATCTGTTTTTTTTTACTGGCAATAAATATTATTATTATTATTATTATTATTATTATTATTATTATTATTATTATTATTATTATTATTATTATCTCATTATCTAAATATGCAATGAAATTACTAATGAAGTTTAAATTTGATTAACGAACGTTTGACTTAAAAAGTAAACTTTTAATAAATTATTAGTTACAATTTACAGTTAATACGGTTGGAAATTAATATTGACCGCGAATAAATGTAATTTCATTGAAGAATATTTAAATTGCATTTTAATTTCTCGGCTATTTGTGGTTACACTATTTGTAATTAGTAATTGCGTGACGAGCAACATGTTATAATCAACACCGCAAATATAAACAGCAACGATTAATTATACGTTAAGGTAATTCAGTATTGTTAAGTGAAAATAAACTAATAAGGCGCACAAAATTTCAAAAATCACGCTGTTAGAAAGAATAATAGTTGCTGAATTGATCGAAAATACTTTAAAATCGATCAATTGACATTTTTATATACCTAAGTAAAATGTATTAGATGATTCATGGTGTATGGGATTGCTTTTATCTTTCAATTTTTGGTCCAAGATCTGCTAAAAATTCAGTAAACTTTAACAAACGTTAGAGACTCTACAGAAAAAAAAATTTTGCATCATAGCGTCAAATGTATTTTGTGTTCGATAATTTAATACTTTTTTTGAGTTGATTTAAGAGAATTATAAGACAAAAAAGTGTCAAATTTACATATTAAAGTGTTAAATATTTCACACAAAAATTTTTAACAAAAAATACATTTGAGGCAATGACGCAAAATTTTTGAGTGTGTACTACTAAGTATATATATATATAAATATATATATTTTTTTGATGATAGATGCAAATATTTATACACTAATCAATGATAATTTTTATACATTATATTACTCAATGTTGCCGCTTATAAAGGTTCTGCTTCATTAGTTTCTACTTTATTGCCTTGGTATACACCTCTAACAAACTCGAAAAAAGCATTATATAAAGCAACGCTTCATGAGATAAATCCTGATTCATAACTAATTGATGTCAAAAAAAAACAATCAAAAAAATTTACAAAGACCTAATCAATAGACAAACGTTTGAGGTTTTTGCGCGTGAAAAAGAGAGTAATTGATTACTATAAATAAGTACTAGTATTATCAATTTTTTACATGATTACAAAAATAATTTTACTCAAGGATGTTTAAAAAATATAGTGATTTATTATGGTGATAAGAGTATAAAATTTTTTGATTTTGTAATGAAAAATATCAGTGACAAGAAATTAGGATTATTGATCAAGGAAGAAAACTTTATCGAAAGTTTCTTTAAAACAGTTGACAATATTGAAGAAAAAAATATTAAGAAAATTTATCCCTTTACCCTTTGAAAGGATATTTGAGATTATTGAGTATTGAAGTAATGAAGTTGAAAAAATCTGCTCTCAACTTATCAAAATAGAAAAATTTTCTGGGTTCGAAATGTCCCGATTGCATTCATACTCTTATTAGAAAAATAAATTTGAAAAGATTATACCTAAAAACACAATATATATATCTATATAATATTCAATCAAACCGTTTTTAATCATTTCAAGTCCTTTTTTTAATAAGAGTATTGCAGGATAATATAATAAATACATATGTATAAAAAACACGTATAGTAGCACACATTATATTTTTGAAAAACATTTATTCCGTTTAACCCTTCAGCACTCGCATGTTTTTTAGTATCTCAGTTGCAATCCAGCGACATTTTATGGGCTGAGTGTTGTTGCGTGAAAAAAAATCTCTTTTAGCACAAGTGTTGAAGGGTTAATATAAAAAAAAGAAAACTAATTAAATACATAGAAAATAAATTAAACCACATCATATTTTATAAATTTAATCATACATTTTTAACTATGTTATTCAAAAAATTAAGACTACCTGAATTTTATTGATAAAGAAAAAATATATCGTGTTTTCTCACATAGCAGCTATATTTTTTTAAAAACATAAAATACACCACAAAAAAGGTCTTTAAAAAAAGAACATCTGGTTATTTACAGCAAGCCTAATATCAACGCGGAGTATTTCGAATAGTGCTTCAGTATTGACAAATAGAATGTTAGTCTAATTCCAATAAAAAAAAGGTATTAAAAAATTTTAGACATCAAATTACCTAATGAAAAATTAATTTTATAGGTATAAATAATAAAGTTTATTACGAAGGTCTTAAATTATATCAAAAAATGCGTCAGATAAAAAATCAGACATTCAACGATACTCTGTGGAAAATGGACCCGTGTATTAATTAAAATAAACGACATCTAGAAAAATAATAACATCCGGTTCGTTAATGATTCAACTCTTTCTCATTATGTTCGTTTATTTTTATTTTTAACTCATTAATTATTGTGTTAATTACATATTTTATTCGAGAAAAATTTATTTAAATTCTCAAGTATAATATTATGAGCAAGATAAAGAGTATTTTTTTCAAAATACAAAAATGTCAGTAAATTACATGAAAAATAATTTATAGGACAATCAATAAGTTTGGATTTTCACTCACTTGATGACCGAATAAAATACTCTAAAAATGGTGCAACAAGGCACTGATGCAAACAAAGACCGGTTTGAAAAACGAGGTCAAAAGCTTATCCGTGATTTTAATTTTTAATAGCGGTTAATAATTTTAATGCCAAAAATTATGCAAATAGAAAAAGATTAACAATGTACAATAGAAATAAATTTAATATTCATCGATATCACACTTTTATTGAACTGTATTTGAATTAGTACTCATTAAAACAATACATCAATTAAAAAGCTATGATTCAGTAATTAGTTAGTGGAATAAGACAGCCCAGAAAACTGGGACATTTACTGCAACGCTTCAAAATCATGCGGAGGTTATATTCTTTCCTAAATTATCATTTCATTTTTATACATAAATGGAGTTATATGTTATTTTGGATGGGGATTACTAATTAGGACTTTAATTTCAACGTTATTTATTATTTCGGCCCAAAAAATTGATTGTTATTAGTAAATGTTACTAGTCGAGTTAATTACGATAAATTAATTATTTTGTTTGGAAAATGTTTTGATCGAATGAAGTCGATAGTTAGATTTCTTTAGTATATCAAGTTGAATTGCTGAATTTAATTAGTATCATAAAATCAAAGTGAGAAGTCTTGATATTTTCTATTCTCTTAACATACATAAATAAAAAATATGACCTATTTTAGATTTAAGCTCTACTTGAGAAAACTAATTATCTTAAAACCTCCGCGAAGAATAATTTAAAAAAGTAAAAAAAGTGCGATAGAAAATAGAACAGCAATTAAAACATCCACTGTATATCCATTAAAAGAAAAAGAAATATTTGACTGAAGAAAAGCTTTTTCTTCAAATTCGCATTTTTGTTTCAAAATATTTTTTTCTTTCGACACAAAAATGTATTATCAGAAAATGAATTTGAATTCAGGAAACGATTTTATTAGTATTGGAAAATCCTGATTGTTATTGAATATCTTATCATAAGCTAGAAAAATAAAAAATTCAGGTTTGTTTAGGTAAAATTATTAGCAGTAGGTATTTATAAGTTTCCGAGCAAGTAAACATCGATAAATACGTTGTTATCAAAAATATCAAAGTATGCTCACAATAATTATCAATTGTATTAAAATTTTCTGATGAAAATAACATCGTTATTATATATATTTATATATCGTTATTCTATATTATATATATATATATATATATTATAGATAAAGATTGAAGAAACAAAAAATTGAAAAATTTTTTTTTAAATCAATATTAAGAAAAAAAAATTGAGAAACTATCCTTTGATTTTTAATATCAATACCCTTGACAATGAATTTAATTAATCGCAGTAATTAATCCTTAGTGACCTTATCACGATCGGCTTCAAAAGAATCATTTGCAAGCACGCGCATACAAGTGTACGCGTTTTATAATCATAATCACATCCTTTACAATGAATAGCAACTGAAATACTGTCAAGAGCACAAACCCTAGCCGATGTGATGTATAGTTACGTCCCCCTCAAAAGCATTCTAATCTCGCTATAACAAAAAAACACTCAATATACTTCCTGCATACAAAACTAAAGGGTCATAATTTCTATTGAACCAAAAAAAAAACTTCCCGCACCACGAAGTTTTTTTTGTTCTTGTAAAAAAAAAAGTTCAATTATTCACTTAATAACGGTATTTTCAAGTGTTATATTAATTCTTATTAATGACCATAACTAATTTTCTTTACACATAACTATTAAAGTTATTTCTATTTAAAAATTTCAGCATTTTAAATTTCTGAAGTCAAACTTTAACCGGTAACCTAAGAACAAACACTCGTGAAAATATGAGACAGATAATAACAGATACATATGTTTTATTAAACAAATATGCCCAGTATCACATTCTTTAGGGATTACTTTACTATAATATAATATAAAAATATTTGAATAGTGCACTCAACTTATACTACATGAAAGTCTTCTAATTTTTATAGGTCAATTGATCATAATGATTTCGAACAATATATCCAGAAGTTTAGTACTAGTATTATGTAACTATTTTTGATCTTGTGATATTAAAATTTTTTCACAAAAATTTAGATATTTTTAAGGTAACACTGGTCGATAAAAAATTGTACGTATAATCTTAACATCTTTAAAATATGTTCTGGCATAACTTTCAGAAGGAGTATTGACAAACCCCGATAGATAGCGTACAGACGTAAATTTTTTCGCTAGCTAGAAAGTTGACTCAGAAGTTTTACATTCTTGCTTACCTATCATTTATCGTCTTACAAATCCATTTATCTTTTCAATGAATCCTTTATGAGACGGATAAAGCTATTTTCATGAGCATTTTTCTTTAAATAAAAAATCGAATTTACCTAGAGTAAAACTTTTTCAACTAACAATTCCATGAAACTGTTGAAATCTTAACAGTTTAACTCCTTACTCTAAATAAAAATTTTTTTTTTACATAGTGTAGAACCACCAGCTTTGGACACCTTAGTACTAGTTTTGGACACTTTGAAATTCAATGATTGTGGAGAAAATTGTAATGTTAAAATAATACTTTCATATAATTTTTAGACGCTTACATTCATACAAAATGACTGTTAATTCATGATACTATTACGTTTATAACTTATTTATACAATAAAATAGACATCAAATGTGCAAAAACGATAGACTGACCAGCACAAACGGTGCTTCTACCCTATGATATTATATTAAGATAAAATATATTGTTTCCATGCATGTAAGTCTCACTTTACAACTTTCTCAAAGTATCTTTACCAGCATCTTTTTTCTGAATATTTTTACGGTTTAAAAATTAGACGACTGTTTTATAAATAACCAAATTAAGCTCTTTTAAACGCTTATTCGAATCATATTAAAGTCAACATAATTTTAAAATTTTTATTTACTGGAAAAATTTAGAAATTTACAGATTTCATTGTCATAACTCATAACATATTTATACTTTGTGAAATTCGTTTTTATGAATTTTCTGATAAAATTTAAATTGACCATTGCACTGTCTATTGCATTGTCAAGTGTCTATTCACACGTAAAAAAAGTCCTGATAAATCCACGCCGCGTGAATATAAGGGCCTTTACATTCACGCGGCATGGATTTATCAGGACTTTTTTACGCATGAATGACATGTCCAACAAGATATTGACTCTAATTATTTTAGAGTCAACTTTACAAAACCTTAATTGGCTTCAACAATTTTTGAACAATATTAGTTTGATAGAATTTATAAAATGGAAAAGTAAGAAAAAAATTCAAAAATAAATTTCTTTCATTAATATATATCTCATCCCTCAAATATACTTTTAATAAATCCTTACAACTCAAAAATAAAATTAATTGATTTTATACTCTAAATAAAAAACAAGAAAATATTTCTAAACATAAAATACTTTGTAACTTATTATTGAATTTAACCGTTTATTAAGATTGACTAGGTTATTCAACCAAGAAAATAAGTCGGAGTTTAAATGAAAGACATTTGTTCTTGTATATAATTATTCTGCCAACCTGTCAACCACAGAGGTTCGTCAACAGATCGCAAAAAAACTAATTTTTTTCTCAATCGGAAGCTCAATACTTAAAAATCGATTTTTTCGATTTAAAATTAAAAAAATCGTTTAGTTGTTGATGAAAATTAATTTAGCAGATATTTTATAATTTTAAAAATTTTTTTAACAATTGAATTATGTCAAAGAAAATGAGAAAAAAAATTGACATTTAGAAAATTAAAAAAATAAAAAATCCTATTTTTTAGAAATAATTTTTCGGAGCAAATTTATTTATTAAAAAAAATTAAAAAATTGTCAAGCAACTGTTAACTTTAATGTCATTAGTTATTATTAAAATGATTTATTTATAGCAAATTATTTGACCTAGTTTGATAATGATAAATGATAACCAATGTGTGCATAATTGCATTGCTAATGAAATAAAAAATTATGGTGTCAAAAATCGGATCAGAATAACCTAATACACTAAAATTAAAGTGATAAAAAATAGTATTGACAATTGAAAAATACTCACAGTTAAAAAACATAAAAGACACCATACAAAACATGATAAGATTAATATCATGCCCTCCTGGTGGTTCACGTAGCATCCTCAACAGACCCATTGTAGTTTGGGCAAGCAGCGCACCTGTAGTTGCACAAAATACACGTGATAAAAACACTTGCCACCAAACTTTCTCAAAATTTAAATAAATAACACTAAAAAACACACAATAATAATATTAATATTAACTATTTATAAATATACAACACTTTATTTACTCATATGCTTTGCATTTATTTAATCTTACTTGACATTTAAACTTATTAACTTGCTGCAAGTGTTATAATTTATAATACTTATGCTGCAGTCAAAGTAGATCATAGACGATTAGCTTTAATTCTGTTTACTAAATTTCATCTTCCACATGTGCTTGAAAATGCAATTATTGTATAATCAAACAATAAATATTGTATTTTTCAATATAAAATATCGGGATTTAAATAACTCGTTGTATTAGGACTCTATTATACGTAAATTTATTGCTTCCGGTAATTCATTTCGATTGTTTAAATTCATCATATCTAGGCGCCTTTATCACCTAAATTGATAGTCTCTCTGTCTCTAGAGGTCAGTTATCCGTTGACATTTATTATTTATCTATTACTTTTGAAGTTCGTAAAATAATATATAACCTTTTGCTCTAGAAAAACCCTTCAAGTTCAATATTTAAATCAAATTCAGATACGGGGAAAGATTTATTGAATATCGAGATTCGAAGTTCTAGACTTTAGACATCGAAGAATATTTTATCCTTTAAAAAAAAACTTACCAACGATATGGAACAATTATTTTAGCGAAATTTGGGCGTATATATTTATATTTAAAATAAAATTACTTTCAAAATTATTATAAATATTTATTAACTATTTTAAACTCAATTTCAATCAATAATCATGAACATTGATCGCTAAATTTTTTTTATAAGAAATATTGTTATCTTCACATTAAATCTAAGATTGAGTGCATGCTTGATCTATGATTGATTGTAAATGTATTGTGTATGACTAATACAAAATTTATAAATGATCAAAACGTCGAATGCTAAAGAACAATTTAAAAAGGTTCTAAAGCAACCTCGTGGCTGAAAAATTACAACTTTTAAGACAGCGTAGATAACAGCTTTGTAAAATTGATGTTTGTTTAAAAATTACATTGATCAAGTGTATTTTGTTAAACAACTATTCTACTAATTATCATTTTATTTATGATTTTTTTAGCAACAAATTTATATTTATTCATAAACTTTTCAACTTCAAAAATTGAGATACATGATTACGTTAGAAAATATGAAAATGAAGTTAGCCGACATTTCAAAATTTATAAAAATTATTTATTGAAAAAATTTCAATTAAAAAATTAAAAAAAAAATTTCACGGGTAAAAAACTTGAAAAGCTATATAAGTGCAATTTTTTAAAAATATCTTTTGAGTTATAATTTAATTAATAAAAAAAATCAAAAATTTTTAGGAGTCTGTTAACTTCAGTGTCATTAGAAAATTCTGAAATTTAAAACATTAAACGTTAATTATTTTACTAGAGCCGAATTAAAACCGAATTAGCAATCCCTGATTGAAATAGCTCAAGAAATATAATAATCTAGAATTTGTTTTCAAACTTTTTAACATGTGAAAATATTAATATTTTCTATTCCATAACTATCTTAACAGCTTGTTACTACAAGATACACCAACTACATTTGTATGATTTCATGTTGTTGGCTAGAATGACGTGATTATATCTTAACTAAGATGACTGGCCGCCAATCTTTTTACATCTTACACATGTGTATGTTATATATAATAGAAAATAGGAATTTCCACTGTATACTAGTCAGTGTTACTACTATACTTTTATAACTCTCATATTGTCCCACCATACTACACAATTGTCTACCAGTTTAAGATCTTCATCTTAACCTTGGATGATTCAACCCAACAAATTTGTCTTTGTTACTCATGAAATTTTATTCCTCTTCCACCATGTGGGCATAAAAACTTTGGTTAAAAATGAATTTAAAAATACCCTTGAACACCAACAGTAGAAATTTCTCATCTCAATTTTCATCTAATAGGAAGTTATTTATGCTGAAAATTATCAGCGAGGAAACGAGAAATTATTATATCCGGAAGATGAAAGTAAAGGTGATGAGGTTGAATTTTTTTATGAAATACACGATATGTATTCATATTATAAGTCTACATACATAGATACTTGTATCAGCATGAGGGTGTGTGAGTACACGTGTTAGATAGCGTGGACAACGTGAACGAATAGAATCGAGCGGAAGAAGGGGGCGAGTTTCGGTAGTGAAACGAGAAGAGACGAGAAGAGAAGAGATGATACCAAGAGATGTCGAGATGAGGGTCGTGGGGGCGTAAGGGGCTCCAAAAAAGCGCCGGTGAAGTTTCTCGCTCACGCTCTTTACTTCTCTGCTGTGGCTGTGGGTTTATTGATCGCCAACCTCGAGAGCTTGCTAACCGTGCATCTGCCTCCCATGTCATATATAGGACGTGCTCCTCAGGACCGTACCACGGCTAACTGACATCATCAAACCTAAAATCCACCAGGATCAAGAGCAGATTTAAAAACGAACCAAAATAGAAAACTAGATTCGATCAGAGTAAAAATAAATCGTAGTTTTTTTTTTCTATCTCTATTTTATTGTGTTTGAAAAGGCATTGTTGTCGGTAGACAGCTGCAATGGGGTAGTTCACAGGGGAAGATAATCTCGGACGCAGGCGTACTAAACACCAGGGCCGGTACTGAGGAAAATACCGCCCTCAACAAAAGCAACCTGAAAAACCAGACTCGACGATGACATACACATATATGTATATATGTTAGACTACTACCTGCTCTGTTTCACACTGAAAGCAACGTGCGAGCAACTGTTCAATTTCTTAGCTCAAAAAATACAAAAGGCACTTTGTGTGTTACCAATTTAGCAACGAGAACTGGGTCTATAGTAGTATACCACCAACTCCGTTTATGCTTCAGAGTCTTTACTTGTTTTAACCGGAAACTCAATTTTAAATGCGGCAATTCCTCTTTTCTGTTTAATTTTATTAATTAACTTTGTTTTTATTACTCTAGGACTCTTGATGGTATTTTTTATGAAGATATATATAATGTGTATGAGGAGTGGGTTATTTACTCTCTCGTGGGAATGACAGATGGTTAAAAAACGGGGATAAAGGATGAGAAAGCAACAGAGAGAGAGAAAGAGACAAAATTAAAAAGGTCTGTCTGGACCCAAAATTTAAGACGAATAATGGGACAGCTGCAAATGTTCGAACCTTTCATGATTTTTTTGCCGAGCGTCTTTGGGAATCGAAAGTGAGTCTACCTCACATGGACACCCCGCCCGGATTTTGATATGACAGAGTCGCCGGCTTAATACTGACTTTGATAATCAATACAATAGTGACAAGTTTTTTCAAAAAATTTAATGAGTTTTTTTTTTAATCTTCAATAATTTTACGCATGTCAGTAAAAATTTACTGAAGCTTAAAACTCCAAAATGACGCATCTAAATAAAAATTTTGACAGCTTATAAGCAACTGCGATTGATGATTAATCATTTATTTATTTATTTATTTATTTATGGATTTATTTATTTATTTATGCACCAAGATAATAAATGCAAAGCACACAATTTATAATTCACACACGTGTATTCACCCCACAACGGTCACTATAAATAATCTCCTTTATTAGAGCACAAAATTGATTAAATAATAAATGCGCTTTCGTTTCTATTCACAAGTAAAACAAACCTTTCGACCAAAGTCTCTGATGAAACCACTTAGATAATGATAATGATGGATTTAATTAGTACGCCAGTAACTTTAAGAGTGATACTTCACTATTAGTGCACAGATAAAACAGCGAAAAATCCGCAAAGATTTTTTATACGAGATGAATAACTGCGACGAAGACGAACGACCGTACTGATCGCTCGACAGCGCTCGAATAAGGAGAGATTCATGGTTGGAGTTGCTTGGGGAGTCAGCAGTCGCGACGTGGGAGTAGGAGTATGTTAGATCATGTTGCGTGGAAAAATTAATAATTATTCTCGTTAACAATAAACTTTTCTATAACAGAGCTTTTATTTTTATGAAAATTCTATTTTTTGAGATTATATTAGATGATTTATATTTTGTTATTTTTTTTTAATAATAATTTAAAAAATAAACTTTTTTGAACAAATACATTCATAAATTTACTAATTTATGAATGTTTTTTTTTATTTTTTTATGACATTAAAGTTAGCACTCACTAGAGAATTTTTTAATTTTTTTTTCAACAAAAAAATTTGCTCTAAAAAATTATTTTTAAAAAATTGCATTTTTTATTTTTTAAAATTTCTAAATGTCAATTTTTTTTTATATTTTTTTTTTTTTTGCCATAATTTATTTGTTTAAAAATATTCTAAAAATGATTAAATATCTGCTAAATTTGTCATCATTATTTTTTTAAATAAAATGTTTAATGTGATTATATATGAAAAATGGCCAAATATAATCATATCTAATTATATATAATTATGTATAATTATAGATTTATTACACCTAATTAATTATTGGGTTAATTTTATGGATAGAGTATTTAATATGGTCCTACGCAATTCTGTGTAACCGATCAAAATGCAAAAAAAATACCTAGATCTAATTTTATGGCTATAACAACACCAGTGGTCACCCATCCAACTATTAACCCTGCTCAATGCTGCTTAACTTGCTGGTGATCTCCGTGCGTCTTGAAGTTTCTGTCTGCTGTGCTGCTATCTTAGACAATAATGATTCTATGATCTACTTAATGTATCATATGAGTTTATCATAAATATAATATAAAAATTGATTTTATAATATATTTGGATAGTCATAATTCATAATTTATTTATCTTACCGAATTTCATTATAATATAACACTTATTTAAATAATGATTTTACTATTACGTAGTAGCAGAGCAGACAAAACATCTCATAGGAAATGTGACAAATTTTGTATTTCAGAATTATTTAAACGTAATTATAAACATCATTTTACACTTTTTGTGATTACCAAAATTTTTTTTTTACTAAAGAAAAAATTTTTATCTATGTTAATTATATATAAGCATATATAATTATATATGGCCTCATACACGCTACAATTCCATATATAATCATGTATGATTATATATAATTATATATGATTATATATAATTCTATATAATTATATATGATTATATACAATTATATATGATTATATAGAAACATTTTTTCTCGGGTATACTCACCCGAGTAATTGTTTAAAATATTTTGATTTTTTATCATTGAAATAAAATAATTTTTCTTTTAAATTATTTTGTTTTTGATAAATTTTAAATGAAAAATATGCAATTTGAAAAAATTCAATTATGTTAATTTTTTATAATTGAAAAAAATTGTTTTTTTGATAAACGAAAAAAATATTTTGTAAATAATCATATAAATGTTCGAAGAGTATTAATTCATGTTGATTTTTCAATTTTTCATCATTGATAGAATTCTATTTACGTTTACATTATTTATCTTTGATAAGCTTTTAGAAAAAAAAATTTTGATTATTCGAAAAAAATTCATGATAATTTTTTAATTTCTTATCGTGTTAAAGGTTATTTTATTTTTTTGTTTTTTCAAAACCATAATACTATTAATAATTTAAATAATAAAATATATATATAATAGCTTGAAAAAAAATTTATGCATGTTGATTTTTCGATTTTTTTATGGCTAAAAATTAATTGTTTATTTTTGGCATTTTTATAAAATTGCACTAATAATTTTAAGTAATTAATTACGATTACATGTAAAAATTAATAACAATTGTACTTGGATTATCGGTATCGCATAAAAGTCACGCTTCAGAGTATGAAGATGATATCATTAACATGAGGAAACGTGGAGTATGCTATGTATAATATGGTGATTCATTTTCATTAATGAAGGAATCACGTGTGATTCGGCAAGCTTGTTTAACCCAAGAAGGGAAAGTGAAAGAAAGATAAGTGCGTTATACTCTCGTATTGATCGCTCTTTTTTGTAAGTCATTGACTTACATTCAACCGCCCACGCAGTCTACTAATCCAATATCACAGTTGCCGAAATTATTTCAAAATAAGTATATACCTTCCTATCCTTTATCATTTATCATATTTATAATAATAAATAGTAATGTATAAAAATTACATAATTTTGCATAATTTTATTGTTTTTCGTTCTTTTTTTATGAAATATTTAATCAATATAATAGCATTATTATTTTGAAATTAAATTCAAAAAAAAAACATTATACAATCTCCTTAAAAATTCCTATAATATTCTTCTGCTAGTAAAAAGAATCTCTAGCTTTTCAACTGTGAGCTTAATGGAATACTACTTTAATAATGAATGGAAATGAAAACATTTTTTTAATTTGATCCAGTTGATAAATCTTGAAAGACAAAATTGTGAAAAAACTATAAAATTTGATCGAAAATTTTTTAATCTGCTCATAAAGAAATTTAAAAAAAAACTTGGTAAAATATCAACTTTTAGTTTAAAAATTCTTTTTATGCATACTTAAATTATTGCAACTCTAGTCAAGAATGTTTAATTTAATAGTTTATAAATAATTTATTTTATTTTTACATTAATTTTCAAGTAAAAAATATTGAAAGAACTTTATTAAATTATAATTTTAATGATATCTATTATGACTTAAATTATCGTACAAAAATAATTTTCTTGATATTCATAAATTTATTATGAAAAATAATTGAAATGAAGTTCACTGTTTTTTTTTTCTTCCTTAATTCGATGTAAAAAGCATTGAAAATTATTTTACTTCTATTGAAAATAATTTTAACAATTAAAATAGTTAATAATTTTATATACTTTATAACTTCGCACCAAAATTCTTCTTATAGAATCTACACAATTATTTAATGAAAAGAAATCAAAGAAATCCCTAAAAAATATAAAACTTAGAAACAAGATTGACAATTGAGTACTTTATACCAGATAATTTGTTCTTAAAAAACTGCAAGCAGAAGCGGATCATCCTAGATAAAAGTAGATCTTACTAGTGTCGATTAGGTACAATGTAATCCACACTATCTACTCAAACCATAAGATATCTAATAAAGTTCCATAATACATATCATACTACCCATTCTATGACATTATCTTACAAACCATCAAGTAATTCTGTAAAATTTTCATTGATTATTCATTCTTTGTTTTCTGAAGAAACAATTACTGGAAAAATACTATAATTAAAATATGCATTATTAGTAATTCTATACAATTACCGGTAATAAAATGAGTTAAATGAATATGATCATTGATCATAATTGAGTATAAAATCGATTAGCGGCTGGATTATCGTCAATCCTATAAATACTGATGATGATACCGGGCTGGGCAATGGAAGATGATAATATCAATAAAGAATTCATACAGGTAAAATATACCTACAGGCTACGATGTCCGCTGACTTATTCTATTATCTTGATTTTGATAGACGTAACATAAGATAAATCCTAAAGGTGGTTATAATACTTTTGCCGACAATGGGGGGAGAAAGACGCCAGCCCGGTCATCTCGTCTGTAATATAAACGTCTGCTGAACGGGAACAAAAGTTTCAGTGACTCGCTTACAGTTTTACCACACAGAAATGGCTCGGATTAACACTCATCTTTACAAAAGTTCTATTTTGTTAATTTCTGTGACTGTTGTTTTATTTAGTGACTATACAAGTAAATAAACATTATTAATTATATTGAAATCAGCTGATATCTAATCATTTTTTAGTTTCTTTTAATAAAGAAATTATTAAAAAACTGTATAAAAATATTTTTAAAAAATCTATCAACAATTTTTTTTTTTTAATTTCCCTCATAATTTTTCAGTCAAATAAATAATCTGATTTCTGTTGATTTCAGTATCACACATTATTACAATTAATTTTCTATCAAGTGCATTAATTACTTAATCGATAAATTGCTTTTGTTATTTTAACAGATTCGAAGCCTATTCAAATTTTACAGAACAAACCGGGTTACATCGGAGTGTACATAAGACACGGAAATGAACCATTGATAAACATAAATCCGGCGTTAGCTGAAGCCTTCCATGAAGAAATTGTTCAGGCATAATTAAAATTTATATCATTTATTTTCTTTCTTCATTTTTTATTATCAATATTTATAGTTTTAATTGATCAATTAATCATTAATGATTGATAATATTATTTGTGCAGAACGGAGTGATACCATTAGAAGATCACGAGGATTCAGTGATTCAAAAAATAACAAGCGATAATGAGAAGCCAGAAAAATCGCGAAATCCGAGCAACGAAAAAAATTTCTTTATACCTCTACCTCGTCCCTATGTGGTTCACCGAAGCTCATAAAAAAGAGATTACAAAGAAGAAGGAAGATAGTGACGTGGCACTGAACAATCTCGAGGACATGACCTTGAAAATTAAAATGATCTGTATTCTTCGACTTAATGATGTTACGAAATTGTTATTATAATTATTGAGCTGCGCCCAGCCGAAAGATTTTTTGTACACAAGTAAGGTAAAAAACAAATAAATGTTCATTTGATAAAATATCTTTTCGTTTGAAAGTTGACCTTGTTGTTTTGTTTTGAAGTTGAAGTTGTTTTGTTTTGTTTATCATCATAATGTTTATAAATATTTTACACAGATGTTGAGTTTCATACACAGGCACAAGAAGTTATTTCAATAATTTCCCTCTTTGAGCCTCTTCGTGTTCTGCAAAAATACAAAAAGTAAACCGCTATAAAAGCGGCCGCATTTTATGTCTCATAAATTGTTGAAGCAAAAAAAAAACTGTACTTTACCTATATTCGTGTACTTTAAATCTAACCGGTGTGCATTTATATTGCTTAGAATATAATCCAGCTAAACATCTTGCGGGGTTTTTTTTATCACGTAATAAACAAGTTTTTTCGGTATGATTTCCTGGACACGATCCATCACAGTGTCCAACATTTATGTGCTGTAATTTCAATGCAATTAATACTTCTTTATGCATCAATTTATATATCAAGTACATTATTGATTTATGTGACATAAATCCGTTATGAGAATTTTTCGAAATATAAATATAATAGCTTGTAATTATACCCTGATGAGTGGTTTAACATCGCTCGTATTCGATCCTCGTTTGATTTCAAGTTGGCTGTAGTCGAGAATGCTTTCGATCCGCTCCATTCGATGACAACTATTAGCACATCCACACTCTTGAATCACTTGATAAATTTCATCCCCTGTTAATTATTTAAGCAAAAATTATCAGTTGTAATAGCCGATTTGTAAAATTTATCATACAATTAAAATAAAGGCAAAAATTTTTTAGCTTTAGACACAAATGGTTTTTACAAATTTCAATTAAAAAATAAAATAAAAAATGATTTGAAGAAAATCGGTTTTTATTTTAAGTATATATATTCTTTTGGTTTCTAGATTCTTGAATTAAGATTTTTATAATTTCGATTGATAAATAATTATCACTTTGTTCAAAAAATATTTCCAGTTGATGTAAGCAAATTTTTTACCCAACAACGTTTCTCTTCAACTTATAATTAATTTTCTTTTTTAAAAGCTTTAAATTTTTATCGTAAGTAATATAGTTGAAAACAAAAAATCGTGCTTTAACAAATTTTAATAAGTATTTAAAACTTTGATGATACAAAAAATAGCAGAAATCCAAAAATTTCATCGATTTTAGCAGCATATTTAAAGAGTTCAACATTATTTCAAACTTATTTTACTAAAGTAAAATTCTTCAGTGAAGAACTTTCTTATTTTTATCCAAAATTTTAAAATGATTGATTCAAGAATCAATTTTTTTAATTGAAAGAACTGGATATCTTAAAGCGCAACTAAAATTCTGAAGATAATATTTTTCTTCAAATTTTATAAAAATTTATAAGGTTAAAAAAATGTAAAATTTTAATCATATTTAATTTTATAAAAATTTACGGAATCTTCATTTTTTTAAATGTGACTAAAATTTTACAAAATATCATCAAATTTAGTAATAAAATTTTATAAAATCTTACACAATAAAGAAAATATAATAAAACTTTAGCCAACTAATTTTATTATAAAATTCCACAAACTTAAATAAAAATCTAGCTTATCTTGAATCTATAGATAAATTACTATCAAATGCACCCACATGAAAATGAAATAACTTTTTATTACTTACCATTCGGTCCTTTTATGCTGACCGTACCATTCTTGAAAGGTCTACAACCTAACGCTAATTAAATTTGAAAAAAAAAAAAAGTAAAAAAAGAGAAATATAAATAAAATCCAGTGCAATAAATTAAAAGATGCCTTATCCTTGAATGAAGGTATTACCTTTCGAACATGTTCCCAAACAAAGGCCAACGTCCACAGCAACTTGATAAGGTGTTCCCGCATGAACGAGTTGTTCAAAAGATGTTCTACTGCATGGTGATTCATGCCAGCAATCGCAGCTATCGACAACTTCAACTATTTTAACACCTTGAAGCGTTGAAATCCTTTCCATACGCGAAGACCTTGGGTGGCATTGCGAACGGGGTGGACACCGCTGATAATTCAAATAAATCAATTCAAATTAAAATATAACATAATATAATAAAATAAATAAATAAAATAAACTATCGACAATAAATTATACCTGTACAGCCGGCTTGCTGACATCTCCAGGGTCGTCCGAAGCGTGACGAGGACAAACTCTCCGACAGTGTCCTGAGTCAATAGATATTACTTCACCAGATACACCTAAAAATATTTAAATAAATATTAATGAATTAATACTTATAAGTAGGTCATTACTAAGTGAAGATACTGAATGGAAGGGCACCACTATTATAAAATCAACCGGATGAACAATTTTACAACGGCAAGTTGTGTAGCTACGTCGCACGCTTCAATTGATTAATATGATATTGGTAGTTACGCTGTTGGCTTCATACATCCGGCTTCACCAAATTAATTTTACTTCGACAATCTACATTACAATAACAACTCTTTGAAAAAAAATTATAAAAAAGAACCTACTCGTTGAAAAAAAATTATGAGTTTTTTATTACAAATAAATTATCATAAAGATAAAAAAATTTGAGAATAAAAAAAAATTTTGTGACTTAAAAAATATTTTTTTAGTGCTAATTTAGTTTTTTTTAATTAAAAAAAAAAAAAAAAAGCAGATTTTTTCTGATTTCAGTACATAAAAATTCAATGACACTGAAGTTAGCAGACGTCTAAAAATTTTTGATTTTTTTTTTTTTTTTTTTAATTAAATTACAACTAAAAAGATATTTCTAAAAAATTGCACTTATAGTTTTTTAAGTTTTTAACATGTGATATTTTTTTTTTTAATTGTTTAATTGAAATTTTTTTGATAAAAAATTTCTAAAAATTTTGAAATATCAGCTAACTTTATTTTGATAAAAATTCAACACAAAAAATTTTATACTTGCCATAGCCAACTCCAATTTTTTTTTCATGTCTTGCACAGCAACGAAAAGATCGTGTCGGCTTGTCTGCAAATTCTCGTTCCAGGTCGCTTGCGCTTTCGATTTTACTTTCAGCTATGACTAAAATAAAAAAATAGTGAAATTAAAAATAAATATTAATTCACTTAGAATTTATAATTGCAAGAATGTTGAATTATAATTAAAATATTCAATATTTTATTGCTTATTGCCAATAAATTCGAAGAACTATGAGTCAATACTTACCAGATTGGAGATAAATAATGTAGAGAACCAACAAACCGGTATTTAATAAACAATTTTCTGTTGCATTCGTCATAATTTTGTTAATTATTTGATTTAAATTTATATTTACGTGGTTAATATAATTCTATGTCATATAATAGTAACGAGAAAAACATTAAAGTATTAAGCTAGCATACATAGTATATGCCCTTCACAAACTGGGAACTCCAATTAGACTGTCACCGGCTGTCATTCAACAAAAATTACGCTTGAAAAAAACTTTGCTTCAAATTCCCGCCAATAATTTAAAAAAAATGTATTGGCTAGAGGGCGCGCATGCGCGTCATATTGTGGCGCAAAAAAAACTCCCACAATATTGAAATACCCACACGTGTTTTTTGCGGGGTAAAATTTCATTAACATCAATATTTAGATCTCAAGATATAACAGATATGTATTGAATTTATATTTTTATGATAAATTGTCACCTAAATCGTAAAGAGAAATTTTCCTAACGACAATTTATCTATTTTAGGTTATATTTACAATCACAGTTAAGGTTAAGAAAATATTAAATAATAAATTTTTATAGATTTTGATGTAAGTAAGATTGAAATTTAAATAATAAAATAAAAAATTTTACAGGTTCAAAAAATGTCGAAATCAAGAAAAAGCTTATCAACTCTTTGGGTTACTTGTGATAAATGTCGATCAACAATGTCACAAAAAGACACGTGCTTCCATGAGTCTACATGTCCTCCGAAAAATGATGAATGGACTCATCATTATATACAAAATAAAATTCTTTACAGTTCTGTTGATGCTTATTGTTCAAAAGGTATGCGCATCTATATTTTATCATTAATTTAATAATACTTAAATTAACAGACATCCGACAATTCTTAAAATTTATATAATAAATCTATTATTATAAAAAAAATATTTTAAAAAATTCGCACTTGTAATTTTTAAAAACTTCTACACGTGAAAATTTTTCGGTAAATTGTTTTCTATGTAATTTAATTGTTATAAAAATTAAAAAAATTGTTTTATATCTGTTAAATTCAGTACCATATTAATTTATCATACTGATATTTATCCATATCTGAAAATTTTTATTCATGAGTGAATTCTTACACAAATAATTAAGAAAAAATCCATATGTAGAAATTTTAACAAATTATGATTGTAATTTTTTTATAAATATTTTCTTAATACAAAATTATTTTTTTAAATAAAACTATAAAATTATCAGTTGAGTTGTCTACTGACAGTATCATTAAATTTCTTAATTTTTTTTTCTAATCATGATAATGATAAATTGTATGAATAAAAAACTTTTGCAGAACTTCCAAAAAATATCACTGAACGAGATTCCCATGAGATGGTTTTCATGTCTCATTCTGCATTAGAATTGTGTGAAATAGCGATTGGCGACAGAGTAATTTTATCTTTCAAAGGAGAAGAAATAGTTAAAACTGCGTGGCCCACCAGCGACAGAAGTTTAACTAGTGTATGCTTAACTAAAAATAGTAAGTTATATTAATGAAACATTATTTACTTTTTTGGAGAAAAAAAAAATAATTTTTGAGGCATTTCTGTAGAATTTTTTAAGTTACTTGTTATTATTATTTACAATTAATCAAAAATGTTTCATTTACTTTTTGATTAAAATATTTAAAAGTTTATTAAAACTATTCACTGATGTAAAATTAAGGCACTAATCTGATGAGTAAAGCCTTTTTTAGTGGAATTCTGCAAGAATGCCTGAGTAATAATTTAAAAAAAAAGTATTCATTTTTTTATTTTTTAAGCGATGGACGTAAATAAAGTAAGTGGCCCAGTAACAGTCAGGAAATTAAAAAACCAACTGCTATCTGCTGAAGAAATAACAATTAAATACGTAGGAAGACAACAACTACCAAAAATAACCTCAGAGTTACAAATACTTTTCAAAAATTACAACGAAAGAAAAGTTTTCTGCATTGGAAATCGCATAAACATTCCATTTTATGGAAAAAATTTACCATTCATAATTGTTAGTATCACTCAAGGTAAACATAATAATTCATCACTAAATACCTCCAGCAACGATGACCTTGCTGACGGACTTGAAAGTATGAGTATAACTGACCCAAAATTTTTCCTATCTTTATTTACTACTAAATGGAGAGTCATCAAAGACGAGATAAATTCAACAGCCAATAAAAAGAGTAAAATAACAGCAAACGATATCGGTGGATACGATAAACTCTTAAATGAATTACGCGACATTGTCGACGTTGTTTTAGGAAAATGTAGGCAAGTTCTAAAAGGTATTAGAATTAGCAAAAGTATATTACTTTATGGCCTTAATGGGGTTGGTAAAACGACAATAGCTAATGTTTTATTGTCTAGTTACGATGTAAAAGTATTTTCATTTAAAGCTAGTGAAATATATACAAAATATTTAAACGACGAAAATAAAAAAATATCTGATTTATTTGCCGAGGCAAAAGCTGAAACATCTAGTGTGATATTTATTGATGATATTGATACGTTATTTACAAAAAAAGGATTGTCTGACGGTGAAAAACGTTTTTTGGGAACGTTGATACAAGAAATTGATGATTTACAGGAATCTGATGCCAATACTCTATTGCTTATGACTACTTCGAAACTAGACTCAATCGATAGTTCACTGAGACGTTCTGGTAGACTAGATCGTGAAATAGAAATTCCTACACCAACTCCAAGTATGCGTTGTGAAATATTAAAAAAATTAATATCTAAAATGCCAAATACTTTCAATGATGACGACTTTGATGAAATAGCATATGTAACTCATGCTTTCGTAGCTGCTGATTTGAATGTGCTTTGCTCACAAGCTGGTATGCGAGCAATTAAACGACATCAAGATAATGACTTAACTCCGAATGTGTATGTCAGTGCGGTTGACTTCATGGGAGCTTTGAGAACAGTTAAGCCAACAGCGATGAAAGAAATTTCTGTTGAGGTACCTAACGTTAAGTGGTCTGATATTGGTGGTCAGAAATCACTTAAATTAAAATTATGTCAAGCGATTGAGTGGCCTTTGAAAAATCCAGATGTTTTCATACGACTGGGAATCACTCCTCCAAAAGGACTTTTGATGTACGGTCCACCGGGTTGTTCCAAAACAATGGTCGCTAAAGCCTTAGCGACTGAAAGTAAACTTAACTTTATAAACATCAAGGTAATTTTTTTGATCATCTATAATAATAATTAATGCTGTCGATTAAATGTATGTATTTATTAAAGATACAATAATTATATTTTTAGGGTCCAGAATTATTTTCAAAGTGGGTCGGTGAATCCGAACGAGCTGTACGCGAAGTATTTCGTAAAGCAAACGAAGTTGCGCCATCAATAGTGTTTATTGATGAAATCGATGCTATCGGTGGTGAAAGAGCTACCGGAGATGCTGCTAATGCAAGTAACAACGTTCAAGAACGGGTCTTAGCACAATTATTAACGGAACTTGATGGTGTGACTGCATTAGGAAATGTTACACTTGTTGCTGCTACTAACAGGCCCGATCGTATAGATAAAGTAATTATGATATTTAATTTTAATTATAGTCAACTTTCTTTCACTTTTATAGAAAATTCATGTTAAATTTTTTTTTTTTTTTATTTTTATCATAGGCATTACTAAGACCAGGAAGATTGGACAGACTTGTTTATGTCCCATTGCCAGATGCTGATACCCGTGGAGAAATATTTAAAATAAAATTTTTGAAAATGCCGGTTGATGAAGATTCTGTTAAAATCCCTGATCTCGTTGAAATTACTGACGGTTATTCAGGAGCGGAAATTCAAGCACTGTGCCACGAAGCTGCAATGAGTGCATTACAGGAGGATATTAATTCAAATGTGTTACTGACTAAACATTTTGCAGATGCACTAAAAATAGTGAAACCACGGACTTCTGCAAAGCTTATTACATTATATGAAAATTTTTGTAATAATACTAATAACAAATAAATAAGACTTTTTATAAATTTTGTATTTTGCTACAAGAGTCAAATAAACAGTTATACTTTTATATATCATTTATTATATTATTTTTTATTTTACGGATGATTATATTACACTTACTCAACATGTACAAGAGAAAACACACTTCTCATCTTTTAATACTTTGTTTTTTATTTTTATTTGATTGTTATATTAAATTGTTTTATATTTATTTATGCATATAATTATTTTACTGCTAAATTTTACGAAAAAAATAATATTTTTGCAGCAACAAAAATTGATCAGAGATCTCGCATTTGCTGAATTTATAATAAATCAATATTGTTTAATTTAAGAAACATTATTCTAATGAGAATTAATTATTATCACGCATAGAAAAATTCATAAATTATATTTATATTTATATATATATATATAATTATTTGTTTATTTTACTTTTATCTCTGATATACACATTATCGACAAAATTTTTTAACATAACGGCTGACACAAGTTTTTTATATATTACTGTTTTGTATAAATATCTTTTTTTCCGAGCAACATCTAGATAATTTTAATTAGTACATTATTATGTTTTAAATTTTAATTATACTTAAAAATAATAACAAGTATTAATATTAATGATAATAATTAATCGATAATAAAAGATAAAAATTATTACGTGATATTTACAGATAAAATATAACTAAACATAACTTTTGATAATGACGTCAAATATAGCATTGTGTATTTACAAACCCGATAAAAAAATAACTTCGTTTTTAATTACTTTTGTATTTCGTTTTATAGAAAAAAAAAATGCAAAATGTGAAAAAAAAAAAAAAATAACTTATTCTAAAAGTGGGTGCCCGTTTTATGCGGGATTTTTTAAATAAAAAAAAAATCAAGTTATTAATACTTGCACTTGAACGAATAAAAAATAGTAAATTCAGTTCTTAAATGGAAAAAAAAAAAAAAAAGTTATTAATGAAATATTATTTTCCAGTTATTACTAATTGGTGGAAGATATTGTCGCGAGTGCAAGAGATATTTCTAACTAATTTATTTATTCAACCGAATCATTCCAATCAAAGCCCATGGGTAGTCGTGGAATATCACTACTTGCTGATGATTCATCTTCACTACTAGTAGCAGAAGCTTCTTCGGAAATCATAGCTTCACCACCGGCTTCTTGCGGTCTAGGGCCGGTATGAGACTCATTAGTGGAAACAAGCGGTGGATTAGCAACTATCGCATTAGACGAGGGATCACTTCGTGGTCGCCTGCGTGCACAAAGAGGCGTAGAATTGTAATTAGGTGCCCATTCGCTATTATTAGTCCCAGCATCTGATGTAGAGACACTTTTAGATCGCTCTCTGATATCCAACGATTTTCTTGGAACTCTTCTGAGTGAATTTTGCCGTGAGACAGCTGGTCTTGGATCAACATTTGGTAACGGATCACAAGATTCATCAATTTCTAGTGTCCATGACACTGAATCACCTTTATGGACCATAAATTTAATCATAGAACTTGAGGTAGCGGGTGGATTTTTTTCTCCCGACATAGAATGATCGATGTGCTCTGGACCGAGTGATCTAGATAATCTCTGTGTTGGTGTTGCTAATTGGTTAGCCAATACATTCACTACTTCACTTTTTTGTCTTAATCTCCATTGTAGTTCTTCATTTTTTTGTGTCACTCGTTTATTTTGTTTTGAAATTTCATGAAATGAACCCAATAAAATTTCATTTTCATGAGCTATTTGACGTTCATAAGATTCTTTACTTTGTAATTGTGCTTTCAAATCTTCACATCTAGCTTCCAAAGTTTCGACGCGCTGCTCAAGAGCTTCTTTCCCCTCAACGTCACGGCGTAACTTGTCGTTCTCACTTCTCATTGCGGAATTTTCTTGACTGCGTAATTCTAAAACAGATCTTAATGACCAAATTTCAGCGCGAAGAACAGCCACCTGATCACTACTTAATGACGTACTTTCAATTTCACATGGCGAACTATCGGCGTAAATTAAATCTTTAGATAGTTTTGATTCCCGTTCAATTTGATCTTCCAATTCCCTCACACGCTTCTCTAATTTACTTTTATCTTTAACTTGTCGTTTCAAATTCTCAATTTCTGATTTTAATTTCTTGATCATGCCATTTTTAAATGACATAGCTGGTTTAAAACTCAATTTCAAAGATTCATAATCCTTTTTAAGTGCTTCTAATTCTGATTTCTTATCTAATGACTCTAAAGCTACTTGTTTGCTACTCCAATAATTCTCTTTAGCCTTAATTTCCAACTCTTGCTCAGATTTTAATCTTTCTATTATTACTTCGTGTTCTCGTGCCAATTTGTCTAATGATGTTTTAAGTTGAACTTGAAATTCGTCTCGTTCTTCTTGCAATGTACTTTCAAGGTCTTTTATACGTTCTTCATAAATTCCTTCCACTGCAAAGGAAATAAATATTATTAATTTTCAAAATAAATAAAAATTTTATAAAAAAAAAATAAATAATAATTACTAGAGAAAAATACTTACAACGAGTACGGAGTTCATCAATTGCTTTTTCATGGTCTTGTCTCTCCTTATCAAGCGTCTCCTCCAAATTTCCATAAGCATTTTTCAGATTATATAATTTTGTTTGTGTCATCGTTGTGTGATCTTCAAACTGAAAAAAATAAATAAATTTTATTTATATTCTTACGCTTTACCTTCAGTTTAAATAAAATACACTTATTTATATTGAATTCAATTTTTTCAATGTTATAATAACGTAATACTAAATACGTAGCTGAACAAAGTAGTCAATAATAATTTAAAATTATAAAATCAACTGTTATTTTTTAAAATTATCTAAATGAATCAAATTTTATAATATTTAAAAAATTTTTTTAATGTTTACCAATTTTTAACAGCTGTGAAATCATTTTAGAATAATTACGTGTTTATATCTACATAATATAAAATACAGTTTGTAAAAAAAATTAATTTAATTGTTACTGCAATAGGCACACATGAAGAAACGTGAATGAAAAAAAAAAAAAAAAAACGAATTAATTTAACATTTAGCTCTTAATAGTAGCGCTATTTATCAAATAAAAAAAATGTTATCAATTTTTTTAATCTTTGTGAATTATTGATTTGTATTTGTGAAAAACTTTATACTAAAAAAAAAAAAAAAAAAAATAAAATTATGTTTCATAGAAAGTTAAAAAAATTGATAAAATACCTGTCGGGTTACATACTGCACGGTTATGCATAAACCTTGAATAAAATCATCAGCACGTTTTAAATCACCATCGAAATCGGTAGTTTGTGCTTCTTGATGACGAGTTTCAATGCTTGTAGCCCTTGGAGCCAATTCCTTAATAATACGATCTGGAATAAGTTCAATAAATGCCATCACGTCAAGTACACAGTCACTTTTTTTTTTAGTCATAGCATAAGTATTTTTTCAATATGTGTATAATATAACTGTACGGTATTGCCACACAATAAAATTTATTTATTTATTTATCAACGAATACGTCCGTTTTTGTTACAACAACACTACTATTAGTTAAAATTAAAACAACAGTTTAGTTTTACAGATGAATTTTTCTCAACGATATGTAGTCGTCTTGAACTGCTGATCAACTGCCAAATTTTTAGACATCCGGATGCATTTAAAACAAATTTTATCCCTACCATATTTTTTCATAGATATACCTGAGTGCAGATCAACCAATCAATTGTTTTGTCTATACGTCATTAAGGTCCTTTTAAAAGAAAAATTTCTAACCTTATCTCATTATAATCCTATAAAGATTTTTTAAGCAGGTAATTACGCCAGACAAAAGATTTGTTCTCATTATCATTAGAATACAAAAGAAGAAAATTTTATAAAAAAAAATCCCAAAAAATAGTCTAGACTAGACATTTACCAAATTACTGACTAGACGTTATTAAGTAAACACGTTAATGTTAGATGATAAAATACCTATGTCATAAAGGAGTCTAGTCGGTATTTCAACAGTTTAAATAGTCTTTCACGCTTGTTTACTCTAATTTCAAACTTTTATATTTTTTTTTTTTTCGAATTCTTCTATTTTAATAATAATCAATACTATCGTAAATTTTACAAATATTAGAACAAATTTTTTTATCTTTTTGTAAATAATGATAAATTTAATGGAAAATATTTTTATAGAATTTTTAAATTAGTAAAATAATAAAAAAAAAATCCTTAACCCACAAAAAAGTAATTTGTGAGAGCTTATTTATAAAGTTCTAAGGCATTAAACTCGTCGATTTTAATAACCGGAAATACCAATTTTGCAGTTCGTTTCGCGGGATATCAAGGTCAAAATTTAAAACGACCGTAAATAAATGCAAAAATAAAAATTTTATAGTTAAAATTATTTAACCGAAAAATAATTTAATGAAAAAATATTGATTAAAAAAAAATCTATCGCACTATTTCAATAACTACCAGACACTTAAACTCACGGACGGTATTACTACAGTAGTGTGTTACTACTGTAAATCAATGAATTGAATAGTAATGTATAAAGTGTCAAGTATAAGGGCGTGATAAAACGATCGTAAATTGCAATACTCGTTTATATTCAGACGTATGTCATAATGATAACCAGTATAAGTGCATAAGAATGAGCGTACATGTGTATTAAATGTATATACATAACTATGTAAACTTACTAGTACTACGATGTACGCGGTTCGACTGAATTAGCTCAACAGCTAAGCTATATAATGTAATATATCTCGTTGCTTGTGTTTCACACAATTTTACACGCTTCGTACAGCATGTCCCCTTTACCCTACTCGACCCTATTCTATATTATCCATTAGCCACCCACCCGTATTGTACCGAAACCGTCCGAGTCTCAGAGCATGATGTGATCTACACATTTACATTTTGCAGTCTGAGAAATATGGATGATTATATGTTTCACACGAATAATAGATGCTCCCACGGTTGGCAATTTTTTTCACCACAACTCCATATAAGTGTAGCAATTATTTATTAAGCCCTTATTATTAATAAATAATTATTTAATGCATACCTTTCATCAAACCGGAACCATTTTGCTGTTTTTCATTGGTGCTCACACCATTAGTAAGAGTTGTTGCTCGTCGTATTGAAGATGATTTACGAATTGGCGTTGGGCTTTTATCTATAAATATAAAAATAACTATTTAATAAAAATAAAAATTTTAAAAGTACTTTTGAATACTTATAAACTGACCAAGATTGAGAGGCGATAAATCAGAGAGGCAATTTTTTTTCGAATCATTATTGAGTGTATTCTGTTTAAGACTGCCTCGACCATTAACAATTCTTCTCTGTTGATTAATATTACCAGGTGATCGTTCTGAAACAATGAGAAAAAAAAATTTTATCAATTAAATAATTATAATAACAATAATAATCATCCGTGAAAAATATTGAACAGATAAGGATAAAAAAAAATAAATTAAAAAAGTTGGCATTAAGTGCCAATGAAAAATAAACAGGAAATTTGAATGATACTCGTGTGTAGCTAAACTGTACGCCAGAATATTAAAATAGACGACCTCGATGAAGAAGATTTCAGGTTGTTGAAAAGTTACTCTATCGTGGATTAAAATATATATATATATATATATATATTCAAGTATATTATAACGGTGTTTTAGCACAAGACTAAAAAAAAATCAGGGGATCAAGTTAATAAATAATTATTATAAATTATAACTTATCGATTAAGATACAAGGAGTGTTTATACCTCTCTTCAAACTTCCAAGTCCTATTTTTGATTCTCTTACTAGGTCAGCTCGCACTGGAGCATTTCTGCCCTTAGACCCCTGCTGTCCCATAATAACGGTACCAATACAAACGATTATCTTGGTAATTTAAGTATTATTTACGAACCATTAATAGTATTTGTATATCACAGAATACATAGTGTCCAAAATTTAATTAATTAAATTTTTTTTTTTTTTTTAAGTATTATGGCAACTATAATAAGCATTGATTATTACTTTAAATTAAGAGAAAAGAGCGACAATAGCAAATTTGATTGCCTTGACCGTTGAATTTGCTCCGAGCCAATGCCACGAAGCTTTACGAGCAATAGCCTACATTGTCCGTGACTGCCCTTGGAGCCTATTCTGAGACAAATTCCTCTACAGGTATCTAGCTCGGCCAATCACCCAATCGCTTGACAGATTCGTTGAGTTTCACGGCACGAAATCCCTCTCATCCTGTTTCTTTTGGTCTTTTCGTTTGAATCACTCGCATATGTCGCATTGCACCACACCATCAACATCTTATTAAATCTCAACACTTAAATCATTTTAAATATAACCAGTAGTAGTGATTAATAAATATCAAAAACAGATTTAAACAACAACAATAACAACAACAACTTGTTACTTCAAATTGATTTAATGACTGTTTAATCAGGAGAGTTAAAATAAAAGTACGTGCTATTTAAATGTATTTTTTAGCATATGTGAGATTCAAGATGTGAGAAACTGAAGTGAACACTGTGCTGGTACCAAAGAACTGAATGCTATCTCTGGTACACCCTTTTCCCGTCGGCCTTGGTAGATCAAGCACGTGGCGACCAGGTGGTACACCTGTCTCCCGGATAGTGAGGGGGAATTGGAGGGAGAAATCGGGTAGCAAACCAACGGTAAAGAGTCTAGCAGTGGTGGAGAACGATTTAACAACAAAGAACCAACGGGAAGATTGAGGGAAGGAGCAATGCCGGAAATAAACGTGTATATGCCGTTGACCTATTCGCACTTGCGTCTTCTTCTTCATGTGTGGATGCTAAACCATATACATAACAGTTTATGTTGTTACTCCAAATTCAAACAACTGAAACAGCGGTCTATTATTGAACTTATTTTTACTTCATCTCCATCTCCATAAAAATAATTATTCATCGTTATTTTATTTTATACACTCAAACTTTATGAAGGAACACCAGGAGAGAACAGTTGATTAAACAAAATAAACACCGCAATAAAATTTTGCTTAACTGATTGATCCCGTGAAGAATACTTTAGACCAAACAAGATTTAATAAAAAATTAAAAACGGTCAACATGACAATACACTTAGAGAACTCGATTGATCGTCGAGTCCCAACACAAGTATAATATACTTGAGTGACCTGAATAGGAAACTCGGGATGACTGAATCGTTGAAGTAAAGAACAGACCAGTCAAGCGCATGCCGCGGCGTATCGTACCAGCGAACACCGCACAACTGCAGAGACTTGGAGGTATACGAGCTATCACGAGCATCACCGAGAACAACCGAAGGGCTTGGAAACTAGCCGTCACATCTTGTGGCTGGCAAGAGGGCAAAATACTTTGACTGGATATTATGTAGTTAACGACAACGTGTTATTTTTCTAACATGTTATGTAACAGAGATGTTTGTTTTAAATACTCACTCGATGCTGTGCCCTTGCTTGTAGCACTGCTGATATCGCTCATTGAACTGCGGACTGAGCTACGAGCAGTTTCTTGGGTAGGTGAAGCATTACTTTGACGTATTCTTGATCTCCTTAAATATTAATAATAAAAATTATTTTTATTATTATCATAGTACTCATTATAGTGTAAAAAGTCTTTCTTTTTCAGCTTTTTACTTTAATAATTAAATTTAATGGGTCTTATTAACCCTTGATCTTAGGATAATTTAAATAATAAATTGTCTTTAGTGTTATTAAAGATACAAAGCATGAAAAAGTTTATTATTGTATTGAAATTTAATTCTATTACCTTTTATCTTTAATAGCATTGCTATTATTATTCGCATCACCGGGCAAGCGCTTAGCGGAAGCCACGGTGACAGCGGAAGATGAAGAAGTAGACGAGGAGGACGAGGAGGAAGAAGAAGTTGCTACAAGATTTTGTAAGATTCTAGACTTCACTTCCTTGCGCGGTGGCCTCGTTCGCTGTTCAGTTTTCCCTGCTTCGATTTTACTCATTACCGCGTCCCAACGACCGCTTTTTCTTGGAGTCCTTGAAACACGGCGTTGCTCTTTAACATCTTCTTTCACGCCACATTCAATCATGGCTTTTATTTTCGACGCCACATTTTTTTTTGGCATTTTATATTTTTTCAGGCCTGTTTGGTCTGATTTATTTAATAATTTAGGCGTTGATGACCTTTCAGCACTATCATTAACAATATGGATCACAGTTATTTCATTCTTTTCTGGAGTCGCTTCTATTGCCATGTCTTCGGGGCTTTTTGGTACCTGTTAAAGATAATGATGTTATAATTACTTAGAAAATAATAATAATAATAATAATAATAATAATAATCACTATTTTTTTTATCAGCCTGGCTAATGCTCAATAACACTTAAATATCTTATCATTGTTTTTTATTTATAATTGAAAGATTTTGCCTTGAATAAAATAACTTTACAAATAGTTTTTATTGTTAACCACAAGAAATATAATTTTAACTTAATGTATATGTTAAGAACTGTCTGTTGACAAAAAATCGAAAGGTCGCGAGTTGAACTCTTCGTCCGAATAGTCCAATATTTTTTTTTCTTAACATAATTCTTGATCAATATACCTGTAAAATTACTTTATCCTTGATAAAATATTTATCGAATAAAATAATCAATTTCACAATACTAATAATTTTAAATGTCAAAAAAAAAAAATTAATCAGATTTGAGTACTAACTAGCCAGATCGTTAAAAAAAAAAAAAAATTATTATTATTATTCTGACCGTAACAGAGTTATAAAACAAAAATAAAAAAATATTCATAATCATTAAGTATGACTAGTTTTTAATTAAAGTTGATTTTATAATGACCTGTAAATAATTGGAGATAGTCTGCGGTACTTCAGGCTTAAGAGTCGGTGAGAGACGGGATTTAGGAGAAACTTGAGTATCGGGAGTATCACCAGTATTAGCAGTATCTGGAGTGTGATCTTCACTCAATGGTTCTTCCAGATTATAGCGTTCGTCGTGTCGCTTATCAAGATCTGAATATATTCCACTTGAGTCCATTTCTTCGCCAGCAAAGCTTGGACATCGACGGCCGGCTGGGGCACAGAAAAGTGTACCATCAATAACTTGGGCACGACGATCGCCTCTGCCAATATCTTCATGTGCATCAGCGTCACTCTCGGTAAAAAAATCTGAATCAGTCATAGGGTCTTGTAGTCGACAAGAAGCCGGTAAGTTATCTGGTAAAACTAATGGTGGATCTGGTCCACGACTTGCTGGCCGAGAGTTTTCACCGTCACCTTGATAACCAGCTTCCAAACTCGTAATACTTGTTACCGAAGTAACAAAACTCATTGGCAATGAAGCATTAGATACTGCAACACCTGAAATTCCTGCAGTTGCTGCGGCTGTTGTTGTAACTTGATTTGGTCCTCCTGTTTGGTCATCAATTAAAAGTTTTATATTAAGTGGTTTTGAATCATCAAGAGGTAATTCTTCCAGTGACGGTGAACGTTCGCAAAAATTACCCGGTGCGTCTACGTCAACCACAAATGGAACATTGGTAGGTCTGGAAGCACGTGACGATGATGAAGAGGTTCCAGCCAATCTAGAACCAGTGAGATTCTCGTATGAAGGGGTCCGGGAGCAACCCAATGCAATAGTAAAGTCGGTCATTTGGTCAGGCGTCAGTATTCCCAGGCTCTCGTCATGCTCGAACGAATTTTGCTTATTCAACACTAGGTACTGCTGTGGTGTATTCAAGCAACTTGATCCACTAACATCAAAATTACTACTCACTGATGAGTCAATTAGACAGCTACTTCCAATATCATCGATCATACTCGATGAATCGTAAAAATTACTATAAAATATTTGAAAAAGGTTTAGTTAGTTACACAAAAAATACAACATTGCAGTTAGTAATAAACGTAATAACTGATTAACATACTTGAAATACTTTTCATCCTTTCGTTGTGATGATAAATCATGTTGCACATTACTATCAGCAGTCCATACCCCAGATGATTTAAATGAAGTGTCAGGCAGTTTTGCTATAAAAACAAATGTCCAATTAATACCTTCTTTTAGATAGAAATAAAAATAAAAATAAATTAAAATAAAAACTTGTAAAACCTGTATCAGGCGGCGTTGAAGAGTAAATATGCTTATCGATCGACCATGTTCTTGGTGTTCTCAAAACAATAGTTTCATCAGAATCATGAGGTGAAAAACATCCAGAAATAATTGATTTTCTATCACGTGTTACATTTAAAATAGCCGTACTGTGTTTTGACGGCGTAATAATCTTTGGTTTCAATAAAAAAGAGGGGCGCGGAACCCGTGAGACGGGTATTTTGCTCTCACCGTTCTGCAAACAAACAAAAATAATAATAATATTAATCACCAACTACATTAACCCATTTTCTTGTTATCACCTTATCATAATCACTACATAATATATTCATATTTAGATTTAGATAAATAGTAATCAGTCCACAATCGCCATAGATATAAAATACTACTAAGTAAATATTCGAATACTATCTCGTTTCCCTTCTGTTTTTATTTCATTCTTATAAAAAATTAATTTATCAAAATTACCATCACGTGTTTATAGAGTTTATCCGTTCTAGGTTCGCACGATAACCTGGCCAGCCAACTGGCTTAGATTAATTTAACTTGGAGGTACATATACATATACATAATTCAGGGCATTTGTACTTCTAACTTTACGACGCGCGCATATAAAACGCATGCGCTTTATCTAATTCTACTTGTACTCAAATTAGACATATGCACATTGTCTATACTAATATATGAACGATTTATTAAGTATAAGTATCCAGTACCTAAAATTACATTATATCTTACATCGAAAAAATATAAACATTTTACGATTTGCATTATTTTAGATGCATTTTACAAACGGCCGTTAGCTTGGTCAATCGAAGTTACATACGAGCTGTACGACTAACGGCTTTCTCACAATCACACATACCATACACTACTTACATTACATACATTACATTAACATTTTATACTTTACACGCATCATTGCCGTGAAATTCTATGAATTAAAAATAAACAAGGTCGATAATAACGCTTATGTCACGCCAATTGAATCCATTGTTTACCACCACATGTACCTGTGCGGCATTACCATAAATATTTTTTTTTTTTACATTTTTTATTTTTACTTAATTTAAATATTTATTTACACTTTGATTATTCCCTCCTCCTTGTGCATTTGGGAGCTCTTAAATATATTTATCAACAAGATAAATAAGAATTTAAAACAGCAGACGCATCGTTAAATGAATAATAAGTAGGCTACATGTATATAATGTATGATGAGAGCTAACACGATTTCATTCAATTGCAGGCGGTAATTCGTGCTAATTCACTCCGCCTACCCAACGCTCTATTCTTATTCTTGTTTTACTCCGTTATATCCTAACTTATGCTGTATTACACCAGTGAATCGACCTACTCATATACCCCATGCTCACATACTCTTATCTATTATAATCATAGCTATCATGCTTGACACAAAAAGAGCCAAGGAGTATAACGTCTCACGTCGTAGAATCGTTATTAAGGGTATCCAATTAAATTTTCTTCTTCTTCTTTTCTTCTTTTATTATACAATTAAAAACACACTGTGGTTTCATGCTCACATGTTTTTCCTACAGCGAAAAAAGTTGTTATTAAGTCGTAAATTGTTGACAGTAAAAAAAAAGTCAAATGTCAATACGATTAGTATCTTTAATTATAATTCAATGCTTATTAATAAGCAAATAATTTTGAAATTATAATCAGCTGCTAATGTTGTTGATGTTAATTAAAGACCTTGACTCTCAGTTTATTTTATTAACAATGATTCTTGACCGGAAATAATTGTGGACTATCCACCAACTTGTGATGATTATGATGACGCTGAGATATATATATACAACAGTCAACTATACATTCAATCTGAAATGTTAAAGCACACATTACATTACTTTAGATACAGAGATTCTGATGTGCGTTCATCAGTCCGTGAATCCGCACGCACACACATTTTAATTCAACTCGTCTCGCACGCACGCGTTTTTCATTCTATTCATTTACAATTTGGATTTTTTCAATCACTACACACACTAGAGAAAATATAAAATTACAATTAACAATACGGAAACTTTAAGCATATGTTACCAATTCTTATAATTTATTAGAAATCTACTTTTTATAAATATAATAATATATAATGTAATGTATATATTCCGCTGTCAAAATGTTACGGCTTAACAGGTAGTTTTGTAATGTAATGGAAAAAAAAAACTTTTAAAAATATATGTAAAAAAAAAAACGTATAAAAAATAGATAAGAAGTTATAACAGAAAATGTCGAAAGATATTGAAGCATTTAAAAACTTTGCTCATGTCAACAGTTTTTATGAATTTTCAACCAATACCTAATGATAGTATCGTCTTACGTCTTATCCATACATTCCAATTCCACCTGTTTAGTTTCTCTCTCTTGCTTTTCTCATACTTGCACAAGCAATGGCTGCGACCGCGGCGGTAACTTAAATACACGTCAGGAGGGAAACTATATGTGTGCATTATATTAAAATATACGTCTTTTACTCACACCCATACCCCATATCATCACTTGCACTCGTACTATTAACTTATTAACATGTTTCAATAATTTCGTAACATATAATATAACATTAAAGTCTGAAAAAAAAAAAAAAAAAAAAAAATACATTCACTATTATACATCGATAATCTATAAGTAAACAAGAAAATATTACCAAGTTTGCTCTGATTATTTTATATTAATTATATAATTAATCTGTTATCTTAATGTAAACAAATTGATCGATGAATAATTAAAATATTTAATAAGCAAACAAAATATATATTTACGCATGTTAATGAAGCCTCGCCTTATGTAATTGACCTGGCGTCGCATCTTCGCAAGTAAACCAACATTAACTCGTGTGTTGTCGACGCGGCAACTAGAGTTACACTAGATAATATTATATATTTACTTCTTAAAAACCACCACACATGTTTTCCGCTCTTTGGCCTCAACATTGCATTGAACCGAGTATAAAATTTCCAGCATAGTGTCCAACAGTGACACTAACTAGCTATATATCAATATGTAGAGTCTCCTTGTACATTATCACGGACAAAAACTTAACAGTTTTCTTCAAGGAAAAATAATTTCTATTAATATTAAAATTAAAATTCATAAAAGTTATTAATGAAAAAAATAAAAAAACTAAAGACCGCGATTAATGCTTAATCGAGGATCGACCGAACTAGCTGATCATCACTGATGACACTGGTCTATTGTAGCGCAAAGTAGTTGGAGTAATAACGTTGAATGTTGAAGCCGAAGTGTCCGAAGCGTTTGCAGCAGCACGACCTTCGCTACTAACCAAGTCTTACGCCGTATGTTCCATCGTAAGCAACGATGCGTACGCTCTTAGTACAGAGCACCAGTGTAATGTAAAGACTCGGCAATCACATGATGCGGCTTCAAGCACTTCTTGTAAATAGTTTATGAAAATTTCTCTGTCTCTACTCAGTACAGATATATCTATACACATGGATCTCATTTACATATGATATGAGTACAAATATATGTTGATAAATCTACGAAACGCCACCACATTCTATTAGCTCTATCGATCATTTCGTCCTACTCCGTTCATCAATTTCGTTTAATTATCTTCATTTTATTAATAGTTATTACTTTTATCTTCCAAAGACTATTTCTTCTTTTTCTTTTCATCTTCAATTTTTTTATTATAAATACATATTAAATTAACCGGACACTTTGAAGATACAAATATGATTGAAGAACATACATTAAATCCAGATACGCACCATCGCCTGTGAAATATAGCATGATAATAAGAAAGAGTAATAATAGACAGCTGTCAGTTTCGATAATCCATACTTAGACCTGGCAATATTTTTGCTTTTATTAGCAAATTATATTTTACTTCCTTATTCTTATTACACGTTGAGCTTATAACTGATTAAACAACACGCGCATGCCTCAGCAAATACAAAACCAGTGTCACAAGCGAATTTCCTTGGAAATTTTCCGACACTACCCACTTGATGGGTCAATAACATCTTTTATTTACATTTTTTTCTTCATTTAATTATATAAAATACTATTAATTAATTATTTATTTATTTTCCGAGTATCAGACAAGCACGTTCATTAATAAAAACTAAATTTTAAAACTACATAAATAGATAATGGAATACTCTTACCTTCGCCATTCTGAGGGTGAGTCAATTCTGCAAAAATTTTCCACAATATGCTGGTTTGTTGGTTTTATCAAGCGTAATCTACTTTAATAAAAACTGATCGAATTTAGCGATTCTTCATAATAACTGTAAAAGAAACAGTAATACATTATACACTTATTTTATTTTATTCAGACTTTTGTTTGTTAAACACGAAGTGAAATGCACTGAGTAACTTACTTGTTGGGGATATTCGATGAACCGGCGTCGTTCCGAGCGCCGTATTGATCAACGGCGCGGTCATTGGGGGCGTCACTATTCACCAAAGAAGGGGGGTTTATCCAGTTCTATATCACTTTTGTCTTTGTAGTCCCTGATATTTCGTAGATAAATTTTTCGATTTTTATTGATAGCTGTGAAACAATGCCTAATAACTTTTACTTGAATAACATAATTCTTCTTGAGTCTTTCTGTAAGACATTGTCACTCTGACTTGTTAACTTTCTCTTCTTCATGTCCACTTAATGTCATTTTTTCTAATTTACAATTCAAATATTTGCAGTAGTTAATAATTAATGATATTTTTTATTGATAGCACTCCACTAATTATACACTTTCATAAAAGAATTATTTTTATCATTGAATCTTCAGAGATGGAATATAATCCAAAACGCCAATTAAGTTTTTCTTCCGCTTTCCGCATGTCATTAGAAAACTTGCAGTCTGCAAAAAAAATTTTTAGTTACAAATGAGTTCTGAATATATTTTATTCATTATAACGGTCTTAGTGTTTTTTTGACTATCCGGTTAATTTAATTAACTTGGCCGAATATAACTCATACATATTGCATAGTCCAGACCGGAAGAAAAATTTCTAAAGTACTATTTCATAAGTCCGAGTTTCAATATCGAATGATAAACGGCCACGTAATTTCAATATACTTATCAGTAATAGTAATACAAATGGTTAAGCTATTTCAATCGGTGTGAGTGGGCCATCCAAGACATTTTTAGAATCATTATATACCCATTGACATATAGTCGATTTTTACTTACAAGCATTTTGTTTCTTCTTTTTACTTCAAACTGGAAATTGATTTTGTCATAGTCTATTGATAATAAAAAACAAATATATCTTTTTTTTTTATAATTAAACTTCAATTATTCTTCAACTATCAAATCGGCGTAATCTTAAGATAGTAATTTTTAAGTGACTTTTATATATATATATATGTAATATAACCAGCCTTGTCATCAGGATATCTCAAAAAGTTTTCAACCGATCTTAATGAAACTTGGTACACATATTCTTTGGGTAATTACCGAGGTCGAGTTCGAAGATGAGCAAAATCGGTCAATTATTTTAGAAATGGCGGCCATTTAAATTTTTCAAAATTTTTTAAATTTCAAGTTTTGTAACTTTAACCGTGAATAACTTTTGACTGATAGAAAAGAGCTCATTTTTGAAAACTTCATCGTGAAGCTGATTATATTTCCTTCAATTTGACCTATAACACTTATACTTTAGGAAGATTTTTATTAATTTTATAGGCCACTCAAAAATTTTAAAATAATGAGAACTTTTTTTCAAATGTGGTTTTTTTAGAATGACTTTTGAACAGCTTTATCGACCAATACCAAAAACTAATCAGCTCTTAACATAAAAAAACTACGTCGATCGCCGCTGGACCGGTCAAAATCGCTTGATTCATTTGTGAGATATCGTTGACGAAAAAAATCGAAAAAAGCGTTTTTTTCAAACAAAGTCCGAAATTTTTTATCTGATCTATTCACGGTTTGAAATTTATCATAGAATTCAAAAAACTGCATCGATTGTTGTCAACTACGTGATAATCGGTTAAATCGTTTAAAAGTTATAGCGGATTGAAAATTAAAAAATTACTTAAACATATGTTATCGAACAAATTAAATAACATAAATAAAGAAAATCTCATATCACATGAAATCTACCTTTCATTTCGGGTGAGGCCGAATGGCATTTTTTTATGATTAAAATTATTCAATGTCAAAAAAATATTTTTAAAAATATTCTTTTTTTTTTCCAATTCTAAGCGTGAATTTTTTCTTATGATGGTTTGTTTGTTGAAAAATTTCTAAAAATTATCATATGTTTGTTTTTTCAGTATTTTTTTAAGCTGTTATTCCATTATACTAATGTTAACAGAAAATGTTACTGAAGTTAGCAGACACCACAAATAAATTAGCGAAAAAATAAAAATAGACACGTGTAGAAAATACAACAAAAGTAATTTTTTACATACATTTGCATGTCTGAAAACGCCAACGCGCGGTTTTATAATATATTTGTTTTAAAAAATTCAAAGAACTGTCAGGTATTTTCTAGCTACATTACTGATAAACTGATTTCATCTTCAATCAATCATATTATCTTTCTTGCAAAAAAATTAATTATTTTACAAAAAAAAGGTAAAAATATACACATTTAAAAATTTTTTAACTTTACAAACAATAATCTTCCAAATATTTCAATCTTCACTTATTCTTTTTAAAAAAAAATAAGTTTAAAAACTTATTTTTTTTTCATTATCACGCAATTTTTATCATTTAAATAATACTTTTTATTCTTCAGACGATTTATTTTCATGTTAAATATGATATCTAAAATCTTTGAAAGTTACGCAAAAAAACCTTCAACTTTCAGACAAGTTTTTATCAAAAAAAGTTGATTAATACGAAAGAATTGAGAGCGTAAAAAATTACCTTCCCGTTTTTTGCATTTTTTTTATCACTCGAGAGCCCTTAATGACTTCAGATAATAATGATAAAAATATTTTTAAAGATTAGTTGAATATTAGTGTATGTGCTTAAATTAAACTTACTTTTTATCCGTCTGTATTTGTGACATATTACTTTTGTCATTGAGAAAGCTCATGTTTGTCAAAATAATTTTTTTTTCTTTTTATTATGAATTTAAAACCGTTGAAGTAGGTGACTATAGGCACTTATGACCCGGAAGTTTTAAATGTTTAATATATATAATTGAAATTATTGTTTCTCTGAGTTCTGAAAAACTATTGAAAGACAGTAGAATTACTTATTATTAGAAAACCATACATAAAATAGGTAAAATAAATACTAATAAATAAAAAGCTAATACAATATCATATACATTACCTATGTAAATAAAAACCACTTTCCTGAACTATCGCAAACTTTCTACATTTAGATAAAAAACAGAAACAAAAATATATAATTGCACCGTAGAAATACTATATCGTATATATAGTAAATAGATAGTTAAAGACGGGTAAAACGACCACAGGCAATATTATATCAGTTATACACACACACGCATATACACATCTCATATAACGTTAAGTTGTAATCTAACTTGAGCGCATGCGCAATAATGAATTTATGAGAATTTGAGTATTTTAGGTTAAAAGAGTTTGATACAAAAAAAGAAGGTGCCGGAACATAAAAATTTAACAAAAATGTCAATAATTTTGCGAAATATTTTAACAAAGTTAAAAAAGTACCCTGGTCAAGTATCTAATTTCTGTAGTGTCGTAAACACAACCGATAATGTTCATGAGGCTGAAGGTAAAATTAATATTCCAACCGCTCCAATAATATCAACAATAAATTACAATGATGAAGATCAAATGTATCAACAGAAACGGGAAGTTTGGATTGATAGTCTTGATACTATCGAAGAAAAGAAATTAGGTTTGATGACATTACATCCGGCAGTATTTGCCGACAAGCCTAGACTTGATACTCTATATGAAAATGTCCGATGGCAAAGAATGTACAGATTTGTCGTAAGTTCTTGTTTGATGTTTACAACAACAACAATAATATAAATAATATTAATTGTTAATTATAAACAAAAGTGATGCTAAATATAAATTATATCATGAACTAGTTGTACTGATTGCATTAATTTATAATTATTAATTTTTCAGAATTATGCACATGTCAAAAACAGAGCTGAAAGGCGTGGTGGTGGTCGCAAACCTTGGCCACAAAAAGGTGGAGGTCGTGCCCGTCATGGAAGTATAAATTCACCATTATTTAAAGGTGGTGGTCTTGCTCATGGTCCAAGATCACCAACGGTACACTTTTATATGTTGCCGTTTTTCTCCCGAGTCAATGGATTGACAGCTGCATTGTCGGTTAAATTAGCACAAGATGATCTTTATGTTGTGAATAATCTTGAGATTCCGTCTAAAGATCCGAAGTACATTGAATCATTGATGGAAGAGCGTAATTGGGGACCCAGTCTACTCTTAGTTGATACTGAGGATATCATGCCAGAAAATATTACAATCGCAACAGATGAATTAAAGCATGTGAATTTAATGCCAGCTTACGGTAAAATTATTTTAGTTTTATACAATTAATTATTCTTTCATTTATATTTGAGCTTTAATAACGAATAATTAAAATTTTCTTTATTTAGGATTAAACGTGTACAGTATGCTGAAACATTCGACATTAGTTTTGACAGAACGGGCTGTTCGTCACGTTGAAAGTAAACTTTTATATCAATTATACAGACCTGACACCAAAGCATTGACTTCTAGATTCAAATTAAGTCAAGTTTAAATGATTGTTAAAATTTCATAGTTATTGAAATAATAAAAATTTCCATTTATTACTTATGATATTTTTAATTATTTAACTTATATCAAAGTTAAAACTCAGTATGATCACTTAATATTTTTTCTTTTGCGATAAATATTATTATATTTAATTTTTAAGTCTTTAAACAATATTGATTAGATTAAATATATCTATAACAATGAATAAAAATAATTGTTATTTGCCATAATTACAATTCATGGTTTAACCAAATCAAATTATCATATTTTATACAAATATAAAAATATTTATGTCATTTACATTGAACAACTATTAGATTAAAAAAAATAAATAGAGCCTAAACTTAAAAACTTATGACTATTTTTTATGAAACTAAAGATAAAAAGTAGAAATCGTTGAGAAATAATTTACAATAGATTATTGGCTTTTTTTAACACTGAGAGAACTCCTGGTTTTCTTTAAAATTGGCTGAAAAGAATAAAATATTTTTATAAAAACGTGAAAGAGATATAAACAATATTACATAATAATAGTATTATTTACCCTAGGAGTAGGATCACCTCCAAGCATTTTCTCACGCACAGCCCATCTGATATTGGCGTGCTTATTATCTTGAAGAAATGATATTTGTTTCCATTCTTTTTGATACTTGTGGTAAAGCATTACAGGATCTGATTTAGTTTTTTGCGAAAGACGTGATGGGTCTGTTTGTAATTTCCACGGCCTGATAACTGAAAACATCAATTAAAAACAAAATAAGTTAAAAAATATCTCTAAATTAATTTATATTTAACGAAACAAAGAACTTACATGCTTTAGGTCTTGTCCGAGACAAACTACGAGAGGAATCTCTCAATATTCCTCCAGTTGTCCTGGTGGAGTCAGAGGCAACGCTTTTAGATCTTGATTGCCGAGATATCTGTCCTGATAATTCCGGTGCACTAGCAGCTCTCTCGGGAAGTAGATGATCAACAGTTGGATTTGATTTACATTTTTCACTTTCCCGAGAACATTTTGCTCTTTCAGATGTTTGGTCTTTTGTAACATAACTTTGACATCTCGCTGAATAACTTTTTTGGTTTCCATTGAATATTTTTTCTTGCCTTCGTCGTGGACTTGGAGATTCCCGGCGTCGACGTGATTGTAACAATTTATCATCATTTTCATCATCCTCAGACTCTGATTCAGATACATATTTTATCTTTATTTTTATAACAGAATCATCTGAAGAATTACTACCATTAGGAGCATCATTCAAAAACTCTCCCACTGCTTTCTGGTGTTTGCAGAAAATTTTTTTCTTTAACTCCTCTTGGTGTTCTTGACGTTCACGTTCTTTTATTTTACGTAGCAATTTTAGATCTGAAAACACAAAAATTAATCAGTATTAATATAAACAATAAAAATTATTGTAGTATAGTTTTTTATTTTTAATTTATTATTATTATTAATAAATTCGTTTTATAATTATTATTTTTATTATTAATAAATTCATTGGAAAAACGTTACCTTTCATAAATGCTTTTAATTGATCTGCTGTGATACCAACAAATCCTAATGAATTTAAAACAGCCAACACTTGCCGAGGATCATCCGATTTATGAGGCATCGTAGATACTATTTTTTCTTCTTGATACTTGATTAAAAAATTGATTTTAGTTAAATTAATATCAACTTATGATTAACTACAAATAAAACACGTTATTTATATCAAAAAATTCAACTGTTATTAAAATAACAGTCACAAACAGTCATACAACCTTAATGCCCTCTATAACTGCGTATACTAAATTACTAAATTTCTTGGCTTATCTCTTTTTCGTATCGATCAATAAATTTTTCCGAATGGTCATTTGACTAAAAAGATAAAATCCACATCGCCATCTATTAAAAATTTTTGACATTATCCGGTGTGTGAGAATTATTTGCAAAATCGGTATGTCGCCAAGCTATTTTCCTACATTATCATGAACTGTCATGAGCAAATAATAAAAAACTTGTTCTCTTTTTTTCATGATTATAAACAAAGTTTGTTTTTATTTTTTTATAATTAAATAAAGTCTGTGATTAATTAAAAATGATTTGGTTTTTTTCTGGTAAAGTGAGGTAATAAATTATCTTGAAGTGTTAAGTTAGATGTAAATTTCTTGACTAAAAACATTTTAACCTCCACCAGTACATTTGAATAAATGTTACCTCTCTTGATTTATTTAAACTAAAGCTGAAATTAATAACAACAATAAAAAGAATGAAAGTTACCATAAAGAGTAAGTCAATTGATTATTAATTATTTTATTTATTCAGTGAAAAAATATATTAATCACTCATTTACTTCTTTTAGGTTGGACCGGTGTTTCTACTTGGAGATGGATCGCAAATGATGATAATTGCGGAATTTGTCGAATGCCTTTTGATGCAAGTTGTCCAGATTGCAAAACTCCCGGTGATGATTGTCCTTTAGGTAAATATAACTGGAAATTAATAAATAAAATTTTTTTTTTTTTTAATGTACCATGCAAATCTGACAATGAGTTTACCACCAAATTCAATTATTTATACTTAATAATATTTTTCATGGAAATAATAATATTTTATTAAATTCATTTAAACATGTAGATAAATATAATTTATATAACAATTTGAATAAAATTACTGGACTTGCGCAAAGTAAATTTACAAGCACAAAACAAAATATCGATCGGTGATAGGGTGAGAGTTTGCCACACGCTTATTAATTGTATTTGACACAAGTGTAAATACAACTGCTTGGTAGCATGGTAGACTCCATTAACATCTATAGAAATATTTTTATAAATTTATGTTTATAATAAAAAACATTAATTTTTTTTTACCCGTAGTATGGGGCCAGTGCTCGCATTGTTTTCACATTCACTGTATTATGAAGTGGTTAAACACGCAGACGACCAGTGGCTTATGTCCCATGTGCCGCCAGGAATGGAAATTCAAGGAATAAATAATAATTATAACAATACTTATTATAATTTAACATCAACTATATTTTAAACAGGCAAGATTATTCTTTATTTAATTTAGATAATTAATATTTTTTCATTAAATACGTTAATATTATACTACAAAATAATTTTTTATTATCCACTGTCCATTGCATGATGAAGCAGAAAACAGCAGACATCATTTTTTATTTTATATATTTATAATTAATCAAATAATTTTTTTTTTTTATAAATAAATTGAATTTAAGAAATTAAAATTTTCAAATCCAGTTATCGAAATTTATTTCTTGTCTTAATAAATTTTATGACATCTGACAATTTTTAGGATTTTTTGATAACGCTGAAATTATTCAAAGTTTGATAATTTTTAGTTTTTTTTTTAAGAAGTAAATTATCACAAAAATAAAATTTAATACGTGAAAATAAAAAAAAAAAACTATAGTTACAATTTTTAAAAATATATCTTTGTTGTTAAGTTATTTTTTAAATGAAACCCTAAAATGGCCAATTGTCTGTTGATCTAAGTATCATTTTTTTAACAAACAAATTGAGAAATAAAAATTTCCCGGTAGAAGTTACAAAAAATGAATGTTAATAATGAAATTATGAATGTACATTTTTGAAAAATATTTGTTTAGAACCAATTTATTTGTTTAAAAATACAGAAAACATGATCAAATGATACTGAAATTAGCAGACATCTGACAATTCTTAGAATGTTTATAATCAATCATTGATAAAAAATTTATTTTTAAAAATTCGCACTTTTAATTCTTTTTAATTTCTACATGTGGAACTTTTTATAATACTGAAGTTAGCCGTCAGCTGTCAATCTTAAAAATTTTTTTAACAAATCAATTACAATAAAAAAAAAAAATGCTTCTAAAAATTTACACTTGCAATTGTTATTAATTTTCACACGTGCTTTTTAATTAAATTTTTTTTTATAATAATTTAATTGCTATAAAATTCTAAAAAAGTTTTTAATATCTATCAATTTCAGTGTCATAATTTTTTTTTATTATAATTTAATTGTTATAATAATTAAAAAAATTTTCAGATGTCTGTTACATTCAGTATCAAATGATTGCCAATTCCATTATTAAATTTTCATTTTCATAGAATAGGAATCTAAAGTAAAATATTTATTGTACAAGGTAAAGTGAGAATGAAGGAATAAGAATAAGACTGAGAAAGAGAAATGAGTAAAGGTAAAAAATACAAAGATAGAATATACAGGTATACCGTGTGTACCTGAATGAGGGGGAAACGTAGATATCTCATGATTCCTCCTACCACATCCTCTTACTCTACCATATTTTCTCTTATGCTTTTTTCTGTCTTCCCGGTCACGCGGTTGGTCGACGATCACGAGCTGCTCTCTCACGCGATAGTATACTAGCTAGCTATACAATAAATACTACAAGCAACTACTTCATAGTCCATACTACTGTGGGTATCCTCATTACCCACACTTTTGCTTCTTTTACCTTACACCATCGTCATTATCTGTTAAAAGATTTTTGTGCTTCTATCCAACACAACAATAACAACAACAACAGTCTTACTACTACTTCTACTACTAGTACTAGCAAAGTACAATCAACGAAGTGAGTGAGTGAGTGAGATTAGTGAGAGTAGTCATGTTCTGTGTAATAAGTTGAATTTATTGGAGCTTCGCGGTTGTTGGCGGTGTGGTTGCTATACTCTATACAGGATACATATTACTGGAAAATATATGTACACCACTCTGGATTTGATGTATAAAAAAAAAGAAGGAAAAAAAATCAAGTCACGTAGCTACTTTAAACGTGCTAAAGCTGAAGATATTTGCCAGAGCCGGAGATCGTAAGTCAGTTCATTGCCGCTCTTGCTGTCGAATCACCGTTAATCTAGTATAATAATTAGATAAAATTTATAAAATATTCAAACTAAATTTAAATTTCAGATAAAAAAAAAAATTGAAAAGTGCTGAGTTTATTTTATTCCAGTTCTGCGAAGTTGAGTTTACCTTTGCGAGCTAAATATCATCGAGTTTTTTTTATCTATTTAATGCCAGTGATTGTACAATCGAGAAGAGAGGTCAACTTTAATAAGATTGCTAAGGATAGAAAAGGAGCAACTATCGGTATGTCCTAAGCACACCTACAACGGAGATAAATAAAGTGCGAGAAAGCGAAACAAAGAGATAATAATTAAAACTCAGGCATAAGATTTAATAATTATACATTGTTGTTTTGTTTTATTAATTTATTACTTAATGTGTATGGTATTTAAAAAAAAAAAATATTTTTAGAATGGTGGATTAATTAAAAAAATAATAAGAACAGAACAAGTGAAGGAGTAATTACGAATATCTATGAGTATGAAACTAGCATCAATGCAACAACAGCAGCAACAGCGGCCACACGCGCCTCCAGTACCGCCGAGGCCAAGCAAACAGGTTGTTGTAGAGGCCCTCAAAAGATCATCTACCAGATTACCCTGCCCGACGCGTCAAGCTCCACCGCCTCCGACCAATGTACGACCCTGGCGGCAATTGGATTATCCTTCTTCTAATAATCGTTTCAAACCTGTTGAAAAAAGCCATGATGTTAATCCTGTAAAAGATACTCATCAAAAAAAGCTTCCTGGTTTTAATAACAACGATAATAATAATTGTAATAATATTAATAATAATATTGATAATAATGATAATAACACCATCAGTAGTGATAATAACAGTAATGAAAATGAGTCAAGTAAAAAATTAATTAAGAATAAAATTACTAAGTCAAATGATGTTTATGAAAATAATTTTGATGTAATTAATCAAGAACCAAATTTAGTTGATAATCAGAACAACTCTGTTAATAATTATGAAAATATAGTGATATCGAATAATCAGGAGCGCAAATTACCCCCCACAACTAATCAGTGTATTATACTCCCGGCTGTTATAAATAAATTGGAGAATAATAATTTATCTACCGAGTTAAGTGTTGGAGAAAATACGCGAGAGATAATTTCTAAAGAAATTCATAATAAACTTATCACGTCGCCAGATTCTCCGGTGAAAAGTATAACAGCTCCGACTACAACAATTGTGATAACTGAAAGTGATAATAAGTTACAAGTTTTAAAAAAACAAAATTCTGTGGAAAATTTATTGGCATCCAGTGTCTCAAATGCTTCAAGTGATGAATGCGCTACGATTGTGGTAGTTGAAAAACCGAATGAAGATAAAATTTCAATCAGCAGTGAAGAAGAGAAAAAAAATAATATACATCACCAAGACTGGTTAGAGTCTGGGATTCGTTATTCGTCTACAAAAATAACTATACCTGCCGGTGACAAGTCATTGAACGATGGAGTTTTAAATTCTACAACTCATCATTTCCTTTATAATTACAGTAAGACAAGACCTGGAAATAATGTTACTAGGTATTTTTCTGGATATTGATATAATGTTTTTTTTTTTTTTGTCTTGATAAATTAAAAAAATTTTTTATTTTTATTTTATAAATTTTAGTTTTTTAAAGAAAAAAATTTTATTTGTTACAGTTTATATGATAAAATAGCAATGTCTTCCCTTCAAGGATTGCCTCCTTTGCCTCGAAGCCTCAGTGGGTTATACCTCAACGAAGAATTTAGAGAAACAAATGAACCTCCTCCACCGCCAATGAGATCTTCAAGTAAAACGCCAAAAGTCGGAAAAACAATACAGTCATCAAATTCCAGGCCTTCGCTTTCACCTGGACGACAATTAACGACTTTGGATTCACAATTGGCTATTCTTAGAAAAGAAATGGTATTACAGGCTCAACATTAATTACATTAATAACAATAATAATAAGATATTAAAAATAAAAAATAATTATAGTTTGGATTGCGCCAATTGGACCTTTCATTATTGTCACAATTGTGGTCACTGAATGAATCGATCCAAGAGTTTCGACAGCTAGTTCAGGATCACGATGACAGAGCTCCGTCACCGTCTCCAAGCAGCGAAGAAGGTGATGATGGTTATGGAAATCACCCGCCAGCACCCCCACGTCGACCAGCCTCTCTCCATCACCAGCATCACCATTACTCTTCGTCTCCTCATCACCATCATCATCATCATCATCGACCGCCCAGACCACCGAGACCTTTAAGACCACTCGGTAGTGATGAATCGCCTTCCAGCGAAGAATATGGAGCTGTCTAATGTTTATACAATAATTATGTTATAAACTTGTCAGTTGTTGATATGGTTATCATTTTCTTTAGTTATTTAAAATATTATAAATTAAACTCGTATTTCTTGGTATGTATGTTCATATATTATTTTATAGTACATATATAATTGATTTTTAAAACTTTTTATGTATCTATATATTTCGATAAATATTTGTATGCTGTGAAATTTATATTAAACATTTTGAAATTAAAATTACTCTTTAGATAATTTAAGGCTAGTTTTCTTCTTTAAATATAATTCTATAATTGAGCAAAGTTTAGTAGTACAAATAATCTAATTTTTTTATCAATAAATAAATATTAAAATCTATTTGTTCCACGATTTATTACTCATCGTTTAAAACTTGATTCTAATAATTAATTGATATTTTTATAGTTATATTATATGTCTAACGTTAAAAAGAATATATTCACGTTGGCTTGTAATTTTAGATTCTTAGGATGAAAATGTACATGAATAAATATGTAATTTCAAAGATAAAAACCAATAAAATTCTGTAAAAAATTATTTAAAAATTAAATTCAATTGCTAATTAATCAACGTTTACGATGCAAACAATTTTATGAGTGATATCAGTAATAAACTCTCGAATGTAATTATAATCTAAATTGTTTTACTATAAGTAAATTTAAGAAATTATCCTATTATTTCTTTATAATTCTCGTCAGTATTTATACAATAACATTAGATAACAAATAAATAACATTTTAAAGAAATAGATTATTGTTAAAATATAAAAATTAAAATCTTGTATTTAATTAAATATAATGGTAATCGACTATGCACTCGCGTTTCCGATAATATATGATTTATATAAGAAGTAAATAACTATCATCGTAAAAAATATAAAAATATTCACAAATGAACACAAGAAGAAAATTATCATTCACATAACTTGAATAAATTAACAGAATTTATTAATTTCCCGATGAAAGAATGATGAAAAAAAAAATGAATTATCGATAGTTTTTTATCATAAATATTACAATCACTTGGCTTTGGTAATATTAATAGATAAATTAGGACTACTATCAGAGGAGCCGATAATATCATTTTGATTTAAATTAACAACTCTAGGTGGACTTCGTGGCGAAGAACGACGGGATTCACTTGTTGATGGACTATTATGACGACAGTTTGCATGATGTCCACCCGTTTCCCAATCACGATGTTGACAAAAAGAACTGCAGTATCTTGCAATTCCACACCCACCACAAGTCTCCAGAGCTGATCTCCCACAATTCCAACAAGTCTGCAAGGTAGAATTAATTAGTTAATAATGATAACTACGACATTTGAATATTTATCTTCGCTATTTTCGATATTTATTAAACTTACAAATCCAATACTGCTAAAATGAATTTCTTTATCATCATCTCTGGATAAACTTGAATTAATAGTTGCCGCTGCATTAATTTTCGACGTAATTTCTACACTTTGATTAACCGGATGACTGTTCAGACGGAAAAATGGCCCCTGTTTGACATTCCCATGATTTTTTAAAGGTAAAAATGATCCATCGGTGGGTTGATGAGCGCGTAATCGTTCATTAGCTCGTGATTCAGCCACTGCCATTGCTACAGCACGTTGTACTTCAACCATAGCAGCACGTTTTACTTCTTGAACAGCTTCTTCAGCCCGTCTTTTAACTTCCGCAGTGACACGATCTTCAGTAGCTCTTATCGTTTGAGCGACGATTTCTCCAGAAAGTCGTTTTAAATTACTATCACGATCTACGGATCCTCCTTCTACTTGAGAACCATTTAAGCAATTAAGAGTGTTGCCGTTATTTTGACTCGACGTAGAAATAACAGTAGATGCATTAGCTGAAGACGCAGTTGTAGCTCCAGCTGGACTTGATGAACCACGTTTTTGTAAAATTACCAACGCGCGTTTAGTTTTTTCAACCATACCCAAAATACAGTTTAGCATTACATGAATATTTTTCCATTCGTCATCAAGGGATGAGTTGTTTTGAATACTTGATGTCATTTGATTCAGCTGCTGCTGCTGTTGTTGATGTTGCTGCTGCTGCTGTTGTTGTTGTTGTTGCTGTTGCTGTTGTTGGGGTCCATGATATGAACTATATGACATTTGATTGATTTGAACTAGATTCGGTGGTATGAGACTATTTCCATGTACAGACGTCTGTGAGTTATTTTGAATTGAATTTCCAACAGACGGATGATACCAGCAATAAGAATCTGGTGATTGCTGTTGCTGATGCTGATGATGGGAATGATTCCAAGAACTAACAGATCGTTTGCCGTAAATCATTGAATCTTCAATACCATTTTCGTAGTACCTAAAAACCAAATATAATAAATAAAAAAGTTTTAAAAAGAAAATAACAACAACAAAAAAAAAGTAAATAGTTGTACGCTGTTAGCACTCTGTTAAATGTCTATCTCTCGGTATGAGATAAGTTTGTAAGGACGGAAAGCTGTATATGCAGTGATATATTGAAACGTCAGCACCAGAAACATATCGAGAGGACGGTGTAATATTGCCTGGCATTGGCTCCGAGTTCCTCCTATATATTATACTACTAGTACGTTTTGTCGCGCGCGTTTGGTCGCGCTTTATCACCCTCTCTCTCTCTCTCTCTCTCTCCTATTCGTCTCACCTAAATCCTACGTGTACATATATATATATATATAGCAACCGCGATTACGTGTTATTACAGCAGTAAGTAAACCTTGTTTTATTTTATGTGTTTTTCCCACTAGTCAATCAAGATACATATCTACAGTATATCATCGATACAACTTTTTATACAGCTTTTTAATTAATTAGTATCAGATTATTTATATTTAAGGATCTTGTGGTCTAGAATTTTCAAAAAATCAAATTGTATATTCATATTTCGAAAGCATAGTCTTTTAAGAATATGCTGTTAATTTTTTTAATAATATTAACGATTCTTTAAATTCCACAGCTTATTTAGCAGGTCGACGGAAAAACAGATACAAGAATATAATAAGTAATACTTAAAACTTTAAACTCATATTTTTCGAAACTACTTTTCCGCAGGGTGTGAGGACAAAAGTTTTTTTTTTTTTTTCTACGTCTTGGGATAACTACACTCATACCGATTATAAATTTTTTTTTCATTTTTTGTTTTCGGATAAGTAAAAGAGCCAAAACTTGACCAATCACCCAGATCCATTTTTTTAGAAGTGTAAATTCAGCGCCATTTTTAAAGTAATTTTATGAAAAAAAATTGTTTGAAAGAATAATATTTTTGTATACTTTTGAAGTAATATAATATATCTACAAAGTTTAAATACTATTGTTCATTATTTTAATTAAAAAAAAAATCGTCAAATTCACGGTTGCTAGACCAGCGGGGTCCTTTTTATACATGCATGGGTATTATTTAATAAATAATGAATATATATTTTGTTAAAGCTCCGTGGTAACATTTTGTGGCTTTTGTGGCAGATTGTGAAACCACAGTCCCGCTGGTGTGTAATCTGCTTATTAAATATCCCATATATCTTATGTATTAAAAAACGTTTTGCTAATTATTTAATATTATATGGATCATAAAACTACTAACAAAGTATCAGAAGCTCGTCGTTTAACAGCTCCGCTGCTACTGTAGTCTTGGAGTGATGTAGTTGAAAAAGAATTTGAGGACTGCAGAAATGAATTAGAATTTGAATTGTTAACACTTGCAGTACGTATTCCATAACTACTGCTGGTACCGCTATTGTAATCACCAAACAGTTGAACTATTTCTCCAGACGGCACGACAAGACTAATAGTTTCTAGTAAAGCTGACTCGTTGCATCGCAAATATTGCACACTTGTCTATAAATTATAATTGTTTACATAAAATGAATTATGTTTTTTTTTTTTTCTATATTTAGTAGAGTTGCTTACCTGATTATTGACTGTTCGACAACCACGAGGACAACTAATTGCTGTTCGAGCTCGTCCAGCAAGCCAAGCTGAGCCCGCACCTCGAGAGCTTCGTCTCTGGCAAGACTGCGATGTTGTACAAGACTACGTGACTATTTACGATGGCTACACTACTCGTGATCCAGTAATCCTTAAATTTTGTGGCGGAGGAGAACCCGTCCCTGAGGCTACCAGTAGTGGCGCTGAAATTCTTGTCGAGTTTACCACTTCACCATACGGCACCTTTCTTCATCCCACTCCACCCCACTCATTACATGGATTTCAACTAGAAGTTCAAGTATATACTATTATTACTTCCGTACTGATGTAAAACTACCTAGATTAATTAATTTAACTTATGATGGTAATAATAATAATAATAATAATAATAATGACAGGTTAAATTTGTCGACGCGGACTCACCAACTTATGCCAAAAACAAACGATGTGAATTTTGGCTGCAAGGTAATACGGGCGGAGTCCTCAGTTCCCCGAGTCATACCTTACCCAGGAACACAACTTGTCTGTATCATTTACGCGGAGATGGTCCAGTTACCCCGAGTCCAACACCACCGAGACCTCTTCCCAAATTTCCAGAGACTCGTCCCGGCACTGTGTGGAGGAAACCTCCACCCAAACCACCTCAGCCGCAGTTCAGAGTTTGGCTTTCGATTCTCAAGTTTCATATTGGAACAAACCCCACAGTTGTCCCTTCACAGAATGCTGCCTCTGACGATGATTGCAATACCACTCTCTTTGTTTGGGATGGTGAAATGCTGCCCTTATCTGACTGCAACGATATATCTTGGTATTATTATATGTTACAATTATTATTATTATTATTAGTATTATCTAATTATAATTACTGTTATTGTTTTATTTACCGATTAAATTTCAGTGAAAAAGAAAGGTTGAGATATATGGAGAGGACAGGAGACTCTATAACCCCAATAGGTGCAGGACCACACAGCAATACATCTCTATTAGCAAGATACTGTAAAGATCGAGTCCCTAAAACGTGCGACCACGCTATTTTACAAAATACCAGTCGACCCTGCTCACTTGTCGAGGGTTTTATTTCTTCTGGCAACAGCCTTACCATCGAGATACGTATGATTGAGTCTACGGCTCTCAGGTAACTAGAAATTCAACAGATAATACGTTTTCTTTACCCTTAAACCTTCTTTTAACCCGACAATTTGACCATATAAATTCTCAGCTTAAATGTCCCCCATTAATCGCTGTAAATTTACGATAGTAGACCCATAAATAGAATATTAAATCTTTTTTTTTTTTTTTTATTTCTTCCAGGCCCGTAAATTTTCGCGCACTTTATGAGTTTGTGGATCTTCATCACGACGGTGAACCATACGGCAATGGACCCTGTTCACGAGTATTTTACAGCAGAAATAGAGATCAGTATCCAGATCGGAAATTCCAAGCTCCGCGGAATATTTTTCTTTATGGTCGAGGGGGTACTCAAAATTTAAGGTAATAATAAAACAGCTTTGCATTATTTACAGCAGTGAAAATAGATTATTATCTATCTAAAAAAAAGACGATTTAAAACTCGATATTACAATAATAAGATTATTTGCATGACAAAGGAATTTTTATTGCTATTTTTTTTTTTTTTTTAAACATCTGAACAAATATTTATCGAAAAATTACTCTCAACTGGTTTTAGTTGTGTGTATCGATTTGAGGGTGAACAGGATGAAGTCGTCAAACTACGATTCAATAAGCTCCTCAATGGGAATCGAACATGTCGTAGTGTGTCCAGTGTTGACTATAATCGGTTTCTCTGTATTGGCTCCAGCAATTTCTCACTCAAGGTAAATTTATTATTTTATTATTCCATTTCTTCTTGTTTTTTTTTTTTTTTTTTTTTTTTTTTTAATTATCATATTATTGCTTTGCAAATTGTCATGCGTGTACTATTCAATACTTCTAATAAAAACAAGAATAGCAACAATAAATGAGAAGAAAAAAAAATATATAAATAAGAGTGCATGCTGAAAAGCAGGAGAAAAAAAATAAAAAAAGATCGATATGCTAAGAACACACTACGATGATGCATATCTACTTTAACCTAGATGTGCAACGAGCTTTCGCGTAATATCCTGAACTGTCTGACACGAGCTATGTTTATATTATACAAGTTGCATGGTTGTAGGTGTATATACGTGTATAAGCATATACTAGTTTCCATCAACACATTAACATCGTGTCTTTATTACTCACTATACGAGTATAGTAACTTGAATTCGTGATTAGAGTTAGTTCTTAACACCCTCCAGCACTATACTAAATTTAAGAAACGATCGATACTAATATATATATATATACGTATACAACTCTAATATGCTTGCTTGGATCTTACTTGTTCTCTACTTGTCAGTTATGTGGCCGACAGATTGCTCTAAAATTTACATTACACATTTTCTCAAGATGAATTAATTATATATCTGTAATATAATTATAATTATAAATATTACTATTACTATGTTGAAAAGGTGATGGAGCTACCTTGGTCAAACGCAGCCCCAATTCAAAGAGACTGTCTTTGTTCGAACCGATCTCTACCGATAAACATTAAATCATTGTCCCACGTTGTTGAAGTACATTTCACGATCCAATCAATGACTGCCCTCGACGACTATAACAATCTTTTCTTCGAGGGAGTATGGGACTTCATCAAGGCTGTGCCATGTCTTCAAAAGCGACGAGTTCGTGGTCCATCGGGAGAAATAAAATATGAGCTACCGCTGACAAATGAAGATCAGGTTGGTGAATCTATTTTTTTCTCTAGTGGTATATCTGTAAAAGATTGTAATATTGATATATATTTTATTTGAAGAAAAATTGCAAACACCATCCCTGGCTGATTGACCCAGGACCGGGACAGTATCTTTACTTGGAAACACATGGAGTTGTAATGAATAGTAATAGCAGCAGTAATAAATGCTTGACCAGTAATCGCATCATCGTACACACAGGCGGAAATGTAAATGTATCAGTATGTCCAAAACCAGAATCTGACTCAAGACACAAAGTAGTAAAAGTTTTCAGCAAAGGTTGGTCTGTCGAGCATAAAACAATGATGCTTGCACCGCGTTTTGATCCAATGAGAACAATTGCCGTTGAGTTTATTATGAATGAAGCTGACTCTTACACTGTTACGTGGCTTGAATTAACTAAAAAATGGTAAATAATAATAATAATAATAATAATTAATTGTCATGATAATTGAAAGATTATTAGAATAATACACATAATTGTTTAATAGGCCGTCGTCAATAATGTCAATAGCAGAACCAGGGGAAAGTCTACCACGTGATTGTGAGCAACGGTGTCCAGAATTGAATGCCTGTATAAATACATCATTGTGGTGTGATGGGACTTCTCACTGTCCGTCTGGTTACGATGAAGCGCTCACTCATTGTTCAATGCTTCTGCGACTTCCTCCTCTGCATTTGGCTATCGGTGCCTCAATAGTAGTTACAATAATTGGCACTACATGCATCATCTTTTGGCGATGTATACGTCGAAAAGCCAATCGTTCAATTTCACAGCACCGGCTTAAAAGTATATCATCAGAGACAGCTATTATTGGAGATGGAAAGGAAGTTATCTGCTGACAAAGCGACAGTTCTGTACGTTACGTCGAAGTTGACCGGGTTACTACTGTGTGACGATCGTTACGATCGTCATCATCATCATCATCATCATCATCATCACCAGTGATGCCATCGGTATATCTATGGCTCGTTCATTGCTCCTTTGTGGGTCTCAAACGGTGGTACGGACATGATGCCTTATTAACACACTATTTAATGTTGTTATGGCTACTTAGTGCCGTTAAAGTTATTATTATTATCATCCTTCACCCCCTGATTCTCAAAAGTGCCATTTGCAATAATATCTATTGTAAATTTTAAAGAATGTATGAACGAGCTATAATAATTATACCGAAAAACTCGATGTTCCGTGCAGAGCTGTCTATTATTATAACTATTGCGATAATTTATTATTATCAATTACCGTGTATGAGAGGTGTGTGTGTGTGTGTGTGTGTGTGTGTGTGTGTGTGTGTGTGTGTGTGTGTGTGTGTGTGTGTGTGTGTGTGTGTGTGTGTGTGTGTGTGTGTGTGTGTGTGTGTGTGTGTGTGTGTGTGTGTGTGTGTGTACGCTCGTCCGTATAAAATCTCACAAATTATTGAGTTGTATTTTCTCAATAGAGACCCATTTTAATAATATAAAATATAAATTATTATTATTATAAGGAAAAGGTGGTCGCATATACACTGAATCTTTTAAACGAGTGTGTTGATTCCACTGGGATTTTTAAAAAATGTATATCTGTTGGAGTAAACACTGTACTCGATGTGATTTTATTTATTTTTTTTCTTTTTTTATTATGTTCACTCTACTTCCCCGGGAATTCTCTCGATAACAATGACCACACGCTGCCAATACTTTATTGATCATACCAACAGGAATATAATTAATGTACAATATTTTCTCACAACTTGAATGATATCTATATATCTTTTAGATTATTTAAACCCAAATGAAAAAAAAACTTGCGACCATTGAAATAATAATAATTAAAACAATTAAGCGTGGTTTTTAATCACATTTTTTAACGAGGACAATAACTATATAAAAATGAAAATAAATGTCTTGAATCGAGAGATTTGCGTGGAAAATTATATGAATATATTTGTAAAAATATATCGAGTTTAAAGTGTTTAAAGATTTGATGCATATAAGCAGGTTAATAATAATAATTAATAATTAAATAATACTTAAAAAAATATAAAGAAAATGTAGAAATTGGAAAAGAAATTAATGATAATAATAATAATGTTATATTAATCATATACGTTCGATTGAGAATATGTCTATGAATAAATGGAATTAATGTATAAATGCGCACGAGTATATTGCCTGAACAGTATGTACATAGAAATATAGTAGAAAATTACGTTATGAAACACGATATAAATTTAGAAAACTTATTTGGCATTATAATAATTTAATGTGTACTGACCAAATTCAAGATATATAGGTATAAGAGTGTTGCATTACTTAAAAAATATAAAAATGAAGAAAAAAGAATTTTTAGGCATTAAAAGATTAAAAGCATTCAGGTATTGATATAGAGAAGATGTAACAAGGTCGTGAATGAAAAATTTTTAAGTCGAAATCATAATAATACGAATAATAAATAATAATAACAATAATATTGATATGTCATGTGAAATATGCATATATATATATATATGTTATTTGATTCGGAGCTGAGCTTCGAATTGTTACGCCGAGATTGACGTCAGCATCGCGACGAGGGCACGCGGACAATCCAATCGATTTTACGGCACAAGTGTGGAAAAACTAATATAATGGTACATGTTTTGTAATAGACAAATATTAATAATGTCAAAAATTTTTATTCCTCAATTTAGCAAGCATATTAAATAACTGACGATCTCAATCTCTCCTCATTTGAAAAATACTGTACATAAATATCAATACTGTTTATATCTAATAAGTAAAATATTTTTTTTTTTGTGGACTTTCGCGCGTGCTACTTGCACAGCAAAAACTCAAAAAAAATGACTGGGTCATGGTTATTATTGTTATTATTATTCTTACTATTGACTATACAGAGCTAAAAAAAAAATAATTATTATTATGGAGTAGTAGTGCTACGCACACACAAACAGCGACAATAGTTTGTAAATCAATGAAATAATTCGGCCATTTAAATGTTAGAGAATCTAGTTAATTATTTGCGAGTAACAAAAACAGCCAGTAATGATAATGAATAATAATTATTGTGAATTGAAAATAAATATGATACGAAAAATACTCATGCACACTCAGCTAGCCACGGGAGCACAGCCATCATTTTCTTCGTCAGTGCGTGTACATAATATGCACGAATAATTATAAGCATTTGCTTGTACACATTTAAATTAAACTAAATTTGCATGTTTAATACTTTGCTACCGCCCAAATGATAATTTCACATTTCGATACAATAACTCTACATATTCTGAGTAATTATTTTCAAAAGTCAGACACGAATGAGGATATTTAACATTTTTAATTGTTTACTTAATATTGGTTTCAGTTAGATTTATTTGTTAATTGTCTATAATTTCGGGACCAATTTAAAATATCGCCAATTTAGTGTCTGGAACTTTTCCTATCGCTACTTACTCTGTGTTAATTTCAATAATTCAAACTTTCTCGGTTTATTTTTGGTAAATCAATAACTTATCTGAGTGTTTCAACTTTATATTGTAAGAAATTATAAAAATCAAAAAAAAATTTGGGGTAGTAATTAAACTAAAAACACTACGAAGGAGAGACCATACTAAATGTGCATTTCCATTGTTAGATATTACAATCGTATGACATTTTTTAAATTTGCTAGGCGCAAATTGTTATTTTTTTTTGACACACCCATACACAGAAATTAATTATAGATATAAATCTTTAGAAACGTATAGATATACTATAATTGAATAGTTACTTACTTAAAATGTAAAAAAATCAATTTTAAAAATATTTCACAGTATATTGTTGTTAAACAGACGAAATATACGAAGAAAAGGATGAAATATTAATATAATATATACTTTATTCAGTATTTGATAATACTCTGTAAATAGCAATCTCTTTATGGATTTTAAATGACAAAAAAAATTTAAGTCAGCGAAATTCTACTATGTAGATGATAAAACGTTTCATGATAATACTATTAAAGTTATTATTATTACAATTATTATAAAATTCGAATGTATAAACTGCATATCTCAAAATTGTTAAAATTTTATTTAATATAATGAGAGAAAAAAATTTTCACCCATTAAAGTGAAAAATAAAACAATTTCGTTGTTTGTTAAATTAAAATGAAAATTATTTATACAGTTTATATTGCGTTACTAAAAAATTGTAAAAATAAGTTAACTCAAAATTTATTAAAATGAATACTTACTAAGTAATTAATTGCGCACGGATGTGCAAGTGGTCTCGACCATTTTTCAAGACTGCCGAAATACGTCATGTGTATTTTAATAATTATATGATGATATATATATATTTATGTTTTTATTATTATTTTAAATTTGTTTTTACTATTTAAATATTGATAATAAAATGAACTGTCATATTGGAATTTTTTAAGTGCCATATTAAACTTTATACACTCTGGAAAATCATTATAAGCATTATAGTTATCATCGTCATTATCATCATCACAACTGTTTATCTTTGCAAAGTGCTATTAAGTTAAATAATGTAGTTGAAACTAAATTTGGCTTAGTGTATATAATTTTGCTGATGATAATAAATATCTGGATTAAGTGTGCAAATCAATATACAGAGTGCAAGAAGTTGACAATAACTCGTAGAAAAAAAAAAAGATTTTAACTAAAGAACGCGCACATAAATTACTCGATTTTGAGTTAAAAAATACAAATTAAGTAAAGATTAAAAAATGTAATTTTGTTAATTTAAGAAATAAATTTAAAAAAAATTTATTTGGCCGAACAAATGTAAAACCAAGATATTTGCAAAGATAACTTTAAAAATTGAAACATTTCAACGTACCTCAACAGACACATATAATTCTATTAATATAGTCAATAAATATGGATAACTAACTTAAAAATTGTTATAATAAAAATAATCAGGATTAAATCTTCATTTTACATCATTATATCATTGTTTATTCTTCAATTATGACAGCGTTAAATTTTTAATGAATTGATTTAAAGATTTTTTTTTATTGTGTATTTTATTCTTTCGTTTAATTTCTTGTTTTTTCATGATATATAATTTACCTTTTTCTAACTCACTATTTTGGGTTTCCATACTATGTTATAGTTACAATTTATGTGCCGAATACTATACATGTTTATTCGAATATTCATTTATAATTGCGTAAATCATTCAATACGTGGTATTCATACGCTGTTTTAAAGCACATGCAAATTAAATTATTTATAATGGTTTTTGGTTCATACTTTTATTAGATAACACTCTTAAGGAAGAAAAAAAATCTTAATTTGTTTATCGGTTTGTGTTGTCATACGACAATCAAACACGCATATATTCAGCGATTAATACAGTAACAACAACAACAACAACAACAATAATAATTTATTGAAATCAATAATAATAAAGATAAGATGATACAATTTTCACGCGATTTATTAATTAATATTTTTTTTTTTTTTTTAATAATCACCATGGGCACCGTTCATAATTCATCTATAATATATTTAATAATAGTTGTGTTGAATTTATTCGAAATTTGTTGTTGTTATTAATAGGAATAATTATTATTATTATTCCTAATAAATTATACAATAGAGTATTATTAACATCGCGTTTCGTAAAGACCACTTCTTCCAATATATCTCACCCACTTAATAACATCGTGATCAGAATAATTGAGTTTGGATTCAAATACTTTAAGATAGCGAACTTTAAAGCCAGATGGAGCGAACGGTACTTCGAAGTTCATTGAAATAGGTGGTCTTGTCCATTTCTTTTTCGTATCAGTGTCGAGTAAATCTATTTCCGCAGACAATTGAGTCTCTTTCATACCTGACATACGTTTTATCTTCCAGACAATTGCATTTTCAGATGCTTTATATTTAGCTTTACCCTTGAGACAAATCAATTGAACTCCAGCGGTATTTAACGGAGTTGGTACACGTACTTCTATTTTTTGTCCCAAAAGCGATGGTTTGAAGTTTGATTTGAGAACAGCTTTTACTTCCATTTTTGTACGACCAACTTCTCTCACCAATGGTATTAATCGGAATGGCAATGAAATATCTTTTGTAGTACGGTATCTATCAATTAAATCATCAATCAACATTATCATCACTATAATTTTATAATTATTATTTTAAAAAAAGTAAAAAATATTACCTCATTAATTCAAACTCGCCATCTGGTGGTATAAAACTAATGGAATGTTCAGTTTCAAATTTAGATAACTTGACACATTGATGAAATTGGCAATCATCAATTACAACTACAGGCTTTCCAGTGCGTGCTCCTGTGGGGTCTTCCCCACCCAGGGCACCGCTGCCACCCTTCACCCCACGAGAATCCATTACGATTTTGTCATTAATACCGAATTTACACTCTGGCATTCCCGATAGATAAGATTTCATTATAACCTGTAATTAAATAATTACATAACAGACCATAATAAAACATAAAAAAAAAAGCATTAGAAAAAATGTAATTATATATTTACCTTTCCTGCAACATGGGCGCTTAATATTTGTCCCTGAGGACTCATCAAGAGATTCACATACTCCAATACATCAAGGAATAGTTCATTACGCCGGTATTTTATTCCTTCTCGTCTCCATCCAATTTGACCCGTTACTTGAGATGTAATTTGTGCTTGCTCCTCTTTTGTCGCTGACTTTACACCTTGCTGAGTAATAAAAGTCTTCAGCACACCAGTATCGCAATTTTGTGGATAACCAAAGTCCAATATTTCTAATTTAAAAAAATTATATTAATAGTTTGAATGTTTTTTAAATAAAAATAAAAAAAACTTACCATCAAGCAACTCGTAGATCAAAACAAAGTTGTTTTTAATATTTTCTTCGGAGATTTTTCCAAAGTACGACTGCATAACATCGTTGATCTTGAGAAGAAATTCAAAAACCATAGCTGCGTTGACATTTTGCTTAGTTACAGCGGCCAGCCAAATATTTGCTCGTTTAATATGGAAAAATGATGTCCGAGCAATATTGGTGACGGGTGAACGAACTTGTTGACGAGCATGAATTACATTAACTCTAAATGCATCTACGGCATTTCTTCCGATGTCATCTCGATACACCCGGGAAATTAATACTTCTCCCTTGTGATTATACAAAAATAACCCTCCGATCATTTTTCACAATGAAAGCTAATCAAACTTTCGATTTATTTTATTATTACTGTACTGCTGAAAAAAAAAAAAAAAAAAAAAAAAAAAAAAAATTCATCATTTACTAAATATATTCATTCTCCAAAGAGTATAATAATTATTAAAATTAGTCAGAGTTTACAGTGTATGCAAATTATTGATAATACAAATTATTTTGGAGAAACGAACGGGTTTCGGAAACTAAGAGGAATATCGTAATCGATAACGCCCTCGATATCAGAATAAATGACATTTGAAAAGAAAATATACATAAATACATATATACGTGAGTAGATAAACAACGTTTGTGCCAGAGATGCTTTACACACAAATGATCGCTGCCGTTGATGATGTGTGTTATCGACCACCCACTTTAATATGACATTAAGAAATAAATTTCAGAGTGGAGTAAAAAAAAATTAGGTGCCAACAAGTAGTCAAAAAAATAAACTTACTCATTTCACTGGTTTAAATCCTGGAATAATGGACCCAATTATTCCAGATTGGAATCTTGGATATTTTATAATTTTTAGACTCCAATACTATCCAACATACAACCAACTACAATCATTACGAGCTAGCAGCCAGCAGTAACAACCACTGGTGATAGTAGTCCAACAACCGTTCAGTAGTTAGTAGCCGCGCTCAGCCATCTTCGCGCATCATATTATACACCCACTTTTTTACTACGTAATTCAAAATTATTTTTCATCCCTAATGATTTATCAAATTTTTTTACGGGTCCAATAAATTATTATTATTTATATTCAATAAAAAAAAAAAAAAAGTAAATTTCTAATAAATTTAATTGTTAAAATTCAATAATCTTAAAAACAGCGGAATGAAATCCTCAATTTTACCTGTTCCTTTTGTTTGACAAATAGATGGCGTGACACGTAATTTCTGAATAATTAAGACAGTTGTCAGAGATTCAAAAAAAAAATATTTTTGTTTAGAAAAGTAAGTTAAAATTTATTGTTTAAAAATATAACTTAATAATTATATCAAAGAATAGTCATTTTTATTAAATGAATATCTTCAGAAGAATACAGTGGATGCTGTTCAGAGCGTGGTATATACTCCAATTTAAAAACTTTTTTGACTTGTTCAAGAAATTGTTGCCACACCGGTATTTGTCCAGGAGTATCCCTTTCTTCTTGCGACATAATAACGTAAGTTTTTTCATTTTTTTTACAAAAATATTCTAATGTTTTAATCAGCGGATCTATTGACTGAAAAATTTTTAAATTATTTTTACAGGTCTGTTTAAAAATTTATACACCAACAATTAGTTAGAATACGCATACCTCCGAATAATATACACAGTCAGCAACTAAAATAATATCAGGTGAAAAATCAAACTCAATATCATTTTTCCATTCCATAACTTGAGCTTTAGCAGACCCTTTACCATCTTTATCCCACAGAGTTTCGTTCTTAGAAATATTGTAATTTAAAATTGGTATGGTGCTCTCTAAATCAGTCATAATCACGTCAGACCTGAAAAATAACTGTGATTAATGATAAATTTATTTTTACAATTATAGATTTGAAAAGTAAAAGACCTACCCAAGACAAGCGGCTGTCATTCCTACACAACCGATTCCAGCACCGAGTTCCAAAACTTTTTTTCCAGTAAGCCATTGATCATTTGAGCTAGATAAATGATCCAAGTATTTTGTTAAAACAATTGCAGCATCCCACACGACACAGTTAACGTCGCCAATCTCTTGCTGATATAAAATCAATTGTTTGTTTTGACTTTCCAGCTCTAAGCACCGGGTAAATATATTTTTATCCAACTCCATTTGTTGTTATTTATTACTCACATATTTATATTTATATTTATTGTTTTAGGTTAATGTATACGTGTGTATAGTATCGTAAATCGTAAATGGCGGAATGTTTTTGCCGCGAAATTGACATTGATTACCGGCCGGCTGCAGTTTAAGTTTCAGAGTTTAGTGTAATTATGATTATGAGGTTATATACCATCATTTGTTAATTATTATAAACACTATTAATATTATGTTTAAAAAATATCTTCAACAAGATTAAGTTTAAAAATTAAAATAATTAAAGTTTAGTGATTTTAGTTAAAAAATAAATTAAACAAAAGTGAAAATGGGTGAACAACATGGAGGATGTAAAGAACTACTCTTTAAACGTATATTAATGGCAATTACATTCAGTATAATTGTTCAATTTATTTTTATGAGTAGCGTTATTTTACTAAAAAATGTTGACATGACATCTCCCTTGTCGTGGATCGAAGACACCTGGAAAATAATAACATGTTTGAGGATGTGGTGCTACATGATAATTTTTGCAATTATGATTACTCTCCAAGGAATTATTTTTAGTAAAAATTACTTAAACTACTCATACTCATCGTATGCTCAAAGCAGATTCGTTATATTCTGCAATTTATTCACTTCTCATAACTTAATGGTTATTTTGATGTACCTTATAAATGGAATAGTACTGGTCTGGTTACATCTAACTTTGGTCGATGGAAAATACAGTTCATTGACTAAAACGTGCAGGCGAAATATTTCAACAACGATCTCTTCAACTTGCCTTGTTGAGGAGCATTTATTTTTACTGCTTGGTGGTGTTTGGACTGGAATTTATTATTTTACTAAAACAAATATATATGTTTTTCACAGATTACAATTTCCAATTATTCCACAGTATAAATTCACTCAAATACGCAGAGGTATCAGTACTTTATTGCCAATAACAGTGATGAATGCCATCTGGCCAACGATGTATTTTATAGGACTGTATTATTTTATCGGTTGGTACATTAAAAACTTTGTAGCCTCTTCTTTATTTATTCACACAGAAGAGGAACAATCGTTGGACTCAGTATGGAGATTATTAAATTTATCATTGATATTACACTCATGGTTATACACATCATTGTTTGCTTTAATAATAAACAGTATGCATTTACTATTTAATGCTTACTTAACAGAATGGATGAAGTTTGAAGTTGGACGTCAAATAAATGTTTACAACAACGTTAATCAGCAAGATATTACAACGACTCTTCCAGATGCATTAGCTATGAGTAAAGTGCCCATTATCCAGCATCTAGGGTTCTTGGATCTAGCGACTCTGGCACAGAAAGAAAAACAGCGTAGAGCCGTTTTGTTTAGTCTTAGCCAACCTGGTGGACACCCTTACAATTGGAACTGCATTGTCGAAAAATGCCTAGCATTTATAAACAACTTTGCCGTCGAAATAAACAAGACGGTTTGTCCTGTTCCTGTGATTCAGCAACCAGGTAACAAAATATTAACACCTACTTCTCCTTCGCCACAATTACCAGACACATGTTCTGAAAGATTTGGAATGGAGCCTCGTTACATGCGAAGCTTAGTTAATTATAAGCTATCTCCAATACCAGTGGTAGAAGATGTCACTCCAACTGACCAGTGTAGTAATTATTTTGGACAATTGATTGGAGAATTTATAAAAACAACACGACAAAATATTACATCTTATCTACTTTCAAAGCCGATTATTTTTTACTTTTTTGGTAAGCATAATAACAACAATATCCAGTACTTGATGTTCAATGGTCAGCCAGTTATTTGGGCTATCGACGGAATTTCTTTGCTCGCTGTAGCGTCTCTTACCGAGGATCCATATGGTATCGTACAAAAAGACTTACCAGCTATTATTGAAGCCCTACTTGGTCTGAAACAATCATTGGATAAGCTTCATAAAATGAATATGCTAATAACAACAAAAAAACAGCCACACTACGATGATAAGGATGTTAGGCAAATGTTAACAACTTTGAGAGTCGCCAACAGACGGAGTATTTATAGGATTGTTACTAAGTTCAAGAACTACGTCGATGATTTAACTCTGGATCAATCAATCAGGGACCAGCTGAATGGATTTTTTGTGTGTAAAGAGTAAATAAGTTATAGTTGTTGCTGTTATCATAATTGAAAAATATGTATGTGAGTGTACAAGACATTAATTGAAAAAAAATTACCTAAACTATTTTTACAGATGAATAAACATATTTTTCATTACTCATGTCTATTAATAAGTAAATAAAATTGAATGTTTTTTCTAATAAAAAATGAATAATTATTTTTATTTATAAAAGAATATTTACATTTTTTTTAAATATTGAACAACACTAATATTATTAAATAATTTTTCCCGTAGCAAACTCCAATTTTTATGCTGGAGAGTCATTAATTTCTCTAGGTACTTCCATAACCTTGGTTCATTTTGTATAGCCATGCCATGAGTTTTCAAAAATAGACCTAAATACGACTGAGATAACTCAAAGTCCTGATTACTGTTCATCATATGTTTGATCATTTTCATAAACTGTATCATTATGTCTACCGAACATGTACTGTCCAACGAAAGCGATTGTATTTGCAGATCTATAGAGCTGGGTCCTAAAGCTTTTAGCCTGTCAATAACTTTCGTAAAGTCATTATCGTTGTGGTCAATAGTGTCTTTCAGCATTTTACCAAACGTTGTCAAATTACTAAAGTTGCTCGGCATTAATAATTTACTGTTACTATCTGACTCTTGGTTTTTAGCATCTGAAATATCAAACTCAATATCTAGTGAAGGTATTGTCGGCAGGAAGAATGGAGCTGTTTCAGGGGCCTTGGGAGGTTCAATAGGTTTATTTCTCTTCTTGATAATATCGATATTGAGAAGATTTTGCCATCTTGCATTTGACAGCGATGACATTGTTATAAGATTCGGAGCCAATTGAACTGGTGAAACATATTTTTCCTCTTCATCGTCTTCCTCGTTATCGACTTGCATGGCATCTGACTCAGTTTCGTTGTCCTTTGAAGATGGTATTACTTTTGGTAGATCAACCAAAGGTATAGAATAGTTTGAAGGTAAGGATTTCAACGACACGTGGCTATATAGAGTGCGATTGGACCACAAATAAATTCCTACATTGTTCATGTGAGCTGTTACTAAAAACTCACTGGTGGGTGAAAAATGCAGCGATATGCAAGTATCGGGTACCTGTTGAATAGGAATTAATAATTTAATATTTTTTCCTTAAAAGATAAATTATATTTTTTTTTTTTATTTTTTTTTTTTTTTTTTATATATATATATTTATTTATAGAATTACCCGGAAGACATCAATTGGCTGAGCGGTTGGTATATCCCATGTTCGTATAGTAGAGTCCATAGCAGCAGTTACAAGCCATCGAGCGTCCGGACTGAATGTGGCATCTGTCAAGTGAGCTATGTGACCACGGAAATGTCTAACCAAGCGCCTAGTATCTAAATCAATTAAAATTACAGTAAAATCCTCTAGGGCTAAGGCAACAAGAGAACCTTCGGGATGTGTTCTAACCCATTTAACAGCTTCATTTAAAGTTAATACTGTCTGTGGTTCAGTATCTGAAAATAATAGAAAAAAATTAATTAGTTTTTTTAATATTAATAGACATTATTTTAAAATAATAAATATAAAAAATAATTACCTGGGGTAGATTTAAACGGCCAAAATTTAACTTGATGATCTCGACCAGCGGATACAACATACTGATTAAGTGGATCAACCATAATTGCTTTGATGGGGCCTACATGTGCTCCTTTTTCACCTCCATACGTTGCTCTGTGTAATCCCGATTGAATATTGAACCTGTCAATATGCCCGGTGTTGTAACCGATCACGACAAAATTTCCACAGTGCGTCATACAGAGACTTGTTGCATTTGCATTTTTATTTCTAGTAAATCGTTCAGGTAATAATTTGTGCTCTCCCATTTTCATTTTATCATATGACCAAGTAGTAACAGTACCTAAACCTAAATGACATGCCGCAATGTTGTCCCATTCTTTTTCGCGAGTTTTTTCATACGCGAATTCAGTGATAGCTGGCATTATAAGATTATCTTCGACGTTGCGTTTCTTCTTTTTTGAAGATTTTCTGTTAAACGACGCTTTACCCAGACTTTTATTAAATATTTCAGTGACAGTGGAGAATATTCTTATCGAGGAGTCACCCCCAGCGGTTATAATATTACGACCATCGTCTCCGTAAAACCTTACTTGCGTAGGCGGTTCAGAGTGTCCTTCACGAACCATTAGCAAACGAGCAGCTCCATCAGCTAAATCGAATATCCAGACCTTCAGCGAGTTATCGGGAGAGGATGAAACGATTAAAGGTTCATTTGGCAAGCACTGCAAGCCAGCAACTGAGCCAGCATGTGCGTTGATAAGTTGGCTGTCAACGCGTTTTTCATCGAGATTCCAAAAAACAATATGACCAGAAAGACTTCCAGTGGCCATGATTGGACGCTCGTGGTTGTCAGTTCTGAATGTTATGGACGTAACCAAGCCCCAGTCTTGAACGAGTTGGAAAACAGTTTTATCAACTTTCAAATTATGGAGAATTATTTTTCCATTGGCCAATCCAATAGCAACAACGTCCAAAGCAGGCGCTTGTTCAATTACAGTCACGGCTGAACCCCATCCGTTGAAATTATAAATCATTTGTGTTGTACGTATGTTCCACAACTGGAGATTACCCTGCTCACTACCCAAAAGTATTTTATTTATGTAAGTGCTCGGGTGTATCATTGTAGTGATTTTAAAAACATTATTACTAAAATTTAACTCTGCTTGCAATTTTTCTGTTTTAATGTCCCAGATTTTTAAATTACTCTCTTCGTCAACGGACAATAAATTTGGTCCAAAAGGCAAGAGACTATGAATCTGATGATCATGTTTACCGTAGGTGTGTTTCAATTCGTTACCTCGTCGCCAAGCATAAATATAGCCTTCACTAGCCGTGTACACGTGATAAGTGTCACCAGCTAGGGATGTAATGTCCCCCGGATGACCACCAGAAACTGTCAATAAAGTTAAATGTGAACAGCTGTAGGTATGAAATGCTCGCCCAACACAAGTAGCAATCAAATTGTCTTTTCTCCGTTTGATGTAACGTGTAATCATAGGAATGTGGTTGCTGACATAACCTAGTGCCCGATTTTTACAGAATATTTTACTTTGCGGCATTTTTATTACATTCACCTCACTGCTTTGATCCGGCATCTTGTTGTAATTATTGATAATTATAATTTATATTTATTCTGGAATAAAAATTTGTGATAAATAATTTGTAATAAATTTATGGATTTGAAATGTTTTTATATTTATTAAAAAAGAAAGGGATTGAAACATGCAAGTATGAATTAAAATTATTAATATTTCAGATTTATAATAGTTGCAATAGTGATCATACCTTTTGTTAATTATTCCAATTATTTTTCAATATTATTTAATTTAAATTAAAAAAAACCATGATAAGCACGTGGTCGCAAGTATCACCATTTAAATAAAATTTAAAATATCAAATTTATCTATACTGTGTGTAAGTGTTATGTGTTGTTATTGTTGATGACAGCTGAGACCTCTTTGAGTGATCTGAGAACTTAAAAGGATTAATTACTTAAGCGCTTAATTTAAAACAATTTGTTTTAATATTTTACAAAAAATATGATAAAAAAAAATACAAATTTTTTTAATAAATAATATTATTAATAAAAAACATCCATAAATTTAATATTATGAATTCATCAGGATTCTATATTTGGTAGTGATATAGGTGAACATGACATAAAACAATACATATCAACAAGCATAGTATCGATTTAACATTTTGGTAGTTTAAAATTATATTTTTGGACGAAAATATTTTTTAAAACCAAAAAAAAATAATTTAAAAAGACTATTTGTTAAATTTTTAATTCATAAATTTTTTAATAATCAAAAATGTCACTGGATTCATTATGTATTAATAAAAGTGTTATATTGTACATTATATAAATTTAAAATAATTATTGTTAATAAGAAACGTCAATTTTTTATATGATGATGTTTCCTAAATTAAGTTAACCTTTACATGTTAATAAAAATAATTTTTTTATAGATAATATGGCAAATTTCAAAACAAAAAAAATATTATACGTTTAAAATGCAAATTTATCATAATAATAATAATAATAATAATAACAATAATCAAGGCAATTGAAGATTGGTTAAAAAGTTAAATGTCTAATAATTTTTAATAAAAAAAATGAACAACCCAAAAACTGGTTCAGAGTCAGGCGACAAAAATACTGAAGAAGAAACCAACAGTTGAGTATTTTAATAAATCTTGTCAGTTAATAAAAAATAATTATCATTTTTTTTTTTTTTTTTTAGTTACAAAACCCCCTTGTGATGACATACTGTTGAAATCTGATGACAATTGTACTCAACTTACTATCCAAAAGTTTTTTGAATTCATGCAGACTGCTTATCAGCTCAATGATAGCTTTGATGGTCTCTCGAGTATTTTAGCAGCTCACAGCGAGATAGATTGGTCTGAATTAACTAAAATCGATCTTGATTTACAATCTGAAAACAAAAAAAATGTGAGTACTCTTTAATTTTTGTTGTAATAAAATTGATACTATTTTTTCTATGCCTGTTAAATAAATTCAGAGTACACTACTACCCTCACCGTGTTCTGAACAACAACAACAACAACAAAAAGATGAAAAAACGGATTGTCCAGCAAATTCGAATAAAAATCCATCGGACTTGCAATCACCGTTTAAAAAATTCAAAGTACCCAGCAGTGAGTCTGCAGATGATAATAAACAGCATCAGTTGTCTAAAATGATGAAGAAAAATCTTAGTGATGTTTTACATGAAGGCTTGCTAGACTCTGTACTGCCTTACATGCTTCCTAAACCTGCACCAACGATATCACAGCCAATAAATAAGAAACTCCCAGTTGAAGTTAAGAAATGTTCTTCTCTACAAAACAGTACTGTTGATAAATCCAACGGAGTGCTTTTGGCTAATAATTGTGATCAAAATAAAGACAAAAATAAATTTCACAGAAAATCTAGCGAGTAATTGTTTTTTATTTATTTTATTTATCTTGTTTAATGGTAAAATTAATTGTAATTAAAATTTTCAAACATACAGAGTTGAAGTGGAGATTCACGTTTGTGACGAGGCAAAAAATATAAAAAAAGACTTTAAATGTCCTCAAAAATTATTAATACAAAAAATGTGTTACTTTGCTGACGTTACCACTGGGCAGAAGCTAGAAGAAATGGATATTTCTGTTCACTGTGATATTGTCATTTTTGACTGGCTAATGAGATGGGTTAAAAAAGATTTAATCAAAAAATCTGAGTGGCCGGTTTTGGAAGCTACCAATGTCATACCAATAACAGTCTCAGCATCATTTTTACAAATGGAACCTCTTCTAGAACAATGTCTGGTTTTTTGTCATCAACATATGTCCCAAGTATTGAAAACATCAACCATTTTAACTTGTCTCAATGATAATATTTTCACAAGGTTGTATCCGTCTAAATAAATAAATAAATATGATTAATAAATATAATTAAAAATTATTTCAGATTAGCAGATTTATTTAGTAATATCGACGTCGAAAACCTAAAAGATAAGAAAGATAAAGTACAGAGCCGTTTATTCTGTAAATTGATAATGTCACTGGTCGATCCAGTCCCAAGTAATAAAAGAGGACATTACAGTTCTTTAGCAACGTTATTTAAATGCACCAAGTGCGGTAAAATTTTGATACGTTCTGTATCTGATACCGTTCCTTGCACACCGAGTGCTATCAAGATTGATTGCAGAGGAAATATTTACAGCAAACATTCTCGGTAACTTAATTAAATAGCTTTAATAAAGTAAAGAATTAAAATTATGGTAATGTTAATTTTTAGAGATCTTACGTGGTCATTGAATGATTATATAGTTAACTTGAGATCAGAATTGCGCTCATGGAGAAAGGTGTACTGGCGTCTTTGGGGTGATTGCCATTTTCTTTATTGCCGTCAATGCAATACCCACTTTCCGATAAACCAAATGGATTGGTGTTCATACCACCCGGAAATCCCTCAGTTTTTTGCCAATGAACAACAGAGATCAACACCGTATCCACTAGGAAGATATCCATGCTGCAGTCAACGGGCTTATCGCTTTGAAGCTATTCCTAATAGAGAAGGATGCCGATTTAAAGTAGTTATTAATAAAATTTTAATCTTTGATAGTATAAGATGATTAAATAAAATATATGATTATTTTTAAAACATATGAATTATGTTAGGAACACATACCAACGGTTTCTGTGGACAGTGATGGACATGTTTTGAATATTTTTACTTTGTATCGTGACACCATTACTCAAGATCCTCCACAATTATTTTTTCCAGAAAAAATAACACGGTTAGTCGCACGGGATCCTGAACTTCAGTCAGGTAAGTTATCGTGCAAAGAACCGATGCCCTGGGATGGAATTGAACTGACTCCGCCAAGACCTAAACTTGGCTTACTGGCAAAACTTTGGGGCGGACCTGGTGTCCGTAAGCCATATCAATTTACTAATGGTGCTAATAATAATTTGGATGGACATAAGTCACGTAAGCTGATGCCACAGAACTCTCAAGTTGACACGTTGTCCATGAATACTTCAACAAGTGACAGCGATAATGATGACGATGACAATGACGGTATTACTGCACGTGGAGACAGTAGCGTTGATGATGATTCTGATAATAACAGCGAAGAATCTCATGGTTTACCATTATTTAAACCTACTGGTAAAATAAAACGACGATGCCATTTAATTAAAAGGTAATCAACTTGTTTTCATTTATTGATATTATAAAACTACAAAACTTTATTAAATTTTATTTATTTTTTGCTCAAACAATGTTTTAAGATATATTAAATTTATAAAATTTTATCATTAAAGCACAACTAACAGAAATAATGAGTATTTATTAATTAATTAAATTATAGGCACGAAGGAGGACGGTGTTGGAACATGAATTTGTTGGTAAAATACAATCAGGACAACCAACGAGATTTTGAAGAACGCGCAGCATCTCAAATGATCGGTTTGTTAACTAAAAGGACCTCCGCTGAATGCTTAATCAATAAACTTCATAAACATTCATATGCTTCCAACAGTCAGTCTATAAGTAATACTGCTCAATTTTATCAATAAATATTACTCATAACTTATCATTAATTAATAAATATAATTAATAGAATTTGTAATTTTTTCATGTAGGCGGAAGCTACGTTAAACTAGAAGCCGAGTTTAAAGAACAAACGGCTCATTCCATAAAAAATAAAAATAATAATAATAATGTCAAAGAACTCAATCGTTCACGGTCACTTAAACATTAATAATAATTAAATAAATAATTTGACCAGTTCCAAGTTATAAAATAGTAGTAATAAAATTTAGTTCTTTAAAGAGTTTTCTGAGTTTACTTTAAATAAATCACTGCGATCCAAAATTTTTTCAAGTTCGGCATCTGAGTAAACTGTAAAAAAAAAAAAAAAAAAAAAATTTAATTAATTTATTTGTAGTTCGAATATAAATATATATATAAAGTAAAAGAAAAAACAATATTAATACCTTGTTTTTTAGAAGTAATAACAATGTCATTTGAACTATTGAATAGTCGTCGAAGCTCTTCCACAAAATTAGCAGTGATGTTAATGGATGGTTCCAATTCCTTTGAGATGACCATTTTTTCAAGATTACGCTTTGCTAGAGCGCGATTCATAACTGTTTCATCGATAGTCCCTTTGGTACACAGCTTATAGATGACTACTGGGCGAGTTTGTCCGATTCGATGACAGCGAGCCATCGCTTGGATATCAACTTGAGGGTTCCAGTCACTGTCATAAATAATAACAGTGTCAGCGGCTGCTAAATTGAGTCCTAGACCACCAGCACGAGTAGATAGTAAAAACAAAAATACGTCGGGATCATTGTTAAACTTATAGATGTTTTCGTCACGTTCTTCAATTTTTGTTCTTCCGGAAAGAGTTACGTAGTTCCATTCTCTCAAGGTTAAATATTCCTCAAGTAAGTCTAGTAACATGACTAACGTCGAAAATATAAGTACTTTGTGGCCTTTTGCGTGTAATTTGTGGAGCATAGCGTCTAGAACAAGCAGTTTTCCTGAAGATTTAATTAAATTTTCGTCGATTTGCAAATATCCGGTAGCACTTTTGGGCCAATGTACCAAATACGGATGATCAACGATTTTACGATACAGTGGATAGCGATTTCCCGAAAAATTTAAACGGATAAAATAATCTTTGTTTCTTTCATCTATATCAGTATAATTTATCCAGGTACTTAATATTTTTCGTTGACCTTCAGTCAGGTGTTTGTCATCAAGAATATCAGGCTTTTTTTCAGATTTTAAAGCGTTAATATCACCATCCATGTCCTTTAAATCAAGCGGATTAAAATAATTTTCAGAATATTTATTTCTCATTGAACAAGCTCGTTTGGGTCTTCTTCCATCTGCAGGACTTTCAATTATTGCTGGTTCTCGCGGTTTCATTGACAACACGTGGCAGTCATAATTAAGAACGGCAGTGTAAAGTTCACGCTGTATCTCAGTAATTGGCGCGTAGACAATCATCTCTTTTTTGTTCGGCAAATTCAGACCAACTTCCTCCTTGACTCGTCTTAGCATAAATGGTTTGAGAATTTCTCGCAACATGCTGACAATATTTTTTTGTTTTTCTTGCTCAAGAATTTTCTCGGCACCCGCCTCGTCCAACATCTCTTTTATATCAAACCAAGACTGAAAAACATCAAGATCATTAAAAATGTCGGGCTGAAGAAAGTTCAACAAAGCCCAAAGCTCATTCAAATCATTCTGCAAAGGTGTTCCAGTCAGTATTAAACGATGAACTGAATTGACCGTCCTTAAAGCACACGCCAATTGGCTATTGTGATTTTTAATCCGCTGGCCTTCATCAACAACCATATAACGCCAATTATAATCGCGCAGTACAGTATTGGCATCTCTTAAAGCAACGTCGTAGGTTGTCAAAACAATAGGATGAGTTTTGAACCCATGTATTGTTTTCTTGGTTTTAATTTTCTTAGCAACAGCTTTGCGAGCTTCCAGTGTTCCATGCAGAACATATACCGGTAATTCGGGTGCAAAGCGTTTAAATTCTGCTTCCCAGTTGGGTATCGTTGACAACGGGGCAATAATTAGATAGGGACCAGGCACACGAATTTCTATTAGCCAACAAATCAGAGCGATAACTTGAATCGTTTTTCCCAGACCCATTTCATCAGCCAAAATTCCGTTCAACCCATTCTTATGTAAAGCCCGAAGCCAGTCCAGACCTACTGTTTGATAAGGATGAAGTTGACCAGTAAAATAAATAGGTGCCTCGAATTTTTTTTCTTCTTCATTTTTTTCCTCATCATCAGACTTAGCGTTCAATTCATCTTCGATGTCTGAAAGACTCAGATTCAGTTTTTTATTTTTTGGACCTTTAGTCTTATTATTTATTTTTTCAATTTTCTTCAATAATGTTCTTTGGCTGAATCTAGTCTTCTTTGGGGGTGAATTTTCAACGTCGTCATCACTAAAATCTGATTTTTTGCGTTTTTTAAAAGAATTACGAGTAGGAGATCTACCACGTTTAACAGGTGATTTCTTGGGATTATTTACGTTGGCCTTGATGAAATTCGAATAAAATTTGCTTTTTTTTAACAAATGCTTCAAACTGTTATATGCTTGTTCTTTTCGTTGACGCTGATAATCCTCTTCTCTCGCACGCTTCTCTTCTGTTTCAGGACGAGTTTTTTTCACACGTGGTTCTTCAATCTTAATGGTGCTAAACTTGACATCGTTGCAAATTAAATTATCGTTTGAATCATCTGAAAAAAAAAAAACAAATAATAATAATAAATTATGTAATATGCTGTATTCTATCTGAAATCCAATCACAATCACCCTGAATGTATGTGAAAAATTTTTTGATAAATTCAATATTTTCAACGAATAATTTAATCATGTTTTGAAAAGTCAATGACTGTCTGTCTATGTTTAAATCGTCATTTGTTCAGGTATTAATTATTTAATAAAAAAATTAATTATAAAAGCATTTTACTTTTATCATCATTTGTGTCTGGACGGCTTGAAAACCCCGAGTCTTCATCGACATCGATGTCAGAAGCTTTTACAACATTATTCGATTCCGTGATATCTTTTAACACGTTCGTAGTCTCCATTTTGTCTAAATATATATTTTTTTAATAATTATTAAATAAACGTATTACAAAAAATAATAATTTTTCAACGTCTTTCATTCTTTCACGCACTAGGCTTTGTGTATATAACGCTTCTTGCCGGTTCAGACAGGTTATATATATACATAGTTTAGTTGCTTGACAACAGAGATAAAAACTGCGAAAAACGCGGGAATATGGAGACTATATATGTGTGTGTAGTCCATACGCGGGAACAAGATAGTAGAATAATTAGAATAAACTTTTATTATTTTTTGATGACATTGAAATTGACAGACATTAGAAATTTTTTTAGAATTTCATAACTATCAAATTATTATGAAATAAATTTAATTAAAAAATTCCATATGTGAAAGTTAAAAAAAAATAATGATTTTTTTTTAAATTAGTCGAAATTTTTGTAGGTATTTTTTTTTATCGTAAATATTTTTTTATAAGAATTCAAAAAATTGGCAATTGTCAGCTAACTTTAGTATCATTATTTTTTATGATACTGATTTAGCCGACATATGATGATTTCATAAAATTGAAATTGGAAATTTGGAATAATAAACTAGATTTAAAAAATTACATTTATAACTTTTTAGAGTTTCTAAAGATAGAATTTTTTACTTAAATAAATTTTTCCTGCTATAATTTTTTAGTTAGAAAATTTCTAAAAATTGTCAAGTCTCTCTCAATTTCAGTATGATGGTTTCTAGTTTTATTTTTTCAATAAATAAATTATTATAAAATTTTTTTTTTTGAAAAATTTCACTAGTAGATGTATCAAAAAGTTATTGTAATTTTTTAGAAAATATTTTCTTAGTAGTACTTGATTTTTTGTAAAAGTCCAAATAATGACAGATGCCTGCTAACTCCAGTTTAATTTTTTTTTATGTTGTAACTTTCTTTTATTACCTTAAAATGACTATTTGCTGATAATGCATGATAGCATTATCAAAGTAAATACTCAAGAAAATATGAGCAAGTCCAAAAAAGTTTTTCAGCAAGAAATAATCAGTTTGATATTTAATAGTACATTATTATTTGTGTAAAATCATATAAAAATAAAAGATAGTTCATTACATAAAAATGATCAATAATATAAAATTTTGGATAAATCTTTATCAATGTTAATATAAATATATATGTATAAATCTACTGTTTAGATGATAATTCATGAATTGTTTCGACAATATTGTCAAGCAAACTTGATGCTCCAATTCTGAATGATTCTTTATTCAACCATTCTTCTCCTAATTCTTTTTTAATGAGTATTATCCATTCGAGTGCTTGGATAGCCGTTTTTATTCCACCAGCTGGCTTAATTCCGACCTTCGAAAAGATAATTTCCATAAGTTTCTTAAAAAATTAAATTTATTATTTTACATTGAATGTAATAATTACTTTTTCGCCGGTTAATTTTTTATATTCCTTAATAGCTTCACACATAACTATTCCAACTGGCAAAGTTGCATTAACTGCCTCTTTACCTGTTGACGTTTTAATAAAATTACTTCCAGCAGCCATTGCTACCATGGATGCTTTGTAAACGTGATTTAAACTTGGAAGATCGCCAACAGATAAAATTGTTTTCATAATTTTATTTCCACATGCCTCTCTCATTTTTGACAACTGCTTCAATAATTCATCCCAATCGTGGGTCATTACTAGTGATCTATCAATAACTACATCAATTTCATCAGCTTCAAGTTTTGCTGCATCAACAACTTGATGCAACCGTACGTTGAATGGTAATTTACCTGATGGAAAATCACCGGAAACTGTAAAATAAATTATTTGTTTAAAAATAATAACTAATTACAACTAGTAGATATAAATTTTTCAAACCAGTTGCTACAGAAATGTAACGAGCATCATGATTCTCCAAACAATCCATAGCATCTTGAACTCTTTCACTGTAAATACAAACAGCTGCTGGATGTAACTTATCGTGTGTATTAAATGGTTTAATTGCCTGAAAAAATTCATAATTCATTATAAAGAAAAAATTGCTGTCATATTTATAAATGAAATAGTAATTAAAATACTATACTTTAAGACATAGAGCTTGGATAGTTTCCAGTGTATCGGTTTCATTTAAAGATGTTAGATCAATGAAAGTAAGAGCTTTTCGCAGCCAAAAAAGTTTATCTTCATCAGTCATAACACTAACTTCCTTTGATATCTCCTTGACTTTATTATTGATAGATATTAAATCAATATTTTTTTCATTATTTAACCCTAACATTATGAGTATTTTTGATTGAGCCGTCATTATAAATAATTTTACTTTTAAATTAAAAATAAAACTTCTGATAAACGTCAGCTATCCCAAATACTTCATCAATAATATCAACTTGAATTCACAGTTTGAAAATAAAAATGTATTCTATTTTTGTGCGATTAAAATATGTATATGTATTTTAGATATTTATTATCGTAAATAAACAATGTTTACAAATACATTTAACCTACAAAACCTTTCATGTACAATAGTGTTGTTTTTTTTTTTTTTTTTTTTTTTAATAACATGGATTTTGTTGCATTAAGCTCAATTGACTAGAGGTCCCTAGTTGTTTATTCGAGGTACTAAATTTAAACATAACAAATCACGATATATGCGCACATACGGCACATACGATTGTAAGTTATTACTTTCATTACTTATCAATTTTTATTATTTGAGTTTCAATTATATTTCACTATAATTAAATAAATTAAAAGACCCCATTCCCTTTTCCTTTTTCTTTCAATAAAAAAATGTTCTACTTGGAATAAAAATTAAAAATTTTTTTGATCTTTGAAGGTTTTAAAAATTAGGAATAATATATTCATTATTGAAACTAATGATTTCATTAAGGGGGTATTCTGGTCTAGAAGCCTAAATTTTAGGCATTTTTCAAACTAACATAAAAAAAAAATGGAAAACATTTTTATAATCCGTTTTTTTATATGATTTTTATTGACAGTTCAAGAATATAAAAAAAAATTTTAAAAAAAAAAAAAATGATAAATTTGATAAATTACAGGGCGGTGAAGTGGGGGCTACAAAAAAAACGGTGCCCTCTGGTTGACATGATTCCAGCCCTTGTAGTGATATGAAACAAAAAAATTTGAGAAATTCTTAATCTGTAAAGATGTCGCTATCGCGTTGACTATAGTAAAAAAAAAAAAAAAATTCCCAAAATGGCGTCGACATAAAATATCATTTTTTTTTTTACCCTTTTTTATGACCTTTTCGAATTGTTTAAAAATACTCTAAATTGGAATTTTTTGAAATCCATAGCAGACGCAATAGAGAGATATATAAAACAAATTCCCACTAAATTTCAAAGGAATCGGTGGGGTAGAACTTAAGATATCATGTCAACCACTTTAAAAAAAGTAGTTTCGAGAAAATCGCGTTTAAAGTTTTAGAAACGATTTCAGTAAAATAACTCATAATAATTTTAATATTTACTTTGGATTAATCGCGAATCCCAGATCCGTAAATTGAGCCTTCTTCTACTTCCTACTCGATGTTTTGCGAAGTTCTTTCTGCTAATCGAGCTGTTCTGCCTTCTATTGAAGAAGCAGAAGCAGAAGCAGCTGCGTCACAAAATCCACGGTATCTCCGAAAATAATTCGGATTTTTAAAAATCCACTCAAGGACATATTTTTAAGGGTCTAAACCTTGCAAATATGCGAAAAAAAATAATTCGAATTTTTCAAATTTCTAGACCAGAATACCCCCTTAATTGAATAAGTACCAAAATTAAAGAAAATGTCACTAATGGGGTCTTTTACCCTATTTCTATTATCTATTATTGTTATTTGTACTGTTCCCACTGTTCCCAGTATTCTTTTGTTTGCATTTCACAAAGCCGTGATACTGTACGATCGAATGCAAATAATTCTTCTTCTCCAGTAAAAATATTTGATTTATGGTTATCAGAGCCATGAGATATTGCTAAATCATCCATGAGCATTCGTTTCTCATCGGTGTATTCGGAATCGCCTTCAGGTACAAATAATTTATTAGGAGCAGCTGCTGCCGATATCACAACTCTTATCTATTTACAATTGAACAAAAATAAATTTTAGTATTAAATAAAAAAATAACATTGCTATCACTAAATACTAAACATTATTATTTACCTTATTATCATACAGAGTATCGATCAACGTAATAAATCTTCTTGCTTGTGACTTAAGTCGTAAATTAAGTAAAGGGACGTCTCTTATAATGACTGTATGGAATGCTTGAGATATTTCAAGGTAATCACTAGCTCCTAAAGGCTGTTTTTTTTTTTTTTTAAATAAATTATAAAATTAGTATCTAATTATAAAAATTCTTTCTTAACTTAAGTAAATGCACAGTCAACTGTGCTAAAAATACAGACAGTGACTTTTATTAAATTTATTAGTAATTAATTATAAAACTTACTCTATCACATAATTCTTCGAATGTTGAATCGATAATTTGTCCACAAGTTTTTTTAAATGTCACATTGCGACCTTTAAATGATAAAGTTTTCGGCCTAACAGTGTCGTTTTCCATTGAACATAAGTATTTGAAAATTGTATCTACAGCGTCTTCTGGATCCTGACCACTAATAAAATATTTGGTATCTTTGCCTGAGCCCAATTTTAATCTGTAGTCTATTCCTGACTCCAGAGTTTCAATTGCACAATGATCTTTAAGTACTTGAATGAACGGTATAAAATTACTTCTCTGTAATCCATTTTTATACAAATTGTCTGGTGATCTATTACTCGTTGCTACAACGACTACTCCATTAGTAAAAAGCTGAGTGAAGAGGCGTTTTAAAATCATAGCATCAGCTACATCAGTGACCTGGAAAAATTAAAATTTATCTATAAATGATTAGCTGATGAAATTAAGATTAAAAGAAAAAGTTAAATAAATAAATACTTGAAATTCGTCAAAGCAGAGCAGCCAAGTTTTTTCAGTAATCATTTGAGCAACTGGAGGTATAGGATCGAACGGTTTGAGTTTCGTTTCACTGGCATCTCTTTTTATTGTTTTTTTAACTTGATGAATTTTTGCGTGAACATCCAACATAAATGAATTGAAGTGAACTCTTTGTTTATTTTCTATCTATAATGAAAAAAAATGAATAATTCACGTTACTAATGTTAAAAGGGTGTAATTATTAGGAATGTAAAAAAAGTATAAATCTGAAATTTTTTTTCGACATACATCCTTTTGGCTTTAAGAACAAAAATTTTATAGCTAAAAGGGCGTATATGAAAAAATTGTCAAAATAGCTTCCAAGAACCTCAAAATGTCGATGAAATTAAAAATAGATTTTAATAAATAAAATAAAATAAAATTTATAATTTCTCGGTAACGACTGTCTTTTTATATTAATAATAGTCGTATTGAAGTCGTAAAAAAACAATTCAAAGGGGTTATACTATTTTGGCACTTACAAGATTTTGAATTTTGTTTTTTATTAGAAAGTAGACATATTCAAAAATATTTTGACAAAATTTTCGAAAGATCGAGCATTCTAACTGTATTTTTCGTACGTTGAATGCTACTACCTGAGCGTTTTCATTCATTTCAACTGGTGCGTGTACCAGAGCGTTTCTGAATCGATCCTTATGAACTTTTAAATGCATATCCTGTACACTTAGCGCTATATCCTCTCGCAGAATTATTGCAAAATTGATATTTTTAATATATTTTTTTTGCGAAAAATCACGCAAAAGAAAAAACGTTCTTTATCGTTTTTTTTTTACCGTCATTTTGTTATTGTTGCATATAAATTAATACTTGTGCTACGGGGTATAGACATCTGATAAATTAAAAAATTTATCTTAGTATCCTGATCAACACTGACAGGAAAAATTTCTTTTAAAAAAAATGAACATTTTTGTGACAAGAAATTAATTTGTTGGAAATTTTCAACAATTTTATTTCTTAGCTGAAGAAATCAAAATTTTTTTCAAAGAAACTTTCTTGTTGAGAAAAAGTTTATTTGATTTGAAAAATAATAATTTTACACAGACAGCTTCAGAATTGTCATCCAAAATTGTTTTCTCCAAAGTTTAGAGTGTCTTCATGTATTAATAACAGTATATTAATAAGCTACACACTAAGAGGAAGACGACAAGTGTCAGAAGTTTAAAATTTGTTCTGGATTGAAAAGAAATAAATTAATCATTTCCTCGGCCTACGTCGTTAATTTAGACAAAAATGATACTGATAAAGTCCGTATTTTCGACAGTAAAAATGTCGTCCAACGTCACAAGTTAGGCAATGAAACACATTATGTTACTCGCACTGAAAAAGGAAATTGCTTGTTTCAAGTACGTATCCATTGTATCACAACTTAAAATTATTTCATGAACCAAAAATACATTTTTCTTTAATTCAAGGCGCTGATTTATGAAAATTTGGACGACTCTTCGCATAACAAACAAATTAAAGGTCCGCTTTTGTTCAGAGGCAAAATATTGTCAACCAATAACGACAAAAATCTTGAAGAATGGGCTGAAGAATTTGTCAATGATTTTCCAATTGAAAGCTACAAGACTTTAGCGGAACTGTCAAAACATCAGATGGCTTTACAAGCCGTTAACTCGAAATTTTCTCATGAAAGCTACCCCAATACAATGATAAATATATATTTAGATAAGCTGAATTAAATTTAAGATTATAAGTGACAAGAAAAAAATATTTTATACTGTTTCTTTGTATCTTTTGATTGTTATATAAATTACATAACACGTAAATTCATATTGCCATGCATGAGTTTGCTAATCTTTTAATAATGATCCAATTAATGAGTATATATAGTGACATACACAATTTGTATTATCGAATATCACATAAATCTAACGCGTACTCATGAGGATCTAGGTTCGATTCCCAGTCTGAGTCCTAAATCTTATATTTTTTCATAGTCACTATTTTCTTTAAATGAATTTTTAAAGTTGCGATGATCTATTTAATACTCGAACAGATACTTTCAGTTGAATTTCCAAAAATCAATTTTTCATGAGATTAAAAAGCTATTTTGACCATTTATTTATGAACTTAAAATTTTTTTTAAGCCCAAAGAACGTACATCGAAAAAGTTTTTTTTATCTTTGTCAACCAGATTTTTAATTTTTTACATTTCCAAGTTGATTGGAGTAAAAAAAAATTTTTTATACGCCCTTTTGGCATTAGTAACGCGAATTACTATAAATAAATTGTAATCATAAATTATAAAAATACTTAAAAAAAAAATATAAAATTATTTACTTGACAACAATTGTAGAAAAGATCCATTAACATTGTTTTACCACCGCCTACAGCACCATAAATATACAATCCTTTTGGTGGTTTATTAGCATTACTACTTTTGAGCCATTTACTTAAAAACGATGAAGCTTTAGAAGGTTTATAGCCTTTCAGATCATCGTAAACTTGTTGTAAACTTTCAACAATTTTTATTTGATAATCGTCTTGAATTAATTCATTATTAGCTATTTTCTTCTTTAATACCTCTCGTGGACTATTGTCATCAGCATGACTGTCATTTTTAAGTACTTTATTTGTGTATTTTCTACAAATACTTAGTGGTTTCTCCTTTGGAACACATAATTTGACAGTGTACAATTTATTCAGTCTCCTTGATAAATTATAATAACAAGCCATTATCAAAATATCTGAAAAGAATAAAATAAGTAAATAATAATGAAAAATACCTATACATAAAAAATTTTATTTTAATACAGTAAAAAATTTAATAAAAAATAAAATAACATATTTACTTACAAGGAAAAGCTAGAAAAATTATGTTCACGTAACACTATTATATCTTTAAAATCTTTACAACATCGTGTAAATATATATGTATATTATTGCAATTAAAACGTGTTATTTATTCAATTTCAATTTGAATATATATTAATTTTATTATTGAATGGTAACGTCAACACTATTGTTAAATTATTGATAAAAAAATAAACTTCTAAATAAATAATTCAATTGTACTAAAAATTTATAAAAATAACATTCACAACTGGCCTTTCTTTTATTTCTTATTACAGTCATCATATTTACAAATCACGTTGGAGTTTATTTTAGATTTTAGATTATCATATTAGAAAATTATATAAATATATATGTAGCGGTTATGTTTAGTACAAGACATTTCAAACAGAGAGCGTCATCGTTTTTTTACACTCACACACTCATTGTCAGAAAATATATAGATCAGTTGGAACAAACATTGACCAAGAGAGGAAAAAAATACCAGCTGGAGGTTTCAGTGGGTGATATATGTGATATATATGGTGGATTAGTTGATTAGTTACTCAAATTTTGTTATATTAAAGAAGAAACAATGACTAAAATATTCATCACATGATACTTTTAAAAACAATATTTATTTACATAAAAAATCACTCCGTTATTGATCAAGATTTTAAAAATAACGGATGATTAAATCAGTATCGTAGTGTATGTCATTATTTTACATAAAATGTCAATAACTGATTAAAATTATAAATATAATAATTAAAAACGATGGCACAAGGAACTCCTGAATCAGATGTTGGGAGCTTTGAATGTTTCACTAATTACACTGCGCCTGAAGTGTTTATTCAAGGACTTGCCGGGCTTGTCGACCAACAAGATGTTGAATCTATGATAAGAGCTCAAAAACAAATGTAAATACTTAAATATATATTGTATTGATTATCTTATGATAGTAATAATAATAATAATAATAATTATTATTATTATTGTTTTGCTTGTCTTTCAGGTTGCAAAGATTTGAAAAAACTAATGAAATGCTTACCAATTGTAATCAATTGTCTATTAGCCGCCTTAAATCTACTGGTGCTGAGTTTAAAAAACATACAGCATTGTTGACTGAAATGAAGAAAGATTTAGATTATATATTTAAAAAAATTAGAGTCGTCAAAAATAAGTTAAACCAGCAGTATCCTCAAGCATTTAATGGTTTGTATTTCTATAAATTTATTAATTGTCAGATAATTTGTAAATTAATGAATAATTGTATTTATATCTTAATATAGAAGCTGTAAGGAGTAGTTTGGCTGAGGAAGTGTTAGTTGAAGATGTTCATGAAGGACCAAAACCGTTAGAACCAGAAATTATTCCTCCAATAACTGTTTCATCTTCAGCAACTGAAAAAGATCAGGACCCAGATTCTGATGGTAATCAACACGATCTTAAATAGTCTTGTATGTATGTGCGAGTATGTGTATGTGTGTCTGAGGGTGCTTATATATGATTAATAATTATTAACTATCTTTAATAAAACTATTTCAATTTAATAGAAATATATAATTAAACGTTAAATTTAATTTCAATAATTTTACCAGTATTACAAACAAGCCATTTAATATTATTTTTATACTAGTCAATTTTTGGGATTTATTTTTTAATTTATAAGTAAAATAAATGTTATGTGTTTTCATGTTGGCTTTATAAAATAGTCTATTAAAAATGTCCTTTATTTGAATTTTTTTAATAACACAAAAAAAATATCAATTTTTACTAGATGATGGATGTTTGTGTTTTAATTATATTTTTATGCTCAAAGATATTACTAATTAATAATAAATTATAATTATTTAATACTGTGAATAATAGAAAATTGTACTTCAATTTTAAACGCGCTTACAACTATTCAAAGCATGTAATTTATTCTAATATTTATTGTTGATAAAAAATTTAGATATACAATTTATAGTGAAATTACAAAAAATTAAAAGAAAAAATACAACTATTAATTTTATAATATACATGTGCATACTTAATTTACTATGATATAAGTATACTGTACATAGATAATAATTTGCACTATAAATATTAAGTATATATGTGTACGTGTACAATCGCGGATATTAATCTTTAACTGTCAAATTGTTAGAGTTAAAAAAAAAAGTAAAACACGGATAGTTAAAGATTAATGTCCGTGATTGTATATATAGTTCCAGTCGAGGAGTTTCAGTTCGCGAAGCTGCGTAAGAGAGAATTAAAAAGAAAAGACGATAGCTCATCAACAGATAGCAACAATGATCAAAGTCACGCTGACGATTCATCGGGTACATCAGACACCAATTGATTCAATTACATAAGAAGATTACTAAATTTTCTACTGTTTTTTTTTCAAGAAATTTTCATCACTATTATTTATTTATTTACTTTCATAAATAAAACATTAAGTAAATGACAATAAATCGATTACTATCATTACTAAATTTACATTGATTTTAAATAAGAGATAGGAGTAAATAAGTCAAAAATTATTCCATTCAAAATAGGAAGACTATTTTTTTCAACTCCACTTTCCTTTTGAACAACGTCGTCTTTGAGTGACGTTGGTAATTAATTTGCACTAAGACTGATTGCTGTTACTATAAAGTGTAAAAGTACAAGGAAAATATGAGTCCAAAATATCGGTTCCAGAGGAACATACATTATTTACCATCCAGCAGTTATAATCATCTTCTGAAATTTATAACTCAATGTCAGAACAAGGTAAGGTTTTTAGAATTCTTCACCAATAAGTATTTTAATCAAGAATTCGGTCTTAGGAATTTAAAATGAAAAACGCTAACAGAGTTAGCACAGGAACATTGGACATTACCCGAATTGTGAATATTCATAAAACTCAGAAGCGGCATCTTTACCTAAAAGAATTCACACTGATTATTCAAAAAAATTCATTCAAATTATCATTTAAAGCTGCTTCCTTTTTTAGATAACTTACTTTAAGTAAAAAAATAATTTAGCAGAGATTTGATAACTTTGAGAATTTTTGTAACAAATAAATTATAGCAAAAAAAATTATAAAAAATATTGACATGTGGCAATTTAAAAAAATTAAAGATTTAGATTTTGTTTATTTAATGCCAAGGCACAGGCCAAATGGCAATTTCAATTACATAGTAAATACAGTTTTTACAAGAGAGCAATTTCTGTCAGTACATAATATAATATAATATTGCACTATAATTAATTTAATTTATTTATATGTAAACAAGGTAAAAAAGAAAATCATATTAAACTTGAAACTTAATATATAAAAACAATAATTTTAAAATATAGAATTTTAATGTCATCAGATCAGATGATAACTCAGCATAATAATTTTGCGAATTGCAATTACTTCATCCTTACTTTAATTTTTAATTTTCAATGAATTAATTTAAATTTGTTATTTATTAGAATTTGTTTTAATTATCAAGATTTAATAAATAATTAAATACTTCTTTTTTGAAGACTTGATAAGCTACTCGAATTTACAATTTCGCGTGGGAGTTCTTCCCAAAGCTTTATTACAGTTATCAAAAAAGATTTCTCCAAGTAGCTTGTAGTAAAAAGAGGTAGTTTGAAGGAGGTGTGTTTTTTTACAGCCAATCAATTTGAACGTCGAACCATTTTTTAAAAATAATTATTCGGAAGAAATTAGTTTTAAAAAAAAATTAAAAAGTGGTCAAGTGACTGCTAACTTTAATGTCATAAAATTGCTATACTTCTCTCTATTAGAGATGCACTCCAGCATTTCCTAGTTAGAAAAAGAATTTAAAGCAATTGACAATGTTTATTCTGCATAAGAGAATTCAAAAGTATTAAAAATATTTACAAGCATTGAAAAGAGTTAAAATTTCGTTATTTCATATACTATAATAATTTTTTTTTTTTCATTTGTATCACATTGGCAGTGTTTTATAAAATATTTTCAAAACAGAATGATAAGCAGCACAGTCATTCCATTTAGTTTATGTGGTTTACATAGTACTAATTTTTGGCATACATTTCACCATTTGGTTTGATACATTGCTTTGTTATAATATTCTAAATATATCCCATACTATATACCTTTCACATTATTTCAAATACTTTTTAATTCATTCTTTCAATCAGGGATTGCATGTTCTCTGTCTTTTGTACTCTATTCTTCTTAACATGCCATTAATACTGTTATATAAATGGGTTGTATGCACCTAATTTTTCTGCTTAAAAAAAAGAAGAAAACATTAGTGTGGAGTATTGAATAATTCAGATAATTGAAATTATTCGAACCAAGTATTTGACGAATTGGAATCCTTTGAGCTATCAGAATCTTTCAAATATCCAGTTCGTACTTTGAATCAAATTATTCGCATACCTCTGCTATTTATATAATATACTTATTTAAGTTGTTAAATCGATAAATAAAAAATGGATGAGACTTTAGAGCTTTCATCAGTTATCAAAGTCCCTTTTAATTAATGAAATATACATATGTGATCAGTTTTGGTCAGTTGGTCGAAAATGATATGACGTATTGTTTACTATATTCTGTATTAGCAATACGTAAAGGGTAGAGGACGATAAAGCATATATAGTCAACAAACAGTAGCGCCATCAGCTTCTCGTCTCTTTTCTTCTTTTTCTTCTTCTGTCCTTTTGTGTACTTTGGTTGGGTTTGGCGCGCGCACTTGCTACAAGCTTTGGTGTAGGTGTACCCGCGTACCCGGTGCACCACACTGAACCAGTACACTTGTACATATAAATGCAATCGGTGTTATGTGAGTTAACGGAGTAAACTCAAGCGACCGGCAATATTTTGCAGTCGTTCAGTCAAACACCGGTAACCGAACATTGCACATCTTCGTTTACTTTTTGATAAATATTGGTAACTTGTGTTTGTGTAGTTGGACTTATGACTTGTCATAATAATTTAATAACGTCATATTTACTTGATAAATTGATCAATCAACCACTTTTAATTTTAATGTTTAATTGATAATTAAAATATACTTTTAAATTAAAATACGTTACTTCATGGTTCAACATAGAAATGGAATATATTAATATACATTAGACAAGTGGTTAACATAATTTGTTTACTACATTTTATAAAGACCAAGGTACGATGAAAAATTATAATTATTTTAATAAATACTTAAATTTTTATTTTACTTATTAATATTATTATAACTTTGTTTTTTTTTAATTTTTAATTGACATTTTAGCTCAAGGTTATTGTTAAATAAATTGAATTTTTATAAAAGAAGCTTTTAAGAAAAATAACATTCAGTCAAGTATAATTAAATTAAAGAAGAAAAAATGATTATTATTTCTGATGAACATTCTAAATTTTAATCGTTCTATAGCTTTCAATTGAACAAATTAACAGAATAAATAAAGTTAATTTTTTTATTGAATTCAGAAGACTGTTCAATTTTAAAGTTTTTCAAAAAAATAACTTGATACTAAAAAAAGGTTGTAAAAATTTGCCTTCACAGTTTTATTTTGATTTCTGTGTGTGAAAATTTGATAGATATTGTTTTATGACAAGATATTTGTGAAGAAAACTCCAAAAAATTATCAGTTGTCTACTAATTTAAGTTTCATGGATTTATTATTTATTAATTATACAATTACAAAGTGTAAAATTGCTGTAAAAAGAGTGCAATGAAAATCCGTCAGCTACATATCTTCACAGAAAAAATTGTACTGAACTTATTCACGTGATTTATGGAAACTGCGTGGTAGCTTAGGGTCTCAAAATCATGCGGGTTGAATTGTCATTTCTTATCTCGTTTATAATAATTTAAAATTTTAATTCAAATTAGAAATAATTATTCAAATAACGAATTGATGAATTAATTGGGTGTCAATAGGAATGAAATTCAATAATTGTTAGTAAATTACCAGAAAACAGCCGGACGTCTGCTATTTTCAGTATCACAAGTGTTTATTGTAATATGGATATCGATTAACTGTTGTTAACAGAAACAAAGAGTTTCTGATTTTGACTTGCTTATGTATATACATATATGTACTGTATGGTGTATTATATATTAATCTTTCTGTCTCTCACGCGCGGAATAATTCCCTACTAGCCCTCAGGCTTCCTTTATTTTCATCTTTATTTCGGTCTTTCTCTCTCCCTCGCTCTTGACTATTAAATTCTATCCACCAGGCAAGTTGTGGTACGAATGTTCATGTTCACCAGTCAGCATGACTCAGTCAGGTGTTGTGGGCAGTTTTCAATATTCAAAGAGAATCAAAAGTTCTGCTAGAGACACTCCCTTTAATAATATTATAACTATAACAATAGCTCGCCTATATGCAACTTGTTTTTTATCTACTTGAAAGAAACTTTTGATTTTTTAATTATATCATTCGTATAATTAATAAAAATTTTTTTCTTCTTGAACTCAAGTAAAAATACCAGATAGTACATATTTTGCGAAAAATCTTTGAGTAAAGATAATCGTGAAACTGTACAAAATATTTCAGTATTAAAACCGCGGGAATATGCTGTTTGTGTAGTCGTTATTGTATTGGTATAGACTCGACATATGTAGACAGTTTGTACATATGATACATCAGATGTAGTCGGTGCAACCAGTAGACATCTGGTCTTATTTATGTCTCTCAACAGAATGTTCTAATATTGAAAATTTCAGTGATGCCACGTGTACAATAATGTATTTTATTTTAAATATTAAATTTAAAACAGTCAAGGAACATTACAATAAAAATTTTAAATTATTAGTCGTATATACTGATAAAAAAATTCACTTGAATCAAGAGAAAAATTCTTGACTCAAGTGAAATTTATTTAAATCAAAAAAAAATTTCTTAGTTTAAGAATTTTTCTATGCAAATCAAGAAGATAAAGTTTTTCAAAATTGCTTACTTGATTTAAGTAAATTTTTTTCTGTGTACTAAAATTAATAGTCACTTAACCATTTTTTTGGTTTAAAAAAAAATTTTATTTATTGTTTATCAAAATTTTTAGGTGTAAAGTCTTTTAAAGAAATTATTTTCTAAAAAAATTAAAAAAGTTGTGAAATTTCTGCTTTATTATTGATTATTAATTTCAAAATCGTTTATTTTTAGATTCGATTATGAAAGCAGAAGAATCAAGTTCGGAAATTGTGACATCAAGAAAGATAAAAATCAAAGAAGAAATCAAGGAATGCGAGTCACAGGAAACCCTTTTGTCTTTTGATCATGATTTACCGCCTAATATTCCAACAACTCTAACCAGCAGTGTAATTACTCCCAGCGCAGTTAAAGTTAGTATCGTTGCTATCAACAATTCATCAATCTCCACTAAACCCCCAGCAACGCCAATTGATAAATCTAACACGGGTGTTAGTTTGGTTTCTAAAGAATCGCTGTCTGGTGATGTAAAAAATAAAGGTAAATTTAAAATTAATCAAACTATAATTAGTAATTAACTAATGCTGACAATTATATAAAATGCAATAAAAAATAGGCATTAAAAGATAAACAACGTCAACTATAAATTATAAAAAGATTTATAGAGATATAAGGATGGTAAATATAATAGGGGTTGGGTAAATACTATATATACAAATAGTTTTGGGTTCACTTGTTATATTAGTATTATAAATATAATTGCTTATGGTGGTACCCGTATTCAGGGAAATATTAAATGTTTAGCTTAAATCCAGCGCATTTTGAATTATATACATTCAAGAGCCCGCAGTTACACTCAAGAGGTCTCAGTTGCTGGTTTTATGCATTGAATTAAATTTGAGCGATCGATCCAACTTTTAAGAACAAATATTACTTTAAAGAAGAAAAAGAAAATTAACATAGTTAAAAAAAAAATAGATAAATAAATATAAGAGAAAAGAGGTGATCATTCAAGGTAGGCTGTCTGCTAAGCTTGTTGGTTTACTTGTACTCGCGTATGTTGCCTATCCGACAACTGCCTGCTCCAGACGCGATAAGGCACGTCCAACACTCGCACTGGGATTCTGCTCTCCACTGATATCATATCCTCCTCATAAGCTACTTTCTCTTCTAGTCCTGCCTCCTATCCTGTCGCTCTCTCAAACTCTAGTTAATAAGCGAGTCTGCAAAAGCGATAACGCTGCTGTTTGTCCGCAACTATATAGTCTTCTTTATCTAATCTTCATTTTTAGATTTTCATTTATTTAAATTATTTTTTATTTAAATGAATATGATGAAATAGATGCGCATCCTGATTTAAATCAGCTATTGAAAATATAATAGATCCAATGTATATGTATATAGAAAGTGATGGTCGATTTTGTAAAGGGTGGCACACAAGAATTGGCGAGAGCGAGAGGTGAAGGAGGTAGGAAGGAATTGCGATCAAACCCATCTGTTGCATTGTCCTGGCAATTAGGAGGCGACAGCTGAGTCTCACCGTACTTACTTCCTCTCTCAGTGACTCTCAGTACCGCCTGTGAAGCACGTGCGACTTATCGATCCTATCTGCGTTTTTTTCTAAAGCTCACATACAATAAAACCTCCTAGCTTCAGGAAGTTAGATTGATGCTTCGAATCAGTGAAAACTACAAAGCGTCTTGGATTTTTATAACTCTATCAAACCAAAAATAACCTGATAAGAATAAAATTTCTTCCTAGCAGATTTTTTTTTTTTTTTAATTAATAAAATGTTTTTTTTTGCTCGACGGGCAGAAAGCGTCAAATTTCGGCCCGCTGCGCTAAACGAAATTGCCACTTTCTGCCTTCGTCGAGCAAAAAAATAGCATACACTCCTCGGGAAGTAAATAAGAAAGCCTCAGATCACATGTAATTGTTGGCCGAGGCGAAGCCGATCTGAGACATTTCTTACTTTACTTCCCTCGGTGTGTAATATACTATATTTTTTAGACAAAAAATCAGTAATTTCTGTAAAATATTTCTGTTGTTATTCCACTAAATATACATATAATAACTGTATACTATCTTGAAAACGACAAAAAGATTTTGGTTGCAGCGCTATCGTCTCTGGCAAATCAATCACAACATGTCAGCAAAGAAGCATTACACGACTTTGAAGATAATACATCTTCGTCTACGAATAATTGTTCACTCAAAGCAAAGCTACTGTCAGACAATCAGCAACAGAAGCCGTCGGTGGCGAGAAACGATAATGGACAAATGTATTCATCATCGACGGAGAATCTTAGTCCCAAAGCAGTATCTATCAAAATCGAGGACGAGGATCTCTCGATGACAGAGAGCACAAATAAAACCAAAGAAAACTTAACCATTAGTGAAATAAACAACACGTGTGACTCTAGTCTATCCAATAATCCTAGCAGTACTGGGCTTAAGTCTATCTCAAGTATTTTTGCAGGCCACACTAAACTTAAAAGACTTCTCGGCACTCTTGTACAGTTTGCAAATAATATATCCAATGAAGTTGGTGATACTGTTCGTACTCTAATATTTGGGCTTTTGGTAAGGTGATATGAAAAATAAAAAGTAATGTTTAGTTTCATGGTCCACAATACTACAATCCATAAAAATTGTTTATATTTTTTTTTAACAATCATACAATTTTCTTTTAAATAAATTTTGCTTTCCACAATTTTTTTTTCCAATTATTTTACGTAGAGTAAAATTTTTATTAAAAAATTTATTTTTACAAATTTTTATGATTATCGCAAATTTACCGTAAAATAGAATAATTGGAAAAATTTTTTTTTAAATGTTAATTTTTCGATTTTTATGCCAAAAAAACCGACTATGAAACTAAATAATTGCTAAATTAAATTTTTATTACTTAAATTTGTTTTCTTTAGAGTGGAGGATTAGCTACAGAAGAATTTCATTCTTCTCTGCAAGAAGCTACTAATTTTCCTTTGAAAGATTTTGTTTTACCGTACCTGAAACATACACTTCCTTTACTTCGTAGAAATATATCTGCCGCTGCTAGATCGATCAGAGCATGTTTTCCTGGTGGAATTTCATGTTGTCGTACCTAATATAAAATAATAATATTAATACATATTATTATTATTATTATTATTATTATTATTATTATTATTGTTGTATGAAATAAAATCTGAACTTACAGCGTAATAACAGGTGAGATTACGAGGATAGAGACCGGGAAAATTCGGTGACTGCAGTCTACACTTTTTTTTGTCGCAGTCGCTAAATATCCGCGAGCAGTATGTACCTGAAATTAGATCCCCGAGGTATTGTTGTTCAAGAACTGGTTTACTATCTCTAAATTGCTCTTCGTATTCAACAATTTCAACTCCCGGCGATGTGGATATTAACGTTGTTGTATTTGAATATTCCGTCGAGATCTGCTCCAATGTTGTTGTCGCTTGAGTTACTTGAGTCATACCTATTATTGTTGTTTAATTAACAGTTATTTGGTTTAAATATTCAATATCAACTTATTCAATAATGATATATAGTATATTATAGTGAAAGTAATAATAATAATAATAATAATAATGATATTACCAACGAAAGGATTTCCATATCGAACTACGGCGTCGGATTTTCGGATCATCTTATAAGCCATACGAAAGTCAAAGTTAAATCCCGTTTGATCTTGACTCAATCTAAAAAGTCGGAGGGAAATGGTGACGATTGGAGTTTCACTGTAGTAAATTGCAGGTCCCCAGGATGTGCCACACCACAACCCGCCTACATCGGGACGCTGAGCCTCTGATATTTGCAGTGATCCATCAGGACATCCTTCCGCGGTAAAAGAGACGAATTTTCCAAGAGTAAAACTGTCGAAAGTTAGCTGACAACAAACATCGCACTCTATTAATGTATAAAAATAATAATATTATAATTTATTCATTTAGCTCACAGCTATTTTACAATATTTTTACATGTTTTTTCTTACAATTAATTAGCAAAATTTATCACAATTATCACAGTATTAAGTATTGCTACAATTCAACTTATCAAAAGGTCCTATGTTCGCAGATATATATTTTTTTAAATCAATTTTAAAAATATTAACTCTATTTTCATTTCTAATTGAATCAGGTAATTTATTATAACAAATTATGCCTCTGTAAATAATTGATTTCTCAGCAGTCAATGTTCTTGTACTTATTATTTTAAGCGATGACATAGATCTCGTTTTATACTGCATATTATTGAAAACGAATTCATCAAGTAAATATTTAGGTAGTAAATTATTAAGAATCTTATGAATAAACAAACAAGAATTAAATACTATTTTTTACCTTATGGATAACCAACATAAAGTATCAAGCATTGTCTCTAGTTTAGTATATCTATTAACACCTAAGATCACACGCATTGCTCGATTTTATAAAATTTGAAATTTATCTAAAATACTTTCATTGTAATTAATCATAAGTGTATTGCAATATTCAAAATGTGGAAATACTATTATTATTTTATAAATTTGACATATTTAATGAAGTGAGTGACATTGTTATTCAACCTGCGAATGATATTAATTTTTGTAATAATTTTTTTCATAGTATATTCAGCGTTTTGTTTAAAATCCAAATTGTCATCTATTACAATTCCTAAATATTTAGTTTCATGAATATAATTCAAAATATGACCATTAATCAACAGCTTACAATTATTTTTAATATTTTTTCATAATTTAATAATAATAATAAATGCTATTTAATTTTTGGAATATTTCCAGTTGAACGGCGATTGATACACACTTGAAGTCGACTATAAAATATTTGCCAATTTTTTTTGCTCTTTAAATGAACATTTTAATACATGACATATTTTATAATATAAAAAAGGTATGAGTTTTTGTAACACTATGCTACGGTGAATAGGTTATTAAAAATTCCTACTCCGTGCACCAGCAATTCATCTTTGGCATTCAATGTATTTTATAGGCGAGGGTGAGAAGAGTTGGATACATGTATATATCTATTTCTATATGTATGCAGAGAGATATTACCTGAACAATATCTCCAAAGTTACCACCGGGAGCGTTGAATGTCAGCTTGCAGAAGTAAGGTACTTTGTCCTCTTTGGGTCGATGAAGTTCGAGGTAGTAAGTTTTCCCCACATCGCCGTAGTAAGTTTTATTGCAAGCTGTAATTAATAATACACACACTATTTATTATATTTATTATACTAATAAGTACAGTCTGTAAAGTTGTTATTATTATTATTGCATGGAGAGAAGGGTGAGAATGAGAAGAAGAATATATACGGCTAGTTTGGAGAATATGTTGCTGGTGTAGCACAGAATAATCCACGTACAGTTGATTGTATTGAATTCAAGGGCTAACTATTTCCTTGTGTATACGTATAAATGATCATGTAGATGTGTGTGTAGATGAACATCCACATCACAGGAAATGGAGAAAGGGTTCTACTATAGAACTATGTACAATCGACTACGCATCGCAGTCAAAGAGCAAACGAGGATTAGGGGAGAGAGGTTTGGTGATCGTACCCAACCGTACATGGGCATCACCAGAGGGGAGAGAATGCTGAACGGTTGTTAGGCGAGTGAATACCGCCGTGAGCCTACAATACCCGTCATTTCCAGTGTGATGTACCAGTAGCTTGTCCATTTCTCCATCGTATTATTCTGTCATTTCTATTTGCTCCGTTTACACCATCGCGATATTTTATTCATAACATCGGCGTGTCAATTGAATTATTCATTAATATATTGATATCTTCCTTTACTTCTTTTTTTTTTTTATATTCTATAATCTGACGCCAATATAATAATGATGATGATGATGATAATAATAATAATCAAGTCTTGTCTTCGCTTACGATAATTTTCTTCTTTAGAGAGCTGCTGAGAGGAGAGTTATCCCGGGAAAACGAGCTTAGGACAAGGGAAAATAAATGATAAAGCATTTCTAAGGCTTAAACTCCTTTATTTTCTTTATAATTTATACAAAAAAAAAGTAGTTCTTTGTGGGAAATTACTGAATTGAATAGTATAGTGTAGTTTGATAAAGTGAGTAGAGAAGGGTGACTGGAATCGCACTATCCGATTATGCGAACGTGTCTGTCGATAAAAACCCCGAGGGGAAAACTACTCGGCTACTGTGGTGCAGGGTTTCACAAACAGCTAATTGGTTGATGCGCCAACTCAGGACCAATAATTGCTTCTATATTATATTATATATTATAATATTATATTAAATATTGATTTTTTCTACAATAATATTCACATTATTGTTGTTATTATTATTATTATTATTGTATGACTCGTACATTGGCATTGCAAATATTCATATAAATTGTAGCTTATTGTATCAGTGACATTATTGGCGACCTTTCGATTCCGAGCATTTAAAACAGTAATTGTTTTGATGCCAGCAGCTGTAAAGTCACCTCTGTCATTTGGTATTGCTATTTTTTATTAACACCAAAAATAGACCCAGCGTGTTGTGACACATTGTTGTTCACTCTGTATGAATATTTTTACTGTACAGTCTATTATACCCAGCTAGAATATCAAATTATAAGCGCCGGGAATATTATCACTGACAATTAAGAGGCTGACAGTTGATTTGGTTCTACCACTTAAATTCTGGATATATATGCAAAAACATTTACCTTTATAACCGTTTCAGCTTTATGTCAAATAATAATACCATTTAAAAGTCATAAACGGCTCTTATCTGTGAGAAGTAATATAAAGTAGATTAATAACCAACGGTCTTTAAATATAAAACAAGTGTCGCCTGACGGATGTGTGACTTTATCCACTTGGGAATGACTCGTGTCCAAGCACAAGCACTTTATTCTTCTTTGCTCTACAAAATTTAAACACTTGTAAACCCAACGGAGGCACTCGAGCTTGCTTATGCATGTAAGTACTCGTTCATTTGTCTATTATTTTTCTTCATAAAATTTGTATTTGATTTAAGAATCAAATATTTTCCTACCAATCATTTAGGTAATTTTATAGACAAGCAACATCAGTGATTTCTTCTTCTTCTTCTTCTTCTTCTTCTTCTTCTTTTTCTTTTTCTTCTTTCATTCTAAAATAACAAGAATAAAAAAAATAAAAATAATTATTTATTAATGTTTTTTTACAACTTACCTTTCATTTGACACCGGATGACACTTTTTTTTATAGAAGTAACATTTTAATTAATGGTGAAAGAGGAACAGAATTAAATATTTGGTTCATTAGTAGAACACTATTGAAAGCAGGTTGGATCTTGCATGAAGGTGGGAGCTCTTGTGCAACCCGTGCTTTTCACGCATGCATATCTCACGATAGCGCCCCGGTGCATCAGAGAAGGGTGTGGTGAAGATTTAAAAAATAAAAAGAAAAAAAATTTCTATAGTATTCATTTCAAGCGGTCGGCGAGACAACCCTTCGAGCAGGTTACTTGTGTGTACCTCATCGAGGGTGCACGGTTCATCTTTTCTCTCGTCTCCCCGTACTTTATTTTTTTTTTTTATTTTCTTCTTTTTTTTCTGTAGCTTTTGCGCCTGGTCATTCGTTTTCTATCCGTACGTGCATTATTTCCACGAGTATCTCGATAAAGTATAAAAAAAAGCATGATAAAAAAGTGCTGTGATTGCACAAATTCAACGAAAGCTTTAATGAAATCTGTAATAGTTATACGGTGAGAGCTTATTCGTACAAAGTCGAAATACCAATGAATACCGGTGAAACTTTTTTATAACTTTAAACTCTTTTTTAACAAAAAAAAAAAAAAAAAAAAAAAAAAAAAAAAAAATAAATTAAATAAAATAAAATAAAATATAAATAAAAATATGTGGCAAAGGATGATTTTAAATTAAATAAATATTCCAGGAATAACATTGCCAAACAAATATCATACTTGGTTTTTTTATCTGAGTAACTGTAGAATTTTAGAATTGTATGATTATATATATATATACAATATATAGATGGTGGTCTTGATTATGTGATGCTGAGCTAATGTGTAGCTCTACCGAAGACGTGCCAGACAAAGTACAGGGTAAAGGGAGTAGTATGAGAGGGTAGACGGGCCATGCACTCTATGGTAACATATATACATACATATAATATATATATTGAGAATATGACCTAAATGTTGGCCGTTGGTTGGCGTATGGCCAGTTGGCTGTGTCTGCCCACAGCCCGCAAACTTACACGTACATTTATATATCTATATACATACACACTGATTCGCGCGACGCAACCAAGTGCAACCAAGCTGCACATGCTCTTTACTTTTGTATATTTCTGTCCTTCTTCTATTTTTTTTAAATTTAATTCCTTTTTATTTCATCAACTGTCATATCCATTTGTTTTTCAATTATCAATTAACTATTCAAGTTAATTACGCTCTGGTATATAATATTATTAAATGATGTCATATTTCACCAGAAATGAAGCCTCGGAAAGTAATTAAGTGGCTCAAAGTTTTTCTCATATTAAATTAGACAACGATGAAAAATTAAAAACTAAATATTTTAATTGGCCGTAAACATTTAACACAGTGACACTAAATCTGTAAAATAAAAAAATAATAGTTGTAAGAAGAAGTCTAGTGAGTTTCTAGTGCAATAATAGCGGGTAACTGGCCGTGTACTTGTGACATAAAGGCGAATGGCTTAGAACGTCTTAGAATGCTAGAATGATGGCTATACGTGCGGTGAATGTGTATAAAACCGCAGCACAAAATTTGATCAGTTATATACTCTCACGTGACTGTATATATGTATGCATGAGGCATTTTATGTAGATCTTATTGACGTTGGCTACATATTTCACTTGCAGTGTGTACCACTATGTGGGTAATACACTTCTTTTTAACATACCTTTTTATGAAATTACTGCTGGCAGAAGTATGTGAAAAAATTCTAATTTTCTTCTTTTTTTTACATTTTTTAATCATGAAACAGAAATCAGCGGATATTTAACAATCATTTTGATTTTTATTACAAATAAATTATAAAAAAATGCTTTTAAAAAATTTGTACATTAAAATTAATTTAGCAAATATTTAATAATTTTCAGAACTGTTGTTAACAACCCAAGCGGCACAAAAATTGTTTTGGTAATATATTGTTGAATTTAAGTTGACAATTATTAATTTTTGACTTCTTGTTAAATAAAATTTACCATTATTTATGTATATAGTTTATTTAGTAAGTAAGGTTTTGTTAACTAGTAAGTAAGGCAATAAACGATGATTAATTTAGGATTTGATAACAATTTTTCCTAAATACAAAATAAATATTGAATCAAAAATAACATACTCTTTACAAATATATGTAATGTAAATTTTATTATAAGTAGAGTCCTTTAGGACAGGAATTATAAAGCAACAATATTGATTCTTTGAACTTGAAAAAAAAAAATAAAATTTACCAAAAAGTCAACAGTTTTTTATGTGACGCTTGGGAAATAAATTACCGCAAAAAAAAAAAAAATAAGAAAAAAAATTGATATGCAAAAATTTAAAAATGCAATTTTTTAAAAATAATTTTTTCATAATAATTTAGTTGTTATAGAAATCAAAAAAAAAAAAAACTGACAGATGTCTGTTAATTTCATTATCATTTTTTAATCATACATTTATTCGATCTCTTCGGTTACTTTATAATTATTCAAAGGTATTACTTTATTTTTATTTTTATACTTCATTTGAAATAAACCGAATACTGACTACGATACTAGCTTTCTTCACAATAAATTATATTTTTTGGAATGAATTCAGTTACATTTCATTGTTGTACAAGATTCGCTAACTTAATTTGAGTTAACAATCTGAACACAGCTAATGAGTGCGCCTGACTAAACTCATACCTTTTCTACTTTATGGTTAACAATTTACATCAAAGAATTAATAATTTTAAAACTTGATGTTTAATATAATTCAATTAGTAAACTTGTTTAATTCAAACTATTTGAGAAATAATTTAAATTGAAGTTCATTGTATAAAATAGTGCATAAACATAATATACTTACGAGAGCACGCTCGTTGCTCATCGGATCCGTCGCCGCAGTCGTCCAAGGCATTGCATACTTTATTGAGCGTAATACATCTTCCGTTCCCGCATTGAAATTCACTTTGTCGGCAGGAAAATACTGTTGTGGCGGTGGTTAAAATGGTAATACTTATGAACCAATACATATCTGTAATTAAAATTTACAAATGTTATTTATTTTAGGATTTGACATCAAGTTATTTATGTGAATCAAAAATGCTGGCTCCATTTCTATTTATATCCTATAAAATGGTTTGTATATATTACTGCTGGTACATGTTTTATTTGTTTTATGAGTAAACAAAAGATAAGTACTAACTATTGTAATCACCGAGGATGAAATATTAAGAATTGAGCGAGGGGCCGAGTATTAAAATAATAAATGAGAGTAAATTAAAAGAAGAAAGCAAGTTATACAATTGACGTTAATTTAGAGCATTCCTTTGGCATTTTCAGTGGGTGCTTTATATATATATATATATATATGTCTACACTCTGGCAACTAAAGAAATTCACTTCCTGTTAACTTTACTATTAAAATTTCTCTTAGATTTTTATTTTCTTTAGCCTGGGGTAAATTTGTCGTTTATTCACTATTGCGGAATTCAAGTATTCGCGAGTAAACTTTGTTGCATAATTTTTCTTTGTGTTCCGGTACAATAATTAACGACTTTACTTTTTTTTTGTTTATTATTTCATAGTAACGAATGATATTAAAACCATATTATAAATATCAGAGTAAGATTAACCGAAGTAAAAATTAAGAGGCTCTTAAAGAATATTATTCCCATTAAAGTTTCGATGGCTTTCACAAAACTACAGAGTAGGGTGGCGCAAAAAAACCGACTATTTTTTTTTTTTTTAGTCTCGAGTGAAAAAATGTTAGTTTTTGATGTTTTAAGAGCCCTCACCAAAGGACAGCTCAAAAAAAAATTTTTAAGAGGTCACTCCAAATTTTT